GTCAGATGTGATTGTAATGACTGTAGTCAGTAGCGACAGAAAATGAAATAAATTACAGTATAAGCCAATTTGATTTTTTCAGTTTTTACCAGTAAACCTTAATTGTAGCAATGCATGAAAAAAAGGATTAATTCAGCAAAACCAATTAACACATCAACCGTATCTGACAATATATACATATATACGTATATATACTGTGAGAGTCTCTCCACAGAGAAAGAGAATAATACAGAGCTTTAAAGAACAAAGGTCCCAGGAAGTGGTACACTGTAGGTGGGCTGGGCTTGACCAATAGGAAGTAAGTGGATTGTTCCAAGAAGACCCCAAAATCAAGATAAGGGTCAAGCCAGCTCAGACCAGTTGGGGTCAACCTGAGGACACCTGAAAAGTGCTAGTGCGCCTGCTTAATGAACTTCATTACTATTATCTGACACACCCTGCATAAAATTAGAGCCTCATTAACGAGTCATGGGATGTATGACTAAGGGTGGGGGAACATACTTGAGCATATCAAGGGGAAACATGTAAGGAAAAGTGTAACCTGGGAAGGGGTGGACCAATCCCGGCCTGGGAGGTTTCGCGCCCAATTCAACTGCATAAAAGCACGCTTGCCCTTGCACTCAGGGCCCACCCCTGAAGAGGGGTGGAGCCCACTTCTGGCCAGAAACTCTAAATCCTCTGGACTTTCTTCATAATAAATTTTCTTGATACTAAATTTTTGGTGTCAAGTCTATTTCTAACATATACATATACGTATATGTGTATATACATACATATATACATACATTCATACATTCATTCATACATACATATATACATATACATATATATATAATAATATTGTGTCCCCCTAGCTCCCACCTCAGCAGAAAGGAGAGACTCTTCTCCAGGACCAGCTTTGGTCATTATAATTGCATAGCATTCAGTTTTGTTTTCTTATTCTTTCTATTTATATTGTTACAGTCGCGGTGTATATTATCTTCCTGGTTCCGTTCACTCCATTCTGTATGATTTTATACAAGTTTTCTCAGACTTCTCTGAATTCATCATGTTCTTTTTGTGCTATTTTCACATCATAGGCAGTTAGGTGGGTGAGTGCATAGAGTGCTAGGCCTGGAGTTGGGAAGATCCAAGTTCAAATCTGGCCTCAGATACTTCCTAGTTAGTTCTGTGACCCTGGGCAAATCACTTAATTGCTGTCTGCCTCAGTTCCCCTAACCGTAAGGTGGAGATAATAATGGCACCTATCTTTCAGAATTGTTGTGAGTATCAAATGAGATAATATTGGTGATGTGCTTAGCACATAGTAGGCACTTAATAAATGTTTGTTCCCTCCCCTCCGCATCTTGAATTGCAAATTTAGAGGGAAGACATGGTTTGTTCTGCTCTCCTGAAGCACATTTGGAGTGACTTGCCTCTGGTGCATTTATTGCAGCTTGCTTTGGCCACTACAATTTACTAGTTTCAATTTTTCAAGGAGAGTATTGTACTGAAGTCAGAGGTCCTTTGTTCAAGTCCCAGTCTCTCATTCCCCAATAGGACAGTGGTCAAAGGATATGAACAGGCAGTTTTTTTTAACTTTTAAAAAAATTAAATATAGTGTAATTTAATTTTTAAAAAATGTTCATTTTCAGATTCTTTCCCTCTCCCAACTCCTTCCCCACCTGTTGAGAAAGCAAGAAATGCAAAACCCATTATGAATATGAAGTTCAGCCAAACAAATTTCTGTATTAGGTATGTTCTGGGGGAAAAACAGAAAAAGAAAGAAAAAACATATTTCATTTCTTCACTGAGTGTATCATTTCTCTCTCTGGAGGTGGATAGCATTCTTCATCATGAATCCTTTGGAAATGTGGTAGGTCATTGTGGTGACCAGAGTTACCAAGTCTTTCACAGTTGACTATCTTTATAATATTGCTGTAACTGTGTGAATTGTTCTTCTGGTTCTGTTTACCTCACCCTGCATCAGTTCATATGAAGAGACAGTTTTCAAAGGAAGAAATACAAGCTACCCTTAGCCATTTGAAACGATGCTCCAGATCAGTAATAATTATGCAAATTAAAGCAACTCTGAGGTTTCACCTTACATCCATCAGATTGGCAAAATTGACAAGAAGGGGAGATGACAACTGTTGGAAGGGCTGCAGGAAAACAGACACACTAATGCATTATTGATAGAGCTGTGAATTGGTCCAGTCATTCTAGAAAGCAATTTTAACTATGCCCTGAAAGTCACTAAATGTATATATCCTTTGACCCAGTAATACAACTACTAGGTCCCTATCCCAAAACGATCAAAGAAAGAGGATAAGGACTCATATGTACAAAAATATTTCTACCAGCACTTTTTGTGATGTCAAAGAACACGAAACTAAGGGGGTACCCATCAATTGGGAAATGGCTGAACAAATTATGATATAGGAACGGAATGGAATGCTATTTTGCCATGAGAAATGATGAAAGCGATGGTTTCAGTGAAACCTGAGAAAGCTTGTATGAGCCAGTGAAGAGTGAAGTGAGGAAAGCCAGGAGAACAATTTATGTAACAATAGCATTATAAAGACAAACAACTTTGATACACTTAAGAACCTTGATCAATACAATGGTCAACCATAATTCTAGAGAACTAATGGTGAAACATGCTGTTGACCGCCTGACAGAAATGATAGACTCAGGATGCGGAGTGAGACATTTATTTGGGACACAGCCAATACAGAAATTTGTTTTGCTTGACTATACTCATTTGCTACAAGGGTTTGGTTTTCTTTTTTTTTTTTTTTACCCACCATGGGAAAAAGAGAAAATAGATTTTTGTTAATTAAAAAAAAATGGATTTGCTTCTAATCAATTCCTTTTCTCTTCTTGTGAGAAAAAAATGAGTACTACTCTTTACTAGTTCTGCATCTTTGATAAATTACTTCCCTCCTCTGGGCCTCAGTTTCCCTTATCTGTGAAATGAGGGCATTAGATGAAATAATTTCTAATGACCCTGCCAGAAATGAATCCTATGGGCCTATGACCATCACCTTAGCTAAGTGCATGCAAGACAGGGGAAACTGAGGTTCAAATTGCCAAAGTTCAGGTTGTTATTATAATAAGTATTGTGAACAAAAGAGAAACCAGGTGCCATAGATTGCCTCAGTCAGTATTATTGTGAAGCTCAATGGTAATTTCAGAGTGGATCACTGCCAACAGGATTTGTCTAGTGATTCAGAGTGTTTAGCCTCCTTTTGGTATCAATGTTGGCTTGTAGCTAGCCCACTCCAGTGTCTTAAAGGACCCACAACTTTGCTAGTTTAACTCCAGACAGCTACACCTCTATCTCTCTCTCTTTTTTTAGAGCATCCTTCCTAAAAATCTTTTCCCCCCCAGCTGATGACAGAGACCTTACGTCTTCCCAAGGCCAAACCCAAAGTGTTCTTGCCTTCCTGGGGGAACAATGCTCATCACCAGTCCTGAATGGTCAAGGCTTCCAGGGAGGACTTTGTGCCTTTGATGCATTTTTTCAGCAGAAAGCACAGTAGGCTAGTAATAGAGTTACTGAAATAAAAAAAAAAGAATAAAAGCAAGAAAAGAGGGTTACTGATGTATTTTTAAAAAATGTGTAGCAGAGAGCAGAAAGAAACACAGACAAGTAGGAGATTCTTGAAGAAAACATGTTTGATTTGTTATGTACCTGAATGGGGAAGCAACCAAGCTAGTACATGGGGCAGAGTTGTGGCTGCACAGGCAAGTCTCTTCTATTCTTTGTGTGTAGAAATACTCATTTTATTTGGTGTTAATTTCAAAATTAAAAAAAGATAGCATTCGGATACATATGTATGTACATACATGTGCACACATATATACAGGCTTATATATATACACACAAGTGCACATATACATGTATACCCAATACATGTGTGCACACACATCTATATAGACATAGACATAGAGATAGATGTAAAAAGCACGAAATGTGAAATTGAGTATCCTACTCAGTGGTCCTTTCTCCTCTGGGTTTATTGAGCTGGACTATAATAACATTAACTTAGATTTCTCTTGTGCTTCAAGGTTTGTAAAACTCTTTCCTCATCACAATCTTTAGAGAAGGATGACACAAATATTATTATCCTGACTAATAGCAGAGGAAATTCAGGCTTGGTCAGGTTAAATGACTTGAGCTGGGTCATATCGCCCTAAGGCAGCAGTGGAGAACCTGAGGTCTCCAGGTCGCATGTGTCCCAGGCTGCAGGTTCCCCACCCCGGGCAACGCTAAATTCTCTACGGGCTGGGCCTTTCCCACTACCTTGAGCCAATGGAATCATAGAGTCACAGGATTTGAGTGGTGGGAGGAAGGCTCTCAGCAGCCTAGCTAGTCCAGGGATTCCCAAGCTTTTTTGGTCCCCCTATCTCTTGGTCTTCAGCAAACCTTACAGTATCTTATTCAATAGGAAAGGAAATAAAATCGAGGATTTACCATGCTTATGAACATGAGAAATAAGGTTATTAAATTTAAATCTTGTGCGCACATTTAGTAGGAATGACATGTTTCTCTCAGGGTACACTGAAAATGTAACTTATTGAGTAGCAATCAATTAAGAAAAATCAAATCAAAATATTCCACATAACTACTTTGATGAGTTTCTTATACCCACTGAGGGTATGTGTACCCCAGATTGGATCCAAAGTATACCTAAAAGGAATCTCCAGTTCCACATCCTCTACAAGAGGTAGGAGCTTGGAGGCCCCCAGTGAGGGGGAATGCACCATCTTTGGAGGGAACCCACACACCTCTAGAGGGAGCCCATTCCATTTTTGGATAGCCCTAATTGTTAGGAATTTTTTCCCTAAGTTTAGGCCTAAATTTACCTCTTTGCAGCTTCTATCCTGTTCTTCAAGTTCTACCTTATGATCCAAATGGAGCAACTCTAATCCCTTTTCCATATGGCAGCTTTTTTAGTTTCTTGAAGACCAGGTGACCATCTCTTACTGCTAACTCTTTTGTGTTTCTGGTGCAGGTTCTCTTGGCCAAACGCAAGTCTGATGGGAAATTTTATGCTGTCAAAGTCTTACAGAAGAAATCCATCTTGAAAAAGAAAGAGGTAACAGAGCTTGAGTAGTGAGAACTAGGGAGACTTTGTTTCTCCCGCCCCCCTTCAGCTCCATGAAGTCCTTAGAAAGCTGTTAATATACATTTTCATGCTCTGGGCATAACAGCCCAGAACCAGCCCCCTGGTGTTTGGGATTGCATGGGGGAGTGTTTGTGTTTAGCTAGCTCTGGCTTAGACTCCTGCTAGGTTGGGCTGCACCTGATTAGAACAGACTCTTCTTGTCTATCCACAAAAGCTTGGCACCAAACAACTGGAGAATGTAGGCAGATCCTGTTATTCCTCTTTGAGAACTGTGCTTGCTTCCCCTGGGTAGACACCGCTATTCAGGCAGGCTGGAAGCAGCGGCCCATGAATGGAGATGGGGATGCTCATGTGTTCCCCTTGGTCTGTGTGTTGGGGAGGGAAGCAGTGTAACATGGATTGTTTTTGCCTTTTTTGGGTCTGAATCCTGGTAGGAAAATCACATCATGGCAGAGCGCAATGTGCTCCTAAAGAACGTGACACATCCTTTCCTGGTGGGCCTCCGCTACTCCTTTCAGACTTCAGAAAAACTCTATTTTGTCCTAGACTACGTCAATGGAGGAGAGGTGGGTCACCAGCACTGTTCAGGGGGCCACATCAGGCAATTTAATATCATAGGCTCACAGGCTTGGGGTTGGAAGGGATCTTAGAGATTACCTAGCTCAAGCCCCCTCACTGTACAGATGAGGAGAATGAGGCCCAAAGGTGAAGGAATTTACTCACTGTCACACAAATAGTGGGCAGCTAGGTGGAGCAGTGGATAGAGTGATAGACTCATCTTCCTGAGTTCAAATCTGGCCTCAAACACTTACTAGCTGTGTGACCCTGGGCAAGTCACTTAACCCTGTTTGCTTCAATTTCCTCATCTATAAAATGGGCTGGAGAACAAAAGGGCAGTTCACTATCTCTGCTAAGAAATCCCCAAATGGGGTCATGAAAGGTTGGACGCAAGTAATTGACAAAACAACCACATACAAATAGTAAGTGACAGAGCTAAAATTTGAACCTTGGATCTCTGACTCCAAATTCAGCATTCTTTCCAGTGTATGATGGAACAGAGGGTCTTCCCCCTGCTGAGCCTAACTGTCCCAGATGAGCCATGTGTTCTGAGCCTTCGTGTTAATGGGGTAACAGATATAAATTCTGGCAGGAACATAGGGGAAATCTAGGCAGTGGGAAAATAGAAGCTATCCATAAAACGCTATTAAAAAATAAAGATAATAGAGAATGGAAGAGGTGTCAGAGGATGATAATTTATATATATGAGGGAACTTATAAGGGAATAGATAAGGGAAAGCTTTCCAGTTTTCAAAATGGGAAAAGAATGGGGTATACAAACTTTAGGCCAGCAAACTTCACTTTGATCCTTGGCAAACAGGTAAGCTACATTATTAAAAGGGTGTGAATTTTGGCTTCTGGAGACATAAAACTTTAACTTTGGATTGTATCATTTATTTGAAGGAATGATTGTGTGTGTAGGGGAATTTAGGGTAGGTCTAAGGACCCTATCAGCTAGGTGGTGGAGTGGATAGAGTGACAGGTCCAGAATCATGATGACCTGAGTTCAAATCCAGCCTCAGACACTTACTAGCTGTGTGACCCTGGGCAAGTCACTTAACCCTGTTTGCCTCAGTTTCCTCAGCTGTAAAATGAGCTGGAAAAGGAAATGGCAAACCAGTCCAGTATCTTTGCCAAGAAAACCCCAAATAGGGTCAGGAAGAGTCAGATGTGACTGAAAACGACTGAACACCAACAAACAAGAACACTTTCATAACCTTAGGAGGTGGGGAAGGTGAGGAGGAAGTTTTCCATTGTCATAGAAAAGGCCAAAGCAGAGCTGCCTACATAAGCTTGGTCTCATGGCTCCTTACGCTTAACAATCTACCTAACCATCCGCAGCCTCTTACACATTTGCTATCATGCAGAATGTGATTACTATTGACCTGTGGGAATTGAAGATGATTGATGGAAGTGGTTCCTACTTCATGCAAGGAGGTGCTTGCTTACAAAGCTGTTCTTTCCCCCAGCTCTTCTTCCACTTGCAGCGGGAGCACTGTTTCCCCGAACCTCGAGCTCGGTTCTATGCTGCCGAAGTGGCCAGCGCTATTGGCTACCTGCATTCTCTGAACATCATCTACAGGTAGGCTTTCCCTAAGCACATGAGAATGAGCACCCTAAGAGATTTTGAATTTCTTATAGGCTCAGCTAGAATTCTGCTCTTAAAAATCTTATGTACAATGTATTTTAAATATGTGTTAAATTTAACAATATGATTAACAAAAATGCCCTAATTATGTTGCTTCCCATTCTAAATTTCTTCTTTGTCTAGATCAGCAGTTCTCAAAGTATGATCTGGAAACCCTTGGGAGCCCCCAAGACCTTTTCAGAGGTTTTTATAATAATTTGAAGTTGTTTTGATTTCTGAAATTTAAATATCAATAGATATAACCCATATAAACAAAAGCACTTTAAGGGGTCCTTAATATTTTTTAAGAGTTTAAAAGGGTTTGGGGACCAAAAAGTTTGAGAACTGCTTATCTAGATGTTTGCTAACCATCCTTTTAATAATACATTTTAGTTGTTTACAGTTATTCCCTTCCACATCCTGGGGGGTTAGGGGCACAGCACCCCCATGATCTGGAAAATCTGTGTAAAATTTCTTAGCCCTCCCTTCGTACCAGAGAAGAAGTCTGATTTTTTTCTTTTTCTTTCATGGGGTGTTTACAGTACCTTATTGTAAAATTTGGGTTAAGTATTTGGTCATAGGTTCTATGTAGGTTAATGTTAAGTAAAAATACTTTTTCTGTGTCATCTCCTGGCCTTTGTGTGTTGTCTGTGGCTTCATTATTTTTCCCCGTAAATCCTCCAAATTTTCCTACTACTGTTGAGAGTATCATCTTTCTCCTAGGCCCCAGGGCTCATGGGTGTCACCCTTAACTTCTCCCTATCTCTCACCTCCTCCGCCCCATATCCAATCTGTTGCCAAGACCTGTAGATTTCACCTTTCCAACATCTCCCACATATGCCCCCTTCTCTCCTCTGATAATTTGACCACCGTGGTGCAGGTCCTCATCACCTTTTGGGCTAGTGTGGTGGCTGGCTGGTGGCCCTGCCTGCCATAAGTCTCTCCCGACTTCAGTCCATCCTCTATTCAGCCAAAGTGATTTTCCTAAAGTGCCAGTCCAAACATGTCACACCCACATTCTATAAGCGCCAGTGGCTGGCTCCCTGTCACCTCCGGGATGAAACATAATACCTTCTGTTTGGCATTCAAAGCTCTTCATAACCTAAACACCCTCTTGCCACTTACACCTTTCCAATCTTCTTATACCTTACATCCCTCCACATACTCTTCCATCCAGTGACACTGAAGTCCCAGCTAATATCCCTTCTACTGGAAGCCTCCCCAATCTGTCTTAATTCTAGTGCCTTTTCTCTGTTAATTATTTCTTATTTATCTTGTGTATAGCTTATTTACAGACATATGTTTGCTTACTGTCTTCTCCATTAGATGGTGAGCTCTTGGAGGGAAGAGTCTGTCTTTTGTCTTTTTCTGCACTCCTAGCACTTAGCACAGTGTCTGGCACATGGCAGAGACTTAATAAATGCTTACTGACTGATTGACTATTCAGGCCCAGGTCCCCTCTCACCGCTGGCTCTAAACGGCCTCCCTGCCACCAGCTTCTCCTTTCTTTCTTTCTTTTTTTTTTTAAAGTCTCTCATCTTAATTTAATTTTATTTTTTTTGATGAGGCATTTGGGGTTAAGTGACTTGCTCAGGGTCATACAGCTAGTAAGTGTTAAGTGTCTGAGGCTGGATTTGAACTCAAATCCTCCTGACTTCAAGGCCAGAGCTCTATTCACTGCATCACCTAGCTGCCCCTAGCTTCTCCTTTCTTGAGTCCACCTTCCATACAGCTGTCAGAATAATCTTTCTGAGGCTCGAGTCTGATCATGTCCCTCCTCCCAAAGTCACTCCTCATTGCCTCGATGACAAAATATTAACTTCTGAGCCTGCCTTCTAAGACCTTTTATAATTTGGTTTCACTCTATCTTTCTAACCTTTTTTTGGATTGCTCTTCTCTTTTTTTAAAATGAGTTCAACACCAACATTTATTAATTACTTACTATTTAAATAATGCTGCACTAGGCCCTGAAGAAAGATGCAAAATTTAACACAGATATTATCCTGCCCTCAAGGAACTTACAAAATGGTATAGGTATGAGCACACCAATAACTACTATTGTAGTTATTGGAAATGTTGTAGAGTCAGTGACCTCCATAGAAGTTTTATTTATTATAAGTCATCTTTTTTTTTTTCCCCAAAGGCAATTGGGGTTAAGTGACTTGCTCAGGATCATACAGCTAGTAAGTGTCAAGTGTTTGGTCTGAGCACAGATTTGAACTCAGGTCCTCCTGACTTCAGGGCTAGTGCTCTATCCACTGCGCCACCCAGCTGCCCCCATCTTTTTTTTTTTAACAGCTGCCATTGCCACCATCCCTTATCACATAATTAACAACATCAGCAGTTCTCCCAATTAAAAGGCCCTCCCTTTAATGACCAAGCATTTCACTTACTATTAAGTAGTTTTCCACAGAGGTGAGGTTTTTCAGTCTTTTTCAGTCATGTTGGACTTTTCCTAACTCCATGGGGTTTTCTTGGCAAAGATGCTGGAGTGGTTTGCCATTTCCTTCTCTAGCTCACTTTACAGATGAGGCAACTGAGGCAAACAGGGTTATGTGACTTATCCAGTGTCACACAGCTAGTGTCTGAGGCCTGATTTGAGGCCAGATTTGGACTCAGGAAGATGAGTCTTCCCTACTCCAGGCCCAACCCTCTATCCACTGTGCCACCTAGCTGTCACAGAGGTTTACTTCATCCAAGTACCTATGGGAATAATAATAAAAACCTGCATTTATATAGTGCTTTAAGGTTTTCAAAATGCTTTACAAATATCTCATTTTATCCTCACTATAACCCCCTTTTACAGATGAGGAAACTTAGGCAGATAAAGGCTAAGTGACTTGCTCAGGGTCACACAGCTAGTAGTATCTGAGCCTGGATTTGAACTCAGGCCTTCCTGACTCCATGTCCATTGTTCTTTTCACCTAGCTCTCTCTTACTTTGAAGTAGGGCACCTCTAAAGGTAGTGAATTCACTACAGATTTGCTGGATGCCAGTGTGACTAAGCCCCCACCAAATACCAGTTCCACAATGAACACACATTGCAAATAGCACAAAAACACATTTATCCAAATCATAGCAAAACAGAAATCAGAGAAGGTATACATAGGAGAATATAAACCAGACAGTACAGAATGAAGGAGTTCTTCTATTGGAAGTGAGATAGTTCAGCTCTCCCAAGAGGAAACTCCTCCAAGACTCTAGTGTAGCAAGATGGGGAAGGGGGCATGATGGCGATTGTCCATTCCTCCAGTGTCTTCCAAGGGTCTTTTCCTTCAGCAGCCTGAAGTGGGGTTGACCTCTACTATCTTCCCTCTGAAAGCTGGAAGTCAGAAGTCAGAAGTCACCGAATGGGACTGGTCCTGGAGAGTCTGGAAGAGGTTCTCAAAGATACTTTAGGTCCCTTCTATAAGATGTTCTTATTTTGATTACTTGGTATCCTTTTCCCCCTCCCAGTTTGTGCTCTTCAACTGAGCATTCTGCATGCCCCAAAACACTGAGTTAAGATTGACCCATCTGTGTGAACTGCATTCAAATCTGATCATGTATTTGATCAAAATTCCACGCTAAGCCACATCTTCAAACATCAGTTAGCCTTTCCTACACAGGAAAAACTTCATATCATATGGCTTGGTTTACTCAAGACTTTTCTGTCCCCAAACAGTAAATATGGGACTAAGGAATGTAAATATCATAGTGTCAACATTTTAATTGTTTTTATTATGAAAACAAACAAACAAACAAAGAGATGAAGCATAGTAGTGGTTTACTTGGCCATTTTCAATCTTGTTTCCTCATAGTTGAGAATGTTTATATCTAAATCGTCAGTAGTTGGGCCCAACACATTCTGACCTCAGTAGAATCTTTGTGATCTTGGCCTTTTCATGAACAACTGGCTTTGTCTGACCGCTATAGCCACTCTGCTTCCTGTCATGGCCTCTTTCCCTAAGGCAGTCCTTCCTTTCTTGTACTGTGAGGCTGGTGCTCACAGCACTTTGTTTTAGTAAATTCTGTGAGTTTTGGAGACACTCAACCCATCGTCGTCCGAATGAGGAAGAGGCATTCTGCTTATTCTTCAGGTGCTCTGTTGTCAAGCCCAAAGGGCCTCCAAGCTATTTCTAAGCTCAGCGTTGCTTCTTTGATTTCTGTCTCCCCATGACCAGGCACTCATTCACTCATCAAATCTTTCTCTTAGACTCCTTCTAAACTCTACTCAGAGGCTACTTTCTCTGGGAAGCCTTAATTCATACTCTCTCCTTCAAATTACTCTACATTTACTTATCAGTGTACATCCTTTACCTCCCACTAGAATGAAGGCCCTGGAAAGCAAGGGCTGTTAGAGTTTTAGCTTTGAATCCCCTGTGCTCTCCATTTAGTACCTGTTAGAGAAATGTTTGCTGAATTAAATTAAACTGAATCCAATCGGGAGCATAGTTTGTTTTTGTTTCAGGGCTCTAATCATTGAGTTTTCGTGACATTCTTCAAAGTCTCTTTGCCTTGATTTCCATCAAGAAAATAAAGACAGCAGTAGCTGCTGATCCTTACCGTCTGAAAGCTATTATGGCAATCAGTGGTAATAGTGGTAAGGATCTGAAGGATAATAATTAGATTGCTAGCTCTCGGTATGAGCAAGGCCTGTGTCTTATGTACATCACTTTACACATAGTTGGAGCTTAATAAATATTTATTGGAATGAATTAATAACAGCTAGTTTTGTGTACAGTGCATTATGCAGCTTTAAAATTGCTTTCATATTATCATCTTATTTAATCCTTATAAACCACCTTGTAAATTAGGCAGACCAGATGCTTTTCCTATTTTCCAGAACAAGAAACTGAGGCTCAGAGACTCAAGTGACTTACCTTGGATTAAAAAGTCTAGTTTGTGATGAAGCCATCATTAAAATCTGGGTCTCCTGAATGCAAAGCCAACATTCCTTTTACTATTCTAAAGGTCATATCTAGAGATTTAAAAAATAGACACGGAGGCATATTTTCTCTGTCTTATCAAGGGCTTTCATGGAAGTGGCTTAAGGGAAAAGGAAGATGTATGTATATGTCTTCAAGGGAGGACAAGGACGCTGGATGCTCCTAACTGAGGGGAAAGTTGGTCTAGGTCTGGCCTTGAGCGTCAATTTGGGTACTGAAAAAGAGACTGGGGTTGGGATTCGGGCTGAAGCTGAGGCCATGTTTAGAGCTGGTGGAGCTGGGAGCGATTTACAAGAATTCTACTTATCAGCTTCCTTTCTCTTTTTTGTTAAACCAGCTATCTCTTCACCAGTTTGGGTTGGAGACTGTGCATTCATAGCACGTCCAAGCATGACCCAGCAGAAGCTTGGTTGGGGAGCTCTACTGGTGCTAAGAAAATGATAATATAGTGAGGCCAAAAGCCATATTTAGTGCTTTCCTCAATTCACAAAGCCTTTGTTCAGTCAAAGTCACCTCTCTCCTGGAGCCACTTTCATGGCATTGAGCTGCCTTCCACTTTTGGTTACTAACACCTACTTTCACATAAAACTATTTCACAAGTCAATTTTAAAAATAGGTTTTTTGATAGGTAGTGCCCCATCTTTTCTACTCTCCCTGTTTGCACTTCTGGGTTTGATCCCCAGACAGCAGTTGCTCCCTACTATTCTAAGGGTAACCCTGGGGGTCTGTACTCCTAACACTATATATATATAGCTCTTAGCAAAGCCATATATTCAGATGATATAGGAAGAACCACCTTGTAACATTCTCTGGTAAACCTGGGTCACACTCTCCTACAAATACATATCATATCCATTGAGATGGTGGAGATAAACTTAAAAAGTATGATGAAAATGAGTCACGTGAGTAGGATACATATGAGTAACTCAGAACTCCTGGTGTTACAATGCTTTTTCTTGTTGTAGATACCTCATACTGAAGGAATCTACAGGCAACTAGGTGGTACAGTAGATAGAGTGCCAGGCCTGGAGTCAGGAAGACCTGAGTTCAAATGTGGCCTCAAGATACTTACCAGCTGTGTGACCCTGGGCAAGTCACTTGACTTCTGTTTGCCTTAGTCTCCTGGAGAAGGAAATGGCAACCCACTCCAGTATCTTTGCCAAGAAAACCCTATGGACAGTTGGGCCATGAGGTCAGGAGGAGTACAAACACACCTGAATAACAACTCCCAAATAATAATGATAAAAATAACAGCAACAATAGTAATGATAACTAGCACTTATATAACATTTAAGGTTTGCAAAGCATTTTACAAATATTATCTCATTTGATTCTCACCACAGCTATGGGAGGTAGCTGCTATTGTTATCCCCATTTTACAGATGAGGAAGTTGAGCTAGGCAGAAGTTAAGTGACTTGCCCCAGGGTTACCCAACTAGTAAGTAGCTGAGGCTGGATTTGAATTCAGGTTTTCCTGACTCCAGGCCCAGCACTTATCCACTGAAGTTTAGAGTATTAGATCTTCAGAGTCCTCTACTGCATCTTGGAACACAGTGCTAGGGATCTTGGAGCCTTTAGACCTGGGCTGTCCTGCTCTGGGTGCTCCTGTGTTGTTCCGGTGCTACTGGTCCCATCTGTGAATTATCCCTTATTTTTCTGTCCTCAATGTGACCTAGTTACAAGTGTTATGAATGTCTGAGGTCATAGATGTGAAACTGGAAAAGAATTTAAGGGGGCTCCTGACATTTTTTTTTATTAATGTCATGATTTCTCCACGTGATTAAAATAGAAATAATTAAATTGGCATGCTTAGATAATATATGGGCAGTACATGAGCATGGACTGAAAGCTGGAAGGAACCTTAATAATCACATAGCTCATTTCTCTATCTTATTTTACAGACAAGGAAACTGAGGCCCAGAGGTGAAGTAACTTTCACAAAGTCACACGGTGGCAGAGCTAGCATTCAGACCTGGGTCATGTCGTTCCACATCCAGGGCTCCCTCCACTGGCACCCTGCTTCCCTCCAGCATTCTGCCTCACTGTTCATCCCTTATAGTTTCCCTCTGTAATTCAGGCTTGGGCTGAGAAGCAGGCAGTCATGGCTTGGTGCAGGAGAGCACTGACAATGTGCTTTGCTTTGTCTTTTCTTCTGTTTGTCACATTTTTATTTATAGCCCCTTATGGCCTTCAAAATGCCTCCTTTAAAACACTGCTACGAGGGAGGTATTTGCGAGGTATTATTTTCCCCATTTTGCAAGTGAGGAAACTTGAGCTCAGAGGCTAAATGATTTGCCAAAGGTCCCAGAGTAGCAGAACCATGATTTGCCCTATGCCCCCTTTCCCCCATTATGCTGGCTGTACTTTTCTTGAATTCAATTTTAAAAAGCATTTATTATATAACTGGAGATACAAAGATAGCAAACGACATAGTCCCTGCTGTCACGGAACACACACTTTACAGGGGAATTTAGGCGTCCTTAATGAATAGCAAAACAACAAAATTCTCCTTTCTTGTCTTCCACAGGGACTTGAAACCCGAGAACATTCTCTTGGATTGCCAGGTCCGTATGTGGGCGAGGGGTGTGTGTGTGTGTGTGTGTGTGTGTGTGTGTGTGTGTGTGTATTTGTAGAGGTGGGTGGGTGGGTAGAGGAGGGGTTGGCGTGGGATGGGGGTGGGGGTTAAGATAGGAGAATGACTTGCTAGCTGGAAACTCAGAGGAAGACAGACTCCCATTGCTAACCTGGGGATTTAGGAAGTAAGAACAAAGGCTTTTTCAGTGACACATTCCCAAAAGGATTTATTTGTTCCAGGTCACAGTGGGGGCAGAGTCAGAACTCACACTACCCTACCTACCTCCCCCTACCCCCACTCCTGCCATCATGGATACTTTTCTTAAATTCTTTTAAAAATTTTATTAAGCGCCCGTTAATGTGAAGACTAACGACTTCCTCTGACGACTTGTTGTAGCACAGAGGTTACTTGGCTTCTCAAGGACTCTGCCAGACATAATCAATGAGTCAGCTAGGTGGTTCAGTGGTTAGAGGACTGGGCTTGGAGTTAGGAAGACCTGAATTCAAATGTGACTTCCTAGCTGCATGACCCTGGGCAAGTCACTTAAACGCTGTCAGCCTCAGTTTCCTCATCTGTAAAATGGGATTTTAACAGCACCTACTTTCCAGGGTTGTTGGAGGATCAAGTGAGATAATAATTCTAAAGCCCTTACCGCATAGTAAGCACTATGCAAATATTAGCTGTGGTGATGATGATGATGATGATGCCAGTGATACACAAGCCTTGGCAATGCCATTCAAGTCAATAAACATCTATTAAAGTGCCTGCTTTGTTCAAAGTGCCATGCCAGGTGTTTGGAATATGAGGGCAAAAATGAAACAGCCCCTAATCTATGATACCCTAAGATATGTTCGTTCTGTAGGGAGATATACCAAGTCTGCAGGTAAATAGACAGACACAAAGTAGATATAAAGCAATTTCAAGAGGAGAGGACATTAACAGCTGGAGGTAGGAATCAGAAAAGTCCTTGTAGAGTAGGCTGTGATTCTAGGGCTGTGCTTTGAAGAATGCTAGGGATTTCCTAAGGCAGAGGCGGGGAGGGGTGTACATGCCACATGTGGGGACCTAACCTATGCAAGAACATGGAGGCAGGTCCTAAAGGCAGTGTAGGGTGGTGGAAAGCACAGGTTTTAAAGTCAGAAAGCCTACGGATGAATCTTGGCTCACCTACTAACTACCTGTATGACCTTTGGCAAGTTATTTAATCTCTCTGGGCCTTAGCTTCCTCATGAGAGGGTAGGATTTGATGATCTCTGAAGTCTCTTCCAGTTCTAGAACTAGCATTGAAAGGCTTTGAGTATGGGCCCAATAATTATCATCCACGAGCTAAATTTAGATAGGCTTGTCATTGGAGGGTTGGTTATTAGGGGATAACATGGGGGTGGGGTGGGACAAGGGAGGAGGAAAGGACCATAACAACTCAAATATAGTTTACTAAGGTATGAAAAGGTTGAGAAGTGGGATTAGGATAGTGGGCTGCAAAGGACAATTCATCCAGTTTGAGTAGAACTTTGCAGTTTCTTCTTGTCTGTTTCTGTTTAGGGCCATGTTGTGTTGACTGATTTTGGGCTTTGTAAAGAAGGAATGGAGCCAGAAGAAACCACATCCACTTTCTGTGGCACCCCTGAGGTATAAAATAAATAAATGCTGTGTCTCCTCAGCCATCTACAAGGGCACAAACCTGAAAGTTATTGGAATGTAGTTGATCACTTGCATGTGTTAATAGCTAAAGTTCAACTTCAAATTGTCAACATTAACTGGATAAAAATTGACATTAACCAGAAAGATCTGGCTAATGCTGAATCTTGTGAACATTAAACAAGAAAGGATTTCTCTACAACTGGGTTTAGAATGGTTTATCCCTAAGACTTTAAATGTTAATAATTGCCAGTTTTGAGTGGTACTAATTTACCATTAGTAATGTTGTAAACTTCTGTGTGTTCTTTCAAGGTCTAACAATAACTGAATGTTTCTGTAAAATAAGATTATCTGACCCTTGCTGACATTAGGATTTGGATTTTTGCTACAATGTGTATATACATCATTTTAGTTCCAGTGGTCCTCTTTTATCTAGTGGTCAGGGAATCTTCTCCCAATGAAATTGCTGGATAGGAACAGGAAAGATGGGCTTACCGTATGATCTCTAAGTGATTTCCGCTTATATTGTCATCTCATGTTATTTGGGCTAGTCCCCAAAACATTTGATTATTATCTTGTTGAGATATAGCACCAAATGGGATTCATTTCTGATCCATGAGCTTGTTCTATGGATGTCAGAGTCAGTTTGGGAGATCTGTTCAGTTGCTCACTAATGAAATTGTTTCCCATCTCTTTCTGACCTGCTACAGGCCACCTTGATATTTGGGGAACAATGGATGGTTGTCTGTGGAGGATAATTATGGGAATGTGAGATTATGGGCTTACATGCCCAGTGACCTCTCCTTTTTATGTTATTTCTCTTCTTTTTTTTTTCTAAATCTATTTCTTTTAATAAAATGCATAGGTTTACTATTAGTAGCCTGAATTGAGAAACAGAGATAGTTGAAAGGACACTGAGCCCTAACTTGGATCTGAATTTTAATCCTACATCTGCCATTAACTGGCTGTGAGATCATAGGCAAATCACTTACCCTCTTGGAACCTCAGTTTCCTCATCTGTAAAATGGGGAAGTTGGAGTGATGGATCTCAAAGATCTTTTCCGGATCTCAAATAAGTGAAAAATAATTTGTTAAGTGCTTACTATGTGCCAAGCATTAGGGATACAAATACAGGTAACAGAGATAGTTCCTGCACTGAAGCAGCTTACATTCTAATCTGAGAGGACAACACATAAAAAGGAGGTAGAGTCAGAAAGTGGGAAGGTGGAGACGAGAGACAAGGAGCACCAGAGTGGTGGTGGCATGGTTTGGAGCTGGCGAGGGATGGCAGGATGGCCTGGTTCTAAGCTAGATAAGATGAAGGCTCACCTATCAGAACCCAGGGGCAGGAGCCCCAGTTTGGGGATGTGGGAAGTTGAGGAGGCCCAGAGTGGTGGTAGAGTGGTTTGGAGCTGGTGGTTATTCTCTTGCTCCCTGTTGTGGCTTTTCTTTGGCCCTAAAAGAGCCAAGCTATCCTTACCAGTGATAGCCCTTTCCCTCTGTGATCGAAGAAAAGCATTATGCATAGAAACTCAGTCTAGTTCACTATGGGGATGATTCATCCAATTTCCCCTCACTTCCAGTGCTGCTCTGGGTCTCCCATGTAGTGCTCAATCAGTGATCCTTACAAGGATACTCAGATTCCTCTGATATACTTACCATTCATTCAAGAGATATTTATTGAAGGCAATAGGTTCAGGTAATTGTGCTAGAAGTTGTGGGACGTACAAAGATAACTCCCAGTGCCTTTTCTCAGGTTTCTTAGAATCTAGTAGAGAAGCTTTGTAAAATAAAGCAGATATATGAAGAAGTATGCCATAATAAGACAGTATGTGATAATTTGCATAAGAGCAGTATAGGTGCTTCAAGAAGGGAGCTGGGGTGATCAGGCAAGATGTAAGGAAGCAGAACATGGGACAGCTGGGTGGCACAATGGATAAAGCACTGCCCTGGAGTCAAGAAGACCTGAGTTCAAATTTGGCCTCCAACACTTACTAGCTGTGTGACCTTGAGCAAGTCATTTAACCCCATTTGCTTGAAGCAGGACATTTCAGCTGGACCTTGGAGTCAAAATGCTGATAGAGATAAGGGGAGGAAATTCTAAGCAAAGAGAATGAAATGAATAAAAATGTGCAAGTAGGGAAAAGGAAGGTGTATTTGGAGGATACTGGGCAGTTAAATTACTCACTGCAGCCATCCGAATAATTCTCTGTGTGGGTTCTTAGGAGTTCTAAAATGAGATAGAAATTTGATCAGTTTTTCCTGCCCATTTCAGTTCCTATATTTGGCAGCAAAGATCTTTCCAAATGAGTGAGGAAAGCATAATGAGAGAAACTTAGCATACATGCTAAGGAGAAAGCCTATACATTAGACTTACATGACCAAATGAGATTTATTAAAGAATATTTTGTACAGCTGGCCAGAGAATGGGGGAGGGAGTGCAGCTCTCCAAATCTGTGCCTAGATTAGCTACCAAGATCGCTTCCTAGCTTCCCTTTTTAGTAAAGGAAAAGTCCCATCTCTGAAATGTGTTAGAAATAACACTTCTTGTTCAGGGGTTCTGAGATGGTCATTTGGTTATAAGTGAGGAGTAAGATATCTGTTACTTCCCCTTCCAGATATGTGCTTTGGGATCTTTGAGCACTGAAATTGGTTGAGGAGGTTGAGAATATAGTATTGAAGTGTTTCCCAATCTTCTTGAAGTTAAATAATAAGGGGCATATGGAGACTCTTATCTATAAGCCATTTGGATCCAGATGGATACTTGTACATGAAATTATAATTGGGGAAACTAGGGGAGACCTTGACTGTTTTAGGGGTAAAAGCAAAAGAAAGTGAGAAGAGATTACAACTACATAGGTAGATGTATAGAACAGTAGCCAGTTAATATAGATGGGCATAAGTTTCTCTGGGCAGTTCTGTCTCAAAATTAGGCTATTCTCTCAAATGAGTGTAAAAGGCCCTCTGATGAAGGTGCTTATAGTTTTTTTTTTTTTTGGTGAGGCAATTGGGGTTAAGTAACTTGCCCAGGGTTACACAGCTAGTAAGTGTCAAGTGTCTGAGGCTGGATTTGAACTCCAAGGCCGATGCTTTATCCGCTGTGCCACCTAGCTGCCCCTGCTTATAGCTTTTCACCTTGAGATTTGAAACCTCCCCCAACCCCAACCCCATCACAAATGGTCAGTAAAGGTCGGTGGCTTGCTGTTGTCTCTGGGATCAAATCTAAATTTCTGTCTTTGGTATTTAAATACGTCTCATAGAAACCACAAACTAGATACTACAAAATAATCACAGCACTTATAATTTAATAAATAATAAATTTAAATTTAAAAAATTAATAAAATTAAAAAATAAAAAAAATTTAAAAATAAATAATTTAATAAAATCTATAATCACAGTCCAGTTTGGCTAGAGCATAGGATTATTTTATTAATTCATCCAGCCATCTAGCCACCTATCCATCAGATAGTTATTAATGTATATTGTGAGTTAAGGCTTTAAAAGTAGTTTGATTTAGTTTCAAGAGAACTTGGAATGCTAGGTTAAGGAAACTGGACTTTATCCTGTAAGTAGCAGAAATCACTAAAGGTTTTTCTTAAAGGAAAGACGTGATCAAAGGGATGACTTCAGAAGATTTTTCTGGAAGTGTGTACAAAATGAATTTTAGAGAGGATTTTTAGCTAAAATGAAAAACGACCTATTAGAAAACTATTTTATTACTCCAAGTAAGAGGTAATAAGGGCCTGAAGCAGAGCAGTTCCAGTAGGAATGGGAAGAAAGTTGGTACTATTTGTATAGCATCGGTGTTTCCTTTAGAAATTACAGTAGAGGGCCCCTAGGTGGCGCAGTGGATAGAGCACCGGCCCTGGATTCAGGAGTACCTGAGCTCAAATCCTGCCTCAGACACATAACACTTACTAGCTGTGTGACCCTAGGCAAGTCACTTAACCCCATTGCCTAACCAAAAAAAAAAAAAAAAGAAATTACAGTAGGAAACAAGAATTCCAAAGCTTCCTTGGAAATCATGCCAGTGACATCTGTCCTTTGGTTTGGGGACCAAGAAAAGGTCATCTAATCTATTCTTCTGCCTTTAGTAAATATTTCTTTAATCTATCCTAGTCAGATAAGGCTCTCCCCTTTTAAAAAATATCCAGAGATATCCAACCTTCTTTGATAACATATTCCCTCCCTAAAAGCCTCCTATAAAGGAATTTTTTCCTTATACCTATCCTAAGTCTTTCAGGTTGGAGTTCAAATTTGTTTCCTCCTTTTCTAACTCTAAGGCTTTGGGTGAAATTGCTGCCAATAAACATTAATTGATTTTATGTGACAATGGAGTTGAAAAGTGATTGATTTTCATCACCATAGTGATTCTTCATATGTTTGAATCACTCCCCAGCTTTCTGTTCTTTTAACTAAATAATGTCTTTTCCTTTCATCTTATTCTTTAGATTTTATTTCACAACCTTTAATCCTTCTGGTACTGCTCTGAACCTCCTCCATATTTCTAAGTTGTGGATGAGAGAAATATATATATGAGAGGTGGATATATATACCCTTCATTTATACAAATGAAGAAATGAGGTAATCTCTCTGAACCTCAGGCATCTCTAAGATGTCCTCCTAAGTTACAGAAAGATTATAATTTGCCTAGGGGGAGGAAGGTCATGTACTTGTGTAAATCTCATTCACAATGAAATGGTGATAGCTGACAAGTGTCATGGGCACATTAGAACCTAGGTCTTCCTGACTTGAAGTACAACACTCTGTCCTCTATATACTGTCAGGATGACTTTTTGTTGTGGAAAACTATTAAAATTCAATGAAAACAACTGCATTTATATCATGAAGCAGGCAAATATCATGGAAAGAGAATTGCCCAGAATTGTCAGGGTACCAGTACTACCATTGCCTAGCTGTGTGATCCTGGGCAAATCACTTCATCAACGTTGACCTCTTTTTTTCTTTTCATTTGTATAGTAAAGAGTATAAACTAGATAAATATTTCCAAAACTGTGTTCGATGGCAATCTGAGAAATTTTCAAAGTTAGCAATATTTCTATGTGTCAAAATTATTTAATATGTGGGGAATTTTCCAGTATGAAAATGGCCTTACTTTCCTTCATTTTGCTTTAAAATTTCCCTAGTTCCATGTTATCTTAATGATCTTCTATTCCCAATCTGCCCCTTTCACCTCCTCCATGGCAAGATTAATTGGAACTGGCTAAGCTTGAAGTCAACTAGTAAATCAACAAATTTAGTGAATGCCTAGTATGTGCTGGGCACTACATTGATCCTGGAGCTATAGTGACAACAAAGAAACAGTTCTCGCCCTCAAGGAGTTTTCTGATGGGCTCTGACACTTCTTTTTAGCTCTAGTATTTGAAAAAATAAGCAACTCTCTGTTCCTTTCCAGCTCTGGGATTCCTTTTAGCTAGCTTTATTCACAAGTCTTAAAATACTAGAAATAAAACAAAAACTTTCCATCTTTTGTTGCAATTAAAAATTTTTTTTAAATTCAATTTTACTTTATTTTCGGTCTGCATTCTCCCCCTCTTACTTCTTCTCCTGTCCCCTCCCTCCTACTTATAAATAATTTAAAAAAATATACCTCAATCTGAGTCCATTACCTCTTTATTTGAAGGTGGGTAGCATGCTTCACCATGAGTTCTCCAAAATTATAGTTGGTCATTGCACTGATCAGAGTTTCTAAGTCTTCCAGAATTGTTCATCTTTACAGTGTTACTGTTATTGTACAAATTGTTCCCCTAGTTCCATTCACTTCACTTTGCATCAGTTCATACGAATCTTTCCATGTTTCTTTAAATCTGTCCCCTTCATCGTTTATCACAGCACAATAGTGTTATATCACATTCATAACTCATTTTGTCACAACAGATACAAGAAGTACATTGATGTTACCATTTTTAAAAAAATCCTTTGATAACAGAACTCCTCTTTGATAGAGTTAGCTTGGGCCTTACTGGCTTGGGGGAAGAACTGGTCACCTCAGTATTGTGCTGGTGGTACCTGCTGAAAGTGGGTGGTGGTGTACAACTAATATTTTGTGGATGTGCCAGGGCACAGACCATTAGAGCAGTTCAGGAGAGAGGGAATCCATATTCTGGAATGTTTTCTTTGTTAGAGCTGCATGAGGCAATTGCCTGGTCAAAGAGCCTAGGGTCAGAAGTAAGGAGACTTTTGTCCTAGTCTCATCTCTCCACTGACCCTTTGTGTGACTTTTGGCAATCACTTCACCCTGGGTTTTAATTTCCTCAGCCATGAGATGTTTGTTGAATGAATGATTAAAAGAAGGATATAGGTCTATTGTCTCAAACTCTAATTTTACATTTGCTTCAAGTTTATATCACTAATCTATTTGTACTCTTTTCCTTACTAGACTATAAATTCCTTGAAGGCAGGTACTGACTCTTATTTCATCTTTGTATACCTTGCATTTGACACAAGGTCTTGGACCAAGTTGATGTTTAATATTTATTAGGGTTTACTGATTTTATTTGTTGAACAGAATCTAGCTCAACCCTCACATTTTAAAGATGTGCAAAGTGAGGTGAGATGATTCACCCTTTAAGCAGGATGTGTTCAGAAAAACCTGGAATAACTTTCATGAACTGATACAAAGTAAAGTAAGCAGAACCAGGGAACATTATACACAGTAACAGCAGTATTATATGATGAAGAATTTTGAATTACTTAGTTATTCTCAGTAATACAATCATTCAAGACAATTTTAAAGGCCTCATGATGAAAAATGCTATCTGGCTCCAAAGAACTGATTTTGTCTAAATACAGACTGAAGCATATTGTTTTTCTTTCTTTCCTTCTTTCTTTCCTCCTTTCCTTTCTTCCTTCCATCTTTTCTTTCTTTTTTTTCCTTTCTTTCTTCTTTCCTTCCTTCCTTCTTTCCTTCTTGCACACAATGACTAATATGGAAATATTTTACACGATTGTACATGTATAACCTGTGTCAGATTGTTTACCATCTCAGGGAGAGAGGAAGGGAAGGAAGGAGGGATAGAATTTGGAACTCAAAACTAAAAAAAAAAAAGGTTAAAAATTGTTTTTATGTGTAATTGGGGAAAAATAAAATTTTTTTTAAAAAGAAATGATTTGCCCTTGGTCACAAAGCTAGCCAGCACTGGCAAAATCCTTTTTGCATGCAGCTTTGTAGGAGTCGATATGCTTGCTTAAAGTTTTATTTTATTTTTAGGTTAGTGAGCATTTATTTTCTCTCCTTCCTCTCGTAATAAAGAAAAAAGAAAAATAAAACCCTTTTAAGAAACAAATATGTATATCAGGAAAAAGAAATTCCCACATTATTTACATCCCAAAATATATGTCTCATTATTACAACTTGAATCCATCACCTCTTTGTCAGGAGGTGGGTAGCATTTTCCTCATCAGTCCTCTGGAATCATGATTGGTTATATCATTGATCAGAGTTCTTCTGTATTGTTTTTTTCCAACAGTATTTGGCTCCTGAAGTATTGAGAAAACAACCTTATGACAGAACAGTTGACTGGTGGTGTTTGGGGGCTGTTCTTTATGAGATGCTCTGTGGCTTGGTAAGTGTTAGAACATTATAATATTCAGTTGATATTAACCCCAGTACTTAAATGAAATTGCTTTTTAGTACTGTTATATAATTTGTAGGAGAATTTACCTAACCAAATTAAGCATTCCTCCCTTCTAGGAACTTATAGGCTAAGACATAATAAAGATGGATAAGAAGGTGAAGGCAAAAAGGGGAAAAGGTTGTATGGAGTGAGGAAAATGAAGAGCTGAAAAGAGAAGGTTGGAATAAATAGGAAAGGACTGGGGATGGGGAGAGAGAAGACAACTACAGAAGAGGAGCAAACTCATGAATGGTGTTTCTTTGCATGAAAATTTCTTGGGATATCCATAAACCTCCCACCAAGGCAATTCCCTTTAAGCTAAGCGTTCCCAGCTCTCTTTTTTTGCCCCAAGTCCCTTTAATTTCAGTTATATTCCCTATTCAATAAGAAAGGACATAAATTCTAGAGTTTATAATGCAAATGCATATAAGAAATAAAACATTAATTTCCATAAATAATGTAGTTACTTACCAAACATTCCCTGTATCCTCTGGAGACATTCCTGGTTGGGAACCCCTGTTCTGGGACATGGTGATGGGTTAACTTTTTCTTTTTATTTGTGCAAGAACTCACCATTTTAAGCTACATTAAGAGAAGCAGAATTCCAGGACTAGGGCAGTGGTGGATCTGCTGTGCTCTGTCCTGATCAGTATTCTATTTTATTCTGGGCACCACATTTTGGGAGACCATCTGAAGAAGAAGTAACTGAAATAGTGAAGGTCCTCAAAGTCATGTCTTATGAGGATCAATTAAAGGAACTGGGGATGTTTAGCCTGGAGAAGAGATGATTTAATGGTAGAGAACATGATTACTATCTTCAAGTATTTAAAAGCCTGGGGTGGGGTGGGGATGAAGGGAGAGAGAAAAAAAAAAGGTAAAAAGTACACAGCAGAGAACAAAAAAACCTAAAAGGAAAAGAAAATCTGGGTAGCTTTGAAAACAATGTGCAGTATTTATTACTTAGGTTTTCCTGAAATGGAAATTTATCGTGTTATATTGAATCCTCTCTTATGTTTTGCTGTGTACATGGAAATGTTCTTTTTTTCCTTTTCTTGTTTCGTATTTATTTAAAATGAATAAAAAATTTACACCCACACAAAAATATTTAAAAGCCTGAAATGTGAAAGAGGGTTTAGACTTGAGCCCACAGGGTAGAGCTTGCTCTGCTTGACCCCAGAGGGTACATCTAAGAGCAAATGGAAAAAGTCTCAGAAAGGGAGGCTTACGCTTATTGCAAGGAAAAGCTTCCTGGATGCTTTAGGAAGTAGGAGGTTCTCTCTCCCTGGAAGTCTCCAAGCCAAGGTTAGAGAACCATTTGCTAGGGATGTTCAAGATAGAACTCTTATTCGGGTATAAGTTGGATAAGATGCCTTTGAGGTCCCTTCCAGCTCTGAGATTCTGTCACTCGATAATACTTTACTCCAGAGTTCTCTTTCCTGAAGGGTATACAAAGTGTCCAGTCTATCTTATTTTCTAGGGATATGACTTGTGGGTCTCTGCTGCATTTAGCAGGTATATTGTCCATTTATTTTTCTGAAGTAAAAATTCAAGTGCTAGATTCTCTGAAAAAAAAAAGTTTACTTCTGATTAGTCCCTGATCTATGATCAGACATAGGTCTCTTCTTTCTTTCTTTCCCTATCTGGCAGCCACCTTTCTACAGCCGAGATGTTTCTGAAATGTATGAGAACATCCTTCACAAGCCTCTCCAGATCCAGGGAGGCAAGACAGTGGCAGCCTGTGACCTCCTGCATGGCCTTCTCCAAAAGGACCAGAAGAAAAGACTGGGTGCCAAAGCAGACTTTGTATGTGACAGGTCTATGAGGGCTCTCTTCTGCCCTCTCCCACTCCACATCCTTTGCTCCTAGTGGTTTCTTAACCTCAAGAACAGCACATTTTTAAAATGCAGATGGCCTAACTTCATCAAAGACTATGGTTTAAAAGGATGCCTAATACCTAAGGATGGGGCTTCCTGTCTCTGGTCACATTGTCTTTGAATGATAGCTTCTTCCACACCACCTTACAGAGGAGAGATGTCCAACCCAAATTCAGATGTCATTCCTAATATCTAATCTAAACGTTCCTGCTTGTAATCTAAGTCCTTCACTTCCAAAGTCAGAAAATGGTGACATATTTCAGTAATCTGAGGCCAATTTTCCCCTTCCTATTAGGTTTGTTTTCCAGGAGGAGGAACTGTGTCATATGCTTAACAGAACCAACTGTATAAAATAGTATAAATACAGTTACATTAGAGGCAGCATGGTAAAATGGAAAGAGTATTGGCACTGGAGTCAGCGGACCTAGGTTCAAATCCTGCCTCTGTCACTTACTACCTGACTGACCTTGAGGAGGTTAATTAATCTCTCTGGGCCTCAGTTCCTTGACTAATATAATCATGGGTAGGACGACATAACCTCTGAGGTCTCTTCTGGCTTTCAATCTGTGATCCTAAACCATGACAGGAAACTTTCTCAGGATTGACACAGGGCATTGACACTTGTATTGATTGAAGGGATGGGGATAGGGATGGATGGGAAGAGAATCTCTCTTGAAAGTGAGACTTTGAATGTGTTGTTCTTCCGTCCTTTCAGTTGTGTCTGACTCTTCCTGACCCCATTTGGGGTTTTCTTGGCAAAGATACTACAGTGGTTTTCCATTTCTTCTCCAGCTCATTTTACACATGAGGAAACTGAGGCAAACAAGGTTAAGTGACTTGTCCAGGGTCACACAGCTAGTAAGTGTTTGAGGCTGGATTTGAACTCAGGAAGATGAGTCTTCCTGACTCCAGGCCCTGTACTCTATCCACTGTATTACTTTGCTGCCCATTTCAATGTGTACCTGAGATTCAAATTTAATTGTGTTCTAAGAGCTCTGTGATTAGTTTGGCTCTTCACTCTCTCCTTTCTTCTTAATGAATAGATGCTGCACATTGCCCTTGTAGGAAGATTTGGGGCAATTAGTTGCATTTTTCAACATCTTTGAGAACCATCAGTTACCCAAATTCTTAGTGTAAGAAGTGACAAATATGGCCTGTTTTTTCATCTGTAAAATGAGGATATTCACTGTAGCACTTACTTCAAAGGATTATTGAGAATCAAATGAAATAATATATATAAGTGCTTCACATATATTTAAGTGCTATATAAATGTCAGTTAATATTATTAATAATAATAGCTATCATTTACATAGCACTTTAGGGTTTGCAAAATATTTTACATATATTATATCATCTTATCCTTACAAAAACTCTGTGAGGTAAATGCTATTATTGCCCCCATTTTACAGATGAGGGAAAAGACAGAGAGGTTAAGTAACTTGCCTAGAGTCACACAGCTAGTCAGTGTCTTGAGGTAGGATTTGAACTCAGATCTTCCTTAATCCAAACTCCCCTGCTCTGTCCACTGTGCCACCTTGTTACATATAATAATAGCAGTAATAGTAAATATTATTAATGAAGGTGGTAGAGATGAATACTAACTATAACACAATTATTTTTAATTATCCCTTGAGACCCAGGAGATTAGACTGAACTATTTCTTAAGTTCAAAATAAATATTTGGAGGCTTGTAAGATGAGTATGATATTAGCTCATATTTATATAGAATTTCAAGATTCCTGAAATGTATTACAGACATCTCACTTGAGTTTCAGAAAAACCCTTGTGAAAGGAACTTCCAGGGATTATCCCCATTTTACAGAAGAGAACTTGAAGGTCACAGAGGCTCAGTAACTCTCCAAGGCTCACACAGCTAAGTATCAGAAGCAGGATTCAAACCTACATCCTAATTCCAAGACAACAGTCTCTGTCTCCTCTCCCATACTATCGCCATACTGAAGAGTGGATATTCTCATTTCAAAATTTGCAGGGTAGAACTCTTAGTGTAGTGGCAGTTCTAATGTATAGGGTAATATTATTCTCTAAAACAGTATTTTCTTCTTGCAGCTTGAGATAAAGAATCATGTCTTCTTCAGCCCGATAAACTGGGATGACTTATACCACAAGAGACTCACTCCTCCTTTCAATCCAAATGTGGTAAGAGGATGCCATTATTTGTTTACTTACTCTTCATCGTTGTAATTAATTTGGTTCAGAAGCACAAATAACACTTGCTTCAGTTTATCTATCTGCCCCTCTGCTTCCTAACCAAAAGTGGAGGTGGATAAACTTTGGTTTTCATTATTTTCATCTACCTTCCTCTTTCATTTCTCCTTTTTCCATTGCTCTGAAGACCTAGTGATAGCAAGGAGACATGTTGAAGGTTGATGTGAGAGCAGGTCCAATGGAAATGTAATTGGAAAGTCATGGCAAAGTAGTATACAGAGGGTCCATAACTGCTTGGATATTATAGATATCTCTACCTTTGTGAGTCAGGTATCTGGCTGTGAGGAAACAGGCTTATTTTTTTTCTTTTAAATATATTTTATTATTTCCAATTACATATAAAGACAATTTTCAACTTTTTAAATAAAATTCTGAGTTTCAAATTTTCTCCCTCTCTTCTTCCTCTCCCTCCTCCCTAAGATGGTAAGCAATTTAGTATAGATTATATATATGCAATCATGTAAAACATATTTCCATATTAGTCAAGAGCAGGTTTATTCTAAAGCAGAGATTCTTAATTTTATTTTCTGTCCTGGATCATTTTGGCACTCTGGGGGAGCCTATGGACCATTTCTTAGAATAATATTTTAAAATACATAGGATTATAAAGAAAACTAATCATATTGGAAACAAGTTATCAAAATCTATCATCTGTCTATCTATTGTTCACAGACTTCAATTTAAGAAACCCCTTTATCTAAAGCATGCACTAAACTTCACATCCCATTCTCTCTTTCATGTTTTTTCTCCCAAGGTGGGGCCTGCTGACTTAAGACACTTTGACCCAGAGTTCACTAAGGAAGCAATTTCCAGTTCTATTGGATGTACACCGGATTTAACAGCCAGTAGCTCTGGGGCTTCCAGTGCATTTTTAGGTTTTTCTTATGCACCTGGGGATGAGAATTTTTTAAACTGCTAATAAGCCCACGCATCATCTCTAAAGAGCTGCTTGTGTTATTTATCTTCTGAGTCAAATTGTACTGTCCTATAGTGGAAGATGTGATGAGTATAACTGTACATGTCCCAATTGTCTCATGCTGACCATATAGCACTTTTAGGTGCTACATCAGAATGGTATTCATTTTGTGGGATTAAAACTTAACAGGAAGGAAGAAACAGAGGAAGAAATAGAGAAAGGAAGAAAAGAAAGAAGGAAGGAAAAGAGGGTAAGGTGGGGTAATGTGGCCTACTAAAAACTGGCCCTACCTTAGTGGTGGTGGCAGTGATGGGGCGCCACCCTGATCTATATAGTCTGTTTTAAAAACTTACCTTCATCAGTTACCCTAAAGGTGGTCAGGTATTGGAAGACTGATGCATAAGACACTTATTTATAAACCAGAAAGCCAATTTATTAATATACAATGGAAAATATATCTGGCCTCACAACCAGTAATGGTTATTTTTGCAGGGTACCTTTAAATGAGTGAATTCAAAGAATCTTGAAATAATTTGGCATTATTCAAATTATTCAAAGGTTATTAAATTAGATAATTAAAAATTATTTTTAAAAAACCTTTTGACCCAATAATTCTATTATTGGGCATATACCCCAAGGAGATCAATGACAAAGTATAGTGGCACTTTTTGTAGTAGCAAACTGGAAATGAGATGGGTGGCTATTTATTGTGGAATAGCAGAACAAATTGTGATATGTGAATAGAGTAGAATATTACATTTAAGAAATAATGACAATGAAGGATTCCAAGAAACTTAGAAAGACTTTTAAGAACGTTATGATCAAACTAAGTTGAACCAAGAGAACACGACACACAATGACCACAACAACATAAATGAAAATAACCCTAAAAGATGTCAGGACTGAAAACAATGAAAAGATTAGTTTGTGACTCCAGAAGGCTGTTTATGAAATATCTCTCTCTTCTCTCAGCAGAGATATGGGGGAAACAGATGTGGAATGAGGCCTATGTTGTCCACAGAGTCAATGCTAGTTGTTTTGCTTCACTTTAATAATGCAACAATGGTCAATATTTACATGGTGCTTTAATGTTTGTAAGGCACTTTACATACATTATCTCACTTGAATCTCACCACAACCCTTTGAAGTAGGTACAATAGGAATTCTCTTCAGTTTATAGGTAAACAAACTGAAACACAGAGAGGTTTGGTGACTGCTCAGGTCACACAGCTAAGAAAATTTCAGAGAGACAGGATTTGAATCCAGGTCTTTTTGACACCAAGCCCAGTGTATGACTCATTATGCTGCTCTATTTTGTTGTGAGAGAGTGTTCTGTTTAGGAAAATATGGCAATTTTTGAAAAGCACTAATAAAAAATTAAAAAACCTAATTCAACCATATAAAACAGAAGACTACGTTGTGTTTATTCCTGCACTATGGTGTACAGATCATTCAACAAACATTTACTGAGCTCCTACCATATCTAAGGCACTATGTAAAAATATTAGAGATACAAGGGCAGCTAGATGGTGAAATGGATAGAGTTTCAGTCCTGGAATCAAGAAGACTCATCTTCCTGAGTTCAAGCTTGGCCTCAGACACCTACTAGCTGTGTGACTCTGGGCAAGTCACTTGACCCTTTTTGCCTCAGTTTCCTCATCTGTAAAATGAGCTGGGGAAGGAAATGGCAAACCACTCCATTATCTTTGCCAAGAAAACCCCAAATGAGGTCACAAAGAGTTGGACACAGCCAAAAATGACTGAATGACAATACATTAGAGATACAAAGATAAAAACTGTCACAGCCCTAGCTCTCAAGAAGCTTACATTCTAATACATCTCAAGAAAAGAAAAACAGAACCTAACAGGTTTAGAACAGATGGCAAAAACATGAGCTCTTCAGTAGGTAAAAGTGAAGGATGAGATGGGATATGATCAACTTCTACCAACAAAATAAAACAAAAATGAACAGCACAGATATTATGAGCATGGACTCATTCACTGAATTCCCAAGAAGTAGAATGAGGTGGGTCTTTTGAGACAGATGAAAGCAAACACTGAATTACAGGACAGGTAATGATCTAATAGAACTTGTTTTCCTAGGAGATGGTAGTGGCAAGAAATATCACTTAAGGCAATGTTCTAATTACCACTACATCATCTTGTTAAAAACAGCTCCCCCTCAAAAAGAGCAGAAAACCTTTTTCTAGACAATTAAACTGCCTGGGTAACTCTTACCATCTATTTTGCTCCCTCATGCCAACTTCTACTATCTCCCTCACTCGTAGGGCATAAGATTTCAAGGTAGAATGGACTTTAGAGTTATCTAATCTAATTCCTTATTTTAAAAAAGGAGAAAACTGAGTCTGGGAAAGGTTAAGTGACTTGGCTTACACAGAGTTAGTATCCCCATTGCTCCATGTATTCATGAAGTGTGTGTGAAGAGAGAGAAAACAGATTGGGGAATAAGACCCTAATTAAACATGTCTCACTAGAGACTAATGCTGTGTAAGGGACAACTGGGGAAGGAAGCTCCCAACATTGAAGCACCCAAAGAGCTGGAGCAAACAATGATCTCCAGTACCATGGAGAGCAGCCATTCACACTTTCCCAGACCACCTTGTCTAATAGGGCTCTGGATAATCTTGCTCTCTTTCATAGGTTCCCAAAGTGGGTGATACCGCTTCCTGGGGGGTGCTGGGACTATCCAGAGGGGTGATAGTAGTTTGAAATGATGCAAATTAAAAAAAAAAATTAAAGGGTTAAAGAAAGTAGATTTCCGGGGGGGTGCTGAGTAATTTTTTTGAAAAGGGGAAGGTAGCTAGTGCAGCTAGATGGCAAAGTAGATAGAGCACTGGCCCTGAAGTTAAGAGGACCTGAGTTTAAATCCAGCGTCAGACCAGACATTTGACACTTACTAGCCTGTGTGACCCTGGGCAAGTCACTTAACCCCAATTGCCTTAAAAAAAAAAAAAGGAAAGAAAAGAAAAGGAAAGCGGGTAGTAGGCCAAATAAGTTTGGGAACTTCTAGTAGATAGTGGCAGACACTCAGTTCTGAACTGTGTCAGTCAAACCAGCAAGTTATTAAATGCTTACTACATATCAAGCATTCTGTTGAGCATTCAAACACAAAAAATGAAAGTCTGCCCTCAAGAACCTTAAATTTTATCAAAGAAAAAACATTTATGGAATTGTGAAAAGATTCAACCATTTTGGAGAGCAACTGGGAACTATACCCAAAGGGCTATAAAATTGTGCATACCCTTTGACCCAGCAATACCACTTGTACGTCTGTATCCCAAAGAGATCATAAAAATGGGAAAAGGACCCACATGTACAAAAATATTTATAGCAGTTCTTTTTGTGATGGCCAAGAATTGGAAATTGAGGGGATGCCCATCAATCGGGGAGTGACTGAACAAGTTGTGGTATATGAATTTAATGGAATACTATTGTGCTATAAGAAATGCTGAGCAGGCAGACTTCAAAAAAAAACTTGGAAAGACTTACATGAGCTGATGCAGAGCAAAATGAGCAGAACTAGGAGAACACTGTACATAGTAACAGCCACATTATGGGATGACTGACTTTGACAGACTTGGCTCTTCATAGCAATGCAAGAATCTAAGACAACTCCAAAAGATTCATGATAAATTACTATCCACACCCAGAGAAAGAAATACGGAGTCTGAATGAAAATGGAAGCATACTATTTGCTTTTCTTTTCCTTTGTTGTTTTGTTTTATTGCTTCATTCTCGTGGTTCCTCACATTACTTTTAATTGTTCTTTACATCATGACTAATGGGAAAATATGCTTAACATGAATGTGTATGTAAAGCCTATATCGGATTGTACACTATTGGGGGGGGAAGTGAGAGGGGGAGAAAATTTAAATCTCAAAATCTTATGGAAGTGAATATTGAAAACTAAAAATAAATAAAATTAAAAAAGAACATCTACATATATAAGTATTATTTATTTAAAAAAATACAAGGCAACCTAAGACATGAATGCACTAGCAGTTATGGAGACCCAGAAATACATGATATAAGAGGTAGTGTTTGAGGGGAGGTCTGAAGGAAGCTAGAGATTTTAGGAAGTGTGGTGATGAAGGAATGCATTCCAGGTATGGGCCCAGTTACAAAGAAAGCAGGAAATGAAATGTATTGCATGTAATACATGAGAAGCAGCACATAGAATTTGGCTGAGATGTGTGAAGGGGTATAGTGTCGAATATGCCTGGAAAATCGGGCTGCAGCCACTCTGTAAAGGCCTTTAAGTGCCAAAAGGAGTTTGTATTTGATTCCAGTGGTGATAGAGAGCCACAGGAAATTATGGACCAAGGGAATAACAGCCAGACCTGTGCTTTAAGACTATCACTTTGGCATCTGTGTAGAGGATTGATTGCAAAAGGGAGATATTTGAGGCAGTGAGATTAATTAGGAAGTTATCACAATAGTCCAGGTAAGGGGTGAACTAGGGTGGGAGCCCTACGGAGAGAAGGTGAAAGATGTGAGAGAAATGGAAGTAAAATTGATAAAACCTGGTAACTGACCTGGATGTATGGGATTTAGTAGAGTGAGAAATCAAGGCCTACTCTGAGACTGTAAACCTGAGTGAGGAAGAATAGTGGTGCCCTCTACAGAAATAAAGAGGGATGAATGGGGGTAGGAGGAAGAGGGAGACAGTGAGTTTAGTTTTTTTAATTAGTTCATCTGTTGTCCTATATCACTCCTTTTCACAGTTAAACTCCTAGAAAAAGCTGTCCACATTCTTATCTCTACTTTCTCACTTCCCACTCACTCTTCAATCTGATTTACAATCTGGCTTCTTACTGCTTGATAGAACTTGCTCTCTTCAAGGTCACCTCTAGACCTTTGCTAAAAAAAAAAAAGTAACCACTTAATGTTTGTAGTGCCCTCTGTTAGGTTCTGGGAGAGATACAAAGTTGCTAATTCTTAAAATTCTGAACTAAACATCCAAACATCATTTCCATATCCCAAGTGGAAAAAAGATGACTGAATATGAAATCATGACACACAATTCAAGACGTTAATTTAAAAGCTGCCCAGATTATCTGTTTTTCTGTGCCTCCATCTGAATGTCTGTTTTTATGCTCATTTCTGCAACACACATATACTAAAATTACAATACAGAGAAAATTAGCACAAACTTCTGTTCTTTTTGTGCATTTTCTTTTACATGTTTCAATGATCCTTTTTTCTTCCTTCCTTCCTTTTCTTTCTTCTCTCTGTCTCTCTCTTTCCTTTTCTGGCAACATTAATCACTGAACCTTACACCCACCCCCATGAAATACGAAGATATTCAAGACAGAATCCCTGAAAGTTACAATGTAACAGAAGAATAACGTTGTTTAGTTGTTTTTCAGTCGTGTCCGATTCTTTTTTATTGGCTATTTTCTTGGAGTGTTTTGCCGTCTCCTTTTACAGATGAGGAAATGAGACAAACAGGTTTAAGTGACTTGCCCAGGGTCACACAGCTTGTACGTGTCTGACGTCATACTTTAATTCAGGAAGATGACTCTTCCCGACTCCAGGCCCAGCACTACTGTGCCACCTAGCGGCCCAAAGTAGGATATGCAACAAAAGGTCTTGAAAGCTCTGAATAAAAACCTTTATGCACAGGTACAGTGCAGTATGGCAAAGGGCTTCCTCTCCCCTTCATTGAAATGATATCCGTGTATCATTTCAATGAAGGAGAGGAAGCCCTTTGCCATACTGTCCTGTTTCTGACAAAGATACCTGAGATCAGAAAAGCTGAATGACTTTCCCAAGGCCATGGTACTAGTTTAAGGAACAAAACTGGGATTTGAATCCTGATTTTTTGTATCCAAATTTGTTACCCTTTCCACAGTCCTAGGCTATTGCCTCCCTCTTGTTGGATCCTAGACTTCTACCAATGCAGCTTCAAGAAGACATTCCTTTACCAAAGTCTTCCTCTGATGACGCATCCTAGTATCAAAGTAACCATGGGTTTTAGAACAAAATGCCAATACAGCCTAACTCTGGCAGTCCCTACCAAATTGGAAAGGCTTTCAGTATGGCCTGGGAAATGGATTAAGTTTGGAAGGAATCAGTATTGTTGGTATACAAATGATCTTTTTCTCCACCACAGCAATTCAAAAAGACCATCTGGGAAGGCAAGCACAAATTTGTTTACCCCTATGCCTTCCACGTGCTTTCCCCTCTTTGCTTGATATTTTACAACTCCTTTAAAACCCAACTTGATGCTTCATCCTTCATGTAGCCTTCTCTGATCTCTCCCTTTCTTCCTCCAACAGTTGGAAACGTCCTTATTCTCTTGGCACCCTTTACAGCACTTTTGTTTTTCACCTCTGATGCACTTGTCACAAATTCTTCTGCATTTTAATTGCTTTTTCTAGTGTCACCTACCTGGTGCTGGACTGGCTTGGCTGGTATTTTATCACCACAACTTATTTTCTCTTGCTGTCTAGTTTTTTTTTTTTTGATTTTGGTAACCCTACGAGAGGCACCCCGTGCAGTGCACGAGGGCTGCCCTTGGGAGTCAGGAAGTTGGACGTTCAAATGCTTTCTCTCTGAAACCTACAAGCCTGGTAAAAAGTTAGCAAGTTTTTTAACTTCCCAACGCCCCAAGCAGATGTGTTGAAGATCTGCGTCCGTAGAGAGAGTTCCCATACTGCCAGAATCTCATACCCAAGAAATTAAAGGTCTAGACTTAAAAAAAAAAAGGAAAACATCTTAGTCTTATCCCCTCTACTCTATATAAACTCCAAGGGATAGGGAATCGCGTCATCTGAACTTTGTATTATTCCTAGAATCTAACAGTGCTCTTTATCCTCTTTGCACTAAACAAATGCTCACTGAATTCCCGTAGCGCCTAAAACGAGAGCACTGCAGTTCTTGGGTTTAGACTGACGTACTCACAGCCAGCACTCACCTACTATCTAAACTGGTGGTTCCGGACGGGGAGGGAGCGACGAAGAGCAGCCAATAGGCTGGCAAGAACCGCTGCTGGAAGAAACCATTATTCTCCTCGTGGGAACTGAGGAGCGTTGATCGTCGAAGATTGTTATCTTTCCACGTTTTTAGTCATCATTATTAAAAACAAAAATAAACTATTTAGCATTAGCGTCCCCGAAAGAAAAAACGAAGTTCATCTTTGTCTTAGTTGTATTAACGAAAATGAATCAGTCCATTGAGTTTCGTTTCAAGTCAAACTCGCGCCCGCTGGGGCTCAAAGATCAGCCTCTTCCTTTCCTTAGCGTCTCTCCGCAAACCCGCAGCTGCGATGCAAAGTGGAGCGAATTGCGTCATCACGCTGCAGTCCTCCCGGAGGCCCTATAAAAGGTCCGCCATCTTAGTAGTGGTCGCCCGTCGGTGCGCCTGCGCGCGGTGTCGCCCGCCCGTTGCTAGGCGGTGCGGAGGCAGCGGCGGCGGCAGCTGGAGACTCGGCCCCCAGGGATGCTCGTAGGCGCTGCGGGGCGATGGTGGTCAGTGGCCCTCAGGTAAGAGGGTTTCCGGCCCGGTCCTGCTGTGGGCTGCCGGATGAAGGCCTCCCTTCTCCTCGACTTGGGCCGGCGGGGTCTCCCACGGCCTGCCCATTTCCCGCGGGCACCCTAGGCCCGGAGCCACGCGGAGCTGGGATTGATATGTTGTGTTAGGATGCAGAGCTGGAAAGAACCTTCGAGATGCCTTTATTTTGTAGATGAGGAGACGGAGGGTTAGGGAGGAGAAGGAGGCTTGCTGGGATTTGAACCCGAGTGTTCAGGCTTCAAATCCAGCGCCCTTTCGATGGTGCTGCGCTGGTTTGGGACGCCTAGATTTTTATTTTTGTGCCTAGGAAATGACCAGCTTTATCTCCCACTCACCTCACTGGGCGCCCGAAACGGAGCTACAGCTATCTGGCCATCGTGCATGCATGCTCCCTCCCTCTGATTACAATAATAATGATGATGATGATAATAATAATAATAACTGATATCATTTATTTTTACATCACTTTCCAAATATACCTCTCTTCATTCCTCTCCTCTACCCAGGTGAGCCTGCTCTGGTAACAAAATACTTTTAAGAAACTTTTTTTAAAAAAAGCACTTCAACAAAAATAACCAATGCCTCAATTGATTTATTTCTATATATGCAATATACCTTACCCATAGTTCACTCTCTCTGCAAAGAAAGAACAGAGGGCACTTTATCGATTCTTTTTCAGGATCAAACCTCCTGGGCATTATAATTACACAGTCCTGCTGTGCTTTATATTTGTGCTTGGAATGACTTTACACCCATCTGAAAATATTCTTCCCACCTCAGCTTCCCAGTTCACGTCCTTACCTTTATTCAGTCCCCCTAATTACCTCACATACTGCCTCCTACAAAGTTTTTCCAGATCCTCCAGCTGTAAGTGATCTCTTTTTATAAGGTTGAATACCTCTCCTTTGGACAGCTCCTATGCACTTAATTAGCAGAGATGGTATTATAGAGCGTTTGTTTTGAAGTTAGAAGACCTGATTTCAAAAGAATGCTAGATTTGGATTTGTTCTTTCTTGATTTTCCTGTCTGACTTTCCCTTTTCAGTCTCCTTTGCTAGATCTTCATCCAGGTCAGTGTGCCCTAACTGTGGCTGTGCACCAAGGCTCTGTCCTGGGCTCTCTTTTTTTTTTCTCTTCATACTCTTTCCCCCATGGGTTCAGTTACAACTTTGTGCAGATGACTCCCAGATCTACTTATCTATCCCCAGTCTCTCTCCCAAGCTCCAATTCTACATCATCAATTATCTATTGAACATTTTGAATCGGATGTCCCAGAACCATCTTGAACTCAGTAAGACCAAAACAGACTTCTTTATCTTTCCCTCCAAACTTTCTTCCTAACTTTCCTGTTTCTGTTGTTGCTCCCCACCCTGTTTTCTATCATTTAGTTTTGCATCCTCAACTCCTCATTCCTCACATATCCACTGAAGTGCTAACTCTTGTTTCTTTCTGTACACATCTCCAGTGTATTTGTGTCTCTCTACTGACATCACTGTCACTTCAGAGTCTCATAATTTCTCACTCTGGACTGTTGCAGTAGCCTTCTAACTGATCTCTGTGCCTCCAGTCTCTCCTTACTTGAATCCATCCTCCACAGGACCACTAAATCGATTTTCTTAAAGTATATGCATGACTATGTTGCCCTTCTCAATAAACTCCAGTGATTCACTATCATCTCTAGAATCAGGTATCAGATATCACTTAAAACTTCATAATCTGGCTCCATTCTACTTTTCCAGCCGTGTAATACATTACACCCTCCCCGTTAGGTTCCAGCTCTACTGGCCTTCTGGTTGTTTCTTGCCTTTGGACTGGCTGTGCGCCCTGTGTAGAATGCTTTTCCTTCTCCTCTGTGCCTCTTGGAATGCCTAGTTTTCTTCAAAGTGCAGCTCCAGTGCTGCCTTCAGCTAGAGACCTTTCAGATCCCTCCTCACTACTTGTTTCCCACAAGATTACGTTTGTTTTGTATCTTGTGTAGTATCTGTACATGTTCATGTCCTTAAGGACAGGGATTGTTTTGCTTTTTGCCTTTATATCCTTGATGCCAAACACAGTGCGTGACAAAAGTGAGTGCTTGTCAATGTTTATTGATTGGTTGTTTTGGTGTCTGAGGACCAGGTTCCCATCCTTACTCTGCTACTTAACGGTATGTGGTGAAGAACAAGCCATTTTTCCTCACTGGATCTGTTTCCTTTGCTGTAAGATGAGGGAGTTGGATTACATGCTTTGTGAAGTACTTTCCAGTTTTAAATTCTGTGATGCTGTTTATGTTCATGTCAATAAGATATTAAGTTATTTGAGGACTACGTTTTGTCTTGGTGTCTTCAATACTTAAAGAGTTTCTTCAACTGAAAAATTCTTCACTGGTGGCCCATCTAGTGATGAACCTCTTCAGGCGTATCTAGGTTGGTCCTCAGACAACAGACAGAGCCTGTCACTCACTGGGCCTATACTTAAAGCCTTTTTAGTTTGGCGTAAGACCTGCCAGAGCTTGTACTCTGCTGGTGTTACCTTTGCCACTCTAGCGTCCTGTTTATGCCATGATGAGTCTTCAGAGTAGGACTTTAGTGGAAGACCATTAATGTCTTGCCTTTTAGGATGCCCATTTACCCAAGTAAAACAGATGCTGGAAGGATGAATTTAATAATTTAATCTAAGAGGTAAGTGTAATATGGTGGAAAGAATAATGGGTTGAGAGTCAGGACCTGGATTCTAGTTATAGTTCTAACACTGCCTAGGTATGTGACCATGGACAAATAACTTATCCACTGTGGGTCTTTCATTTTTTAAATCTGGCTGAAATGAGACATAGTGTAAGACGTCCTCAAGAATACTTATTCTTGGGGACAGCTAGATGGCGCAGTGGATAGAGCACTGATGCTGGATTCAGGAGGACCCGAGTTCAAATGTGCCCTCAGACACATAACACTTACTAGCTGTGTGACCTTGGGCAAGTCACTTAACCCCATTGCCTAACCCCTGTCCCGCCCCCCCAAAAGAATACTTATTCTTATAATCTTTCTTTTCCTAATTCATCAATATTCTCCAATGCTTGTACTAGAACCAAGAACAGATATGGGGTTGATTTCCTGATCCTCCCAGGAATACTTTGATGTGAGAATACTCGCTTTGGGCTTCCCATTCTATCTCTGTATTGTCTGGATGTTTTCACTGTCTTTTTTGTTGCTTGACAAAAGTCTCTGGATCTTGGTTTTGAAGTCAGTCCAGTCAGCCAGCATGTATTAAGTGCCCATTATGTGCAGGCCCTATGTTAAGAGCTGAACATATAGAGAAAGGCAAAATCAATCCCTGATCTCAAGGAACTCATAGTCTGAGGGGGAAGACAATATACAAACAACTATGTAGATTTTTAAAGTTTAAATTGGACATAATCACAGAGGAAAGGCACTGTGGGAGGAACTGGGAAAGACTTCTTGCCAAAGGTGAAACTTTGGCAGAGACTTGAAAGAGGCCAGGAAGTGGAGATAAGGAGAAAGAACATTCCAGGGATAGGAACACCCAGAGAAAATGGCCAGAGTCAGGAGATGGAATGTCTTGGGTGAGTTAAACATTGAAGAAATCAGTGCCACTGGACAGTAGAACGTGGAGGGAGGAGTCCTGATATGAGGATCTGTGCCTGCATATTTTAATGACATTTGAGTTGCATAGTTCTTATTCTTACAAGAGGTCCTTTAATCGTTTTCTCTACATATAAATCTCTGTGTTGCAGAAGTTTTCAAATGTACTGTAGAACAATTCAAATTTAAAATTATTTTTAGTCTCCATTATTACTGGTAGTAATTGTTCTTGAGCTTATTATTTATTATTGATTCCTTTGAAAATTGATAGATATTGTTCGAATTTTTGGGGGGAGGGAGTTTACATTTAGCAGTCCTTATATTTGTGCAGAGGTGTTAGTGGAAAGAGCACTGGATCTATAGGCAAATAAACTGGGTTTAATCACAGCTCTATGACTTATCTCCTGAGTGGTCTTGGGAAAATGACAACTTCATTGGAACTCACCTTCCTTATCTGTAAAGGAAAGCTTGGACCAGATGATCTCTAAGGTCCGATCTAGTTTTAAATCCACTATCCTAAAACTTTGATGTAGTTTCACTTAGGCTGAAATCTGCCTTTTATAGGGACCCTTTGTTGGCTTGTGATAAAACCAGTGAGGGTGATTGCCTGACTCTTTAACGAGTAGAGCCTCAAGGCCCAAAAAATCATTTTGCTGGTTGGTAACAGAGCAGCAAATTAGGTTGTTTTTGGTTTAGAGGAACTCAATTTTTTTTAATGTTTTTTCTTTTGATTTTATTAATTTATTTTGATTTATCAACAATCACTTCCATATGCTTTTGAGTTGAAGATTTTTCTCCCCCTTCCTCCCCCCCACCCTCCGCAAGAGGGTGCACAATCTGATATAGGCTTTATATTTGCATTCCTATTAAATGTATTTTCACATTAGTGAAGTTGTAAGTAAAAATTAAAACCAATAGGAGGAACCATCAGAAAGAGGAAACAAAACTCAACAAAAGGTAAAAATAAGTGATAACGATTTGACTTCCATAGTTCTTTTTTTGATGTGCACAGCATTTTCCATCCCAAGGCCTCTGGAGATGTCTTAGATCCTTGTAATGCTGAGAAGGGTTCAGTTTAACATATTAGTCATTGCATAATGTGGCTGTTATTGTGTACAAAATCCTCTTGGTTCTGCTCACTTCACTCAGCATCAGACCATATAAGTCTTTTCAGGTTTTTCTGAAGTCAGCCTGTTCATCATTTCTTATAGCACAATAGTATTCCATTACATTCATATACCACAAATTGCTCAGCCATTCCCCAATTGATGGGCATCCTCTCAATTTCCAATTCTTTGCCACCACAAAAAGAGCTGCTATGAATATTTTTGTACATGTGGGTCCTTTTCCCATTTATTTGATCTCTTTGGGATATAGTCCTAGGAGTGCTATTGCTGGATCAAAGGGTATGCACATTTTTGTAGCCCTTTGGGCATAGTTCCAAATTGTTCTCCAAAATGGTTGGATTATTTCACAACTCCACCAACAATGTATTAGTGTTCCAATTTTCCCATATCCTCTCCAACATTTATCATTTTCCTGTTTTGTCCTGTTGGTCAATGTGATAGGTGTGATGTGGTACCTCAGAGTTGTTTTGATTTGCATTTCTCTAGTCAATAATGATTTAGAGCATTTTTTCATATGACTATAGATGGCTTTAATTTCTTCATCTGAGAATTGTCTGTTCATATCCTTTGACCATTTATCAATTGGGGAATGGCTTGTGTTCTTTTAAATTTGACTTAATTCTCATAATTTTATAAATGAGGCCTTTATGAGAGAGACTGGTTGTAAGAATCCTTTCCCAATTTTCTACCTTCCTTCTAATCTTAGTTGCATTAGCTTTGTTTGTGCAAAAACTTTTCAATTTAATGTAATCAAAATGATCCATTTTGCTTTTCATAATCATGTTCTCTATCTCCTGTTTGGTCATGAATTCTTCTGTTCTCCATAGCTCTGATAGGTAAACTATTCCTTGTTCTCCCAGTTTACTTATGGTATCAGCCTTTATATCTAAGTCATGAACCCATTTTGACTTTATTTTGGTATATGGTGTGAGATTTGGGTCTGTGCCTAGTTTCTTCCATGCTCTTTTCCAGTTTTCCCAGCAGTGTTTTTCAAAGAGTGGGTTCTTATCCCAGAAACTGGGGTCTTTGGGTTTATCAATAATAGATGACTATAGTCATTGACTACTGTGTCTTGCATATTTAACCTATTCCACTGATCCTCCTCTCTATTTCTTAGCCAGTACCAAGCAGTTTTGATGATTGCTGCTTTATAATACAATTTAAAATCTGGAATTGCTAGGCCACCTTCCCCTGCATTTCTTTTCATTAGTTCCTTTGATATTCTGGACCTTTTGTTTTTCCAAATGAATCTTATTACTTTTTCTAACTGTATAAAATAATTTTTTAGTAGTAGAGGAACTCAATTCAGGAACAGTTTTAAATTGGAAATGGTGAGTGGTAGGATAAGGTTTAGTGTCTAAGGCTTAATGTCATTGGTACTTCACAAAATAGTCTGGTTGTTGCCTTTGGTGAGGAGGCTTGGTGGAAGGAAACCACAAAAAAGATGCAAAGGGCAAAATTGATGAAGAAAGGTCCAAGGGTAGAGATCCCCATTGAGGAATGATAGATCAAAAAGGTACTAGGCAGAGGAAAAAGATATTAGAAATACAGTCCAAGGGTCATAGAAATAGAGTAATGGCTTGAGAGGATAGTATGGAAGAGTTGGGTAGGGTAGAGAGGTTCCAGATCAGAAGCCCCTTTTTCTCAATGTGCTGAATTGAACATTGGGTTTCATTTAGGCTAATGGTTTGGGTTTTTTTTTTTTAGTTTGACCTTGGAGACTTTAATAATATTGTAATTGGAATATTGTTATAAGCTGGTTGTTCAAATAAAGGGTTTTAAGTGTGATGAGGAAGAATTACAAATGTTTATTCCACCATAGTCTATTTTCTTTATTCTGTATTTTAGTATTTGGGGTACTATGTATGTTCAAAATGTGTTTTAAAGTCCTAGTTTTGCTATATATAACCTTATAATCTTGTAAACATATTTAGACTTATTTAGAAACAGGTATCACTTTGGTATTCTAGTTTATTTTCTGTAGGACTACTATGCCCTCTTGAGTACATTGCCTTTTACTTTCTAACTATTTCCTTTTCACTTGAGGCAACTATGGAGAAAGAACTTCGAAGCACCATTCTCTTTAATGCATCAAAAAAGGAGATATTTACTACCAACAGTGGCTATAAGTCCTTGCAGAAAAGGCTTCGTAGTAACTGGAAGATTCAGAGGTGAGTAGTTACTACTATGTTCTATTCTCAGCAACTGTAGCAGCTCTGACATACCAGTAAAATGGAAGACTATTTTCTGAATAACTGTAGCCATAGTGCCTACTAGGAACTTCTCTTTCTCATGTGTCTTTTGTGTTAAAGTGGACCATGTATTAGATTATTTAAGAAGGAGTTGACTATAAAGATAATGAACCAGTAAATAATTACCATTACTTCTCTTGCAAATTATAAACAAATTCTTTATTGAATTCAGTAGGATATCTCAAAAATTACAAAGCAAGAAGTTGTGCCAATATCACTTCCTGGTTTCTTGGAACAGCTGCACCCTTTTCAAAAACTTAAGCTATTCAAATAATTTTGAAACTCATACATGTTTGAATAGGATCAATATAATGGAAAGAAAAATAAGTATATTTGTTTTCCTGTGAAATGAATCTAGAATTATTTAAATTAATAGTGACATAATCATATTTCTAGTTAAACGCCATAATTATTCAGTATTTTGGCTGTAAAGGTAATATTCTTTAATACTGGAAATATTTGAGCAGAGTCCAGATATCACCAACTGGGGATGATGTTGAAGTAGTTCTTGCATTTATCTTTAAAAAAATTTTTTTTAATTCAGAAATTTTATTTGTTTCCAATTACTTATAAAAATGATTTTTAGCCTTTGCCTTTAACAATTTTAAGTTCCAAATTCTCTTCTACCCACTCCCCTCGTTGAGAAGGCAAGCAATTTGATAAAGGTATATATGTGCAGTCATGCAAAACATATATCCATATTAGTCATGTTGTGAAAGAAACATAGAACAAAAAACCCTCCAGAAAACATAAAGTTAAAAAAAACCCCAGTATGTTTCTATCTGCATTCATATTCCTTCAGTTCTTTCTCTGGAAGCAGATAGCATTTTTCATCATAGGTCCTTCAGAATTGTCTTGAATATTTTTTTTTGCTGACAATAGGTAAGTCATGCACAATAGCTTTTACTGTGTACAGTGTCCTCCTGCTTCTGCTCATTTCACTTTGTATCGGTTCATGTAAGTCTTCCCAAGTTTTTCTGAAAGCATCCTGCTTATCTCTTCTTATAGCAAAGATTCCATCACAATCATATATACGAACTCCCCAATTGATGGACATCCTCTCAATTTCCAATTCTTTGCTAGTACAAAAAGAGCTGCTATAAATATTTTTGTACATAGAAGACCTTTTCCTTTTTTTAAAATCTCTTTGTGATACAGACATATCAGTGGTATTGCTGGGTATACAGTTTTGTAGCCCTTTGGCCATAGTTCCAAAATGCACTGCAGAATGATTGGTTCATTTCACAACTGGTGGAAGGTTATCCTAAATTAATTCTGTAGTTCTTCCCATGCTGTAGTTCCATAACTTGTGCTCGCCATGCAATCTGCAAGACAGAATAATTCAGAAATGATTCTGGGCTACATATTTGCTTAATTTTCCCTTTTAGTTTAAAAGATGAAATCACATCAGAGAAGTTGATTGGGGTAAAATTGTGGATTACTGCAGGACCAAGGGAAAAATTTACAGCTGCTGAGGTAAGAACTACCTTATAAATAGGTTGAAGCTAAATCTTGTATAATATCACAAACTACTACTGGATTTATTAGTTTCATCTTAGCTTCTGTGTTTGTAATTAGAAATAAGGTGATTAAACTAGAAGGGACACTCTTTAAATTAAGAGTATTCTGAATAAGGTAGCTAGCTTTTTCTTTTTCCTAATACATAATATCTCAATCTTAATTTGGCCCATAATAGAGTTCTGGCACTTTTCATGCTGATATTCTTTAGATATCACATTTAACATATGGAGCAGGATTTAGAATAGTTGTTTTTTTCTTTCCTTTTTCTTTCTTTTTTTTTTTTGATAGTGGTGTAGCAGTGAAAATAATGCAGAAGAATTAGGGTAGCATAGGGTAGATTACGTTTGAAATATAGTCTTATCCTTATATTTGTAGCTTTTTTGGTGAGGCTGAATGGTATTAGGGATAGAACACTGACTTTAGAGTTAAAGACTTGAGTTTAAATCTTGTCTCTTCCTCACCACTTAGTCTAATCTCATTGGTCTCCCTTTTTCCAACCTCTCTTATCTCCAGTACATTTTCCACAGAGCTGCCAAATTGGTGTTCCCAGAGTATAGGTCTGACCATATCATTTCCTAATTAAAGAAGTTGGGGCAGCTGGGTGGCGCAATGGATAGAGCACTGGCCCTGGAGTCAGGAGGACCTGAATTCAAATGCAACCTCAGACACGTAACACTAGCTAGCTGTGTGACTCTGGGAAAGTCACTTAACCCCAGTTGCCTTACCCCCCCCAAAAAAACCCCAAAAAACCTTCCTAGTTAAAGAAGTTAAATCTTTTTCCATTAGCTCCATTTATCTTTGTGTACTATTTATCTGTACAATATTTATCTCCTTCTGGGGAGAACATAAACTTCTTGTGGGCAGGGGCTGACTCATTTTTGTATTTGTATCTCCAGCACCTAGCACAGTGCTTGACAGAGAATAGGCAGTAATAAACACTAGTTGATTGATTCATTAGGCAAGGCTCTGTGCCTCATCAATAGAAAGACAATAATAACACTTGTACTGTCTACCTTACAAAGTTGTTATGGAGAAAGCATTTTGTAAGCCTTAAAGTGCTATAGAGTAATGTTATTATCTTTACTTTTTTCCTGTTAAAGCTGCTCATTTTTGCTTTGAAAATTCTCTTTGGAATTAAGTTGATTTTGAGTGGTGTTGTTGTTGTTGTTGTTGTATTTCATGGAGAATGAAAGACCCAACTTATAGAAACTGGGAAATAAAGAGTTTGGAAAATACTTTCTTGCCATAAAATACAACTTAACTAATAGAATGTTGCTTAGGTTCCCCTGCTGTTACTTTTATGGTGTGAAGAGAGGAGTCTGAGTGGTTCTGATTTTATATGGATGCATTTCTCTTCTTTTCCCTTTCTCTTCACCCTTAATATTTTATCTGCTTAGTCAAACAGCTGATCAGGATGTGAGAGTTAAAATTTTATCAGGTGGCTGAAAGAAGAGGAGACCTCAGGTGGCTGCTTAACTTTGTTACTATGTTTTTATTATTAAAAAATGAACACGTTTATGCATTTTGTCATATGTCTACTTTTCTAAATTTTACCTTCTTATGATGATGGTTTCTTCTGTTATTAAAGGGTTTCTCATCTGAAAATTAATCTTCGTGAAATGTAATAATTGAATCATCAATATTTTGGAGCTTTGCATTTAAAGACAGGCTTAGCTTTGTGCAGTGATCTAATAAAAGGCTTACTTATATTCATATTTTATTGCTTTTTAAAGTTAAGACTTAAAAATCTAGCTATAACTGAGTATTTTTATCTGTAGTGCTTGAGAGTAATTCCTCAGATATATTTGTATTTTTTTCTTTTTATAGTTTGAAGTGCTAAAGAAATATCTTGAAAGTGGCGGAGATATCCTTGTTATGCTAGGAGAAGGTGGTGAATCCAGATTTGACACCAATATTAACTTTCTACTAGAAGAATATGGGATCATGGTTAACAATGGTAACCAAATTTTTTATAAACTTGTGGCCATGGAAGTAATATTTTCAGCTGCTATTTTTAATCCATAAAATTTACCATTTATTTGTAGTCTAGTCTATAAAATAATTTTTTTTCTTCTCCTGAAGATGCTGTGGTGAGAAATGTATATTACAAATATTTCCATCCTAAAGAAGCTTTAGTATCCAATGGGGTCTTGAACAGGTAAACATATCAAAAGCTTTAATATTATTAGTCATTCTCCTCAAGCTCTGCCACTTTACTGCTCCCGCCACTTTTAGTCCATGTTTTGCGGATAATTTATCTCCTTCCATCTTGTAAATTATGGAACCTACGTTCTTGAGACATAAGTCAGAATTCACCTTTCTGCTGCATTCCGTGAAAAGAGAGCTTCATCCTCTGGTACATTTATTACTTATAACTTTCTTGCCTCCTAAGGAGTGTGTATATTAACATCCATAGTGTTGTACTTGTTATCACAAGAGTGTAATTGTCTGATTACATATAATACTGTATAAATCAAGACAGGCATGGTCCCTCCCTGCTGGTATTTTATAATCTAAGGTAATCAGCTGAGAAAGTATACCCAGTCCTTGTGTTGATAGTTGGTTATGTTCCTGGAAAATGTGCTTTAAGCCCAAACAACGTAAGCAAATATGAGTTTTTCATGGAAACAATATTATGTTATGGGGTTGTGGCCCAAACCACGGGCCTGACTTTTTACACAAATGGTTACAAACACCATATTTGTTAACTATAAATATTATTATTTATGGTGTGAACTAAAACAAGTAGTACAAAGTAGCACCCCAGTTATGCTAAACTTAACATAATACTATATTAGCTTGTCATATAAAGTTCTTATCCTTCATAATTTCAGCCTTAGTTTTGCTGTGACAGAAGATAGAGAAGGAATGTCTTTGTTAGGTTTTTGTGTAGCTTAAAAGGAGTGGAAAGGCATTTCAGGAAAAAAGGAACAGCATAAGGAAAGGTAAGACTGACCATGGAATGTTTGTAATCAGTCGGATGGTCATTTTGGTGTCTCATATTTGAGAGTAGCTAGAGATAATATTGACTAAGTAGAATATGAAGTCAGATTGTGGAGGGCTTGTAATACTAGGTTATGGAGTTTGAGATTCATCATGTAGGTAGTGGGGGACTATTCGTTGTATTTTGAGCAGGGAAGTGGTATGATCAAATTAATACTTACATTAAGTATAACCCTTAGTTTTGGGCCTAGTGTATTTAGTGGAGATGATGATTGAAGCTTGGAAGTTGGGGAATAATATTATTCGAGGAAGGTTTCATGGATACTGCACGACTTGAGCTTTTTGAAAGAAAAGGATTGCACAATGATGGCATTTCTGGTAGATATCATGGCCCAAAGGTGGGAGTGTTATAAATGTACATAAAAGGGGTTTAGTAAAGTTGTAAAGATCTTTGGATATAAGTAGGAAGATATAGGAAGATAAATGAAAATAAGAGACTCCGTAATACTTTGATGAAGATCTCTGGAGCTTAAGCATATTCTTGATATATGTCTATATATTTATATGTATACATACATACATAGAGATATACATATGTTATATGTTATAGGCACATGTTTCCAGGAACTAAATAAATAATATTTATTGACATGTCAAGAAGCATCTATTAGTAAACCAGTTGCTGTGCTAAATGTTTGGGGTGCAGAGAAAGGTAAAAATACTTCCTGCCCTCAGGGAATTCATAATTTAATGGGTAAGATAACATGCAAACATCTATGTACAAACAAGACATATACAAAATGATTTGGAAGTCGTCTCAGAGGAAAGACATTAGCATTAGGGTTAGGCTCCTTGAAGAAAATGGGATTTTAGCTGAGACTTGAGAAAAGTTGGGCAAGTCAAGAAGTAGGGACAAGAAAGGAGAGCATTCCAGGTTTAGGGGACAGCCTGTGGCTGTCTAGTCATGTAGTTGAGAGATAGAATGTCTTGTACAAGGAATAGTAAGGAGACTGGGGTCATTGGATTGTAGAATATATAAAGGAGAGTAAAGGATAAGAGGATGGGAGAGGAAGATGGAGCCAGGTTGTGAAAGGATTTAAATACAAGATCGGAGCTTTTGGGGTAAGAGGATGGGCAGAGTAAAGATAATGAGTAATATTTTGGACTGTTTGAATTGAAGGATGTTCCAGTTCAGGATATGCTGTAGGCAATTGGGCATGCAAAACTCCAGAGGCTGGGAGAGAGCTTAGGGCTAGAGAAATAGATCTGATAATTATCTACACAGAAATAAGAATTAAATACAGAGATCACCAAGTGAAATAGAGCAGAAGGAGAAATTTAAAAAGGACCTAGAACATTATCCTGGGTATTGACATGTACAGTTGGAGGGTATGACCTAGACAAAGGTTCAGCAAAAGACATTTAGAAGGAGTGTTCAGACAGTTAGGAGAGAACCCAGAGAGACAACATTGTTAGGAAAACCTAGAGAAAAAGGCATCAAAGAGAAGAGGGTGATGGACAGTGTCAAAGGTTGCAGAGAAGTCAAGAGGATGAGGCTTGAGAAAAGGCCATTGCATTTGGCAGCTAGGAGATCATTGGTAACTTTGGAGAGAACAGTTTTCAGTTGAATGATGAGGTCAGAAGCTGAAGTGCAAAGAGCTAAGAAGGGAGTGAGAGTTAAGAGAGTGGAGGCACAGATTGAGTTTAGCCACAAAAGGGAGGAAAAATATAGGAAGATAAGTAGCAAGGATGAATGGATCAAAAATGAGGATTAGACACAAATCAGACACCTTTCTGCTGTGGCAAGAACTGTTATAATACAACTTTCTTCTCTGTCATACATTTCTACCTCGCCAGATCTTATCCATCCATTTTTCAGGCTCCAGCTCAAATCCCACTTCTACAAAAAAACACTCAGCCTCCAATTCATCCCTGAAGTCCTTTAACGCTAATTATCTACCAGAGGTGGGAAACCTGCAGCTTCAAGGCCACACATGGCCCTCTAAATCCTCAAGTGCAGCCCTTTGACTGAATCCAAACTTCACAGAACAAACCCTTTTATTAAGGGGATTTGTTTTGTGAAGTTTGGATTCAGTCAAAGGGCTGAACTTGAGGACCTATGGGGCCACATGTGGCCTCAAGGCAGAGGGTTCCTCACCCCTGGTCTATAACCTTCATTCATTCAGGTACTTAATCACAGACTGCCCTGCACCATTATTAAACTTTGATGTACGTGTGTCTTTCTATCCAACTAAATCAGAAGTGCCTCTTGGGCAGGAACTTTGGGGGTGGGAGCGAAGACCTTAAAATAGTCTAAAGTATTTGCCTTTCTGCCTTAGATTGTTTCAGGGTCTTTTTAAAAAAATTCTTGCATGCTTCTTAAGGCCTTATATTCTTTGGTATTTACTGGACATAATTTGTATTAAAATTCAAGGTTGTTTTTTTTTTTAACCAAGTTTGTATTTGCTTCTTGAAGGGAAATAAGCCGAGCTGCGGGAAAAGCTGTGCCTGGAATAATTGATGAGGAAAGCAATGGAAACAATGCCCAGTAAGTATATATTCTTAGTCTCAGGTTTTCTTTTCTTTTCTTTGAAGTGTTAACACTAGGAATTCCAGGATATCATATAGTTGTTTTTTAGTTTCTTTATGCACTCTTATTGCTGAGTTAATAGTTAACTAAGGGGGAAACCTTTTAGCTTTAGATAGTATTGCTGAGATGGGGTGTATGGGATGTTCAGGGAGGACTAGCACCTTTGGTGTAAGGGCTTACCAAATCCTTTTCAGCGCTGCTCATCCATCTTTGGTGTCTACCTTTCACCTAACTCTCACTTGGGATTCCAGGAAACTGTAGCATGTGCAGCGACCAAACCCCAGTAGAACCATTTTGACAAATAGGCCTCAAACCCATTGGTGAATTAGGGAGGTGTTTTATCCCAAGCATGTGAAGGCTTCCCCTCCGTGGAATGGGCAGATGAGAACAGTTTGTTCCAGTGGCCATGAAGGCAGCTGAAGCAGGTGCTGTGGATCACTTGGAGCTTGGTCAGACATAGAAGATGGCAAGGTCACCCACTGCATCCCAGGCCATTGCCAGTCTCTTGACTTTTGTCCTGCCACTGGACTTTGATGACTCAGGAAGAGAGAGTAAGGCTGATGACTTTGTGCAACTCTGCCTCACTAAAATCCAATTCATGCAAGATATCACCCATGATTTCATTGGTTCTCTTCAAAAAGGAAAGGCAAACAACAACAACTCCTGAGATAATTAGGGAAGTAGCTGAAGTTGAATGTTTTGTGAAGTGAAATGAAATCTATTCAGGTTAAAGCAGTCTTAATAAGATTTAAGGTAACTAAAAAAGGCAAGTATACCATTGGATTTTGAGGTGGGAGAAATGGATTCTAACTCTGTCTCTTTCACTAATTTTTCTTCTTTATAAAATGGGGATAAAATGTTCTTACCTTTCCCAGAGAGCTGTTAGGAGGATGACATACGTGACAATTAAAAAAAGCAAAAACTGCTTATATAAATGTAAGGCATACCATCTTTCCCCTTACATAATCTTAAAGTTTAAGGCGTACTAGGGTGATCAAAGCAAATGAGCTTAAAACTCTTTAAGATGCTTATCTAGCTTTTACGCTGTTGTTCTGGTCTGATCATGCTAAGTTTTATCACTGTATATGTATTATTGTTCTCTGTTGGTGTCTTGTATCTCTACCAGAACCAGATTAAAAGTTCTTTAGTGATTGGTGGGGACTATGTCTCATTTAATCTTTGTAACTCTGACAGCCCTAATCTTGCTATGCACATAACACTTAATAAATGTTTGCTATGTTATATTTGTTTTTGTAATATGGCCACAATCTCCTTAACTGTTGAAAGTCTTTCTAGATCTTTACAACATGTTTAAATGCCTCAGTGCTATCAAAGAGTGGCATTAAAACCTTCATGAGGGTCAGCTTCTCTTTCTATTTACTTCACTCTCCCCTCCCCCACCAAAAAAAAGTCCTAAATGGCTTATTTCTTAATGGTAAAGTCTTTTAATACATGAATGAGAAATGTAAGTAGTAACTATGGCAGTGTTTACCATTTCCCATTTTTCTTTTACTTTGCATCTGAATATATGAATAATGCTAGTGCATTATTTACAGTATAGTGAGCTCCTTGAGGGCAGAGTCTCCTTTTGACTTTCTTTATATACCTAATGCTCAGCCCAGTGCTTGAAACATAATAAGCTCTTAATAAATGTAAGTTTACTTCAGTTGTTCCCATTTGTAGTTTAGAAAACCAAGGCCGGTGTAAAAGATTCTTTTCTGATCAATAGATTGGGCATCATTCTTTGTCAGTCTTATCAATTGTTTATATTTTTAACACATCTGAACTTTTCCGTAGGGCTCTCACCTTTGTATATCCATTTGGTGCCACACTGAGTGTAATGAAACCAGCAGTAGCTGTTCTATCAACTGGGTCTGTCTGCTTTCCTCTTAACAGACCCATTCTGGCTTTCTACCACTCTAAGGTACAAATTTCCTTGAATTTGTCTTTATGTATTACTTGACACATACAGAAAGAGCTGTTTAAGACATTTGGACCAATTTGTAACTTGTAAATACCCTTGTCCACAGCTACAGGCTCTTCCCCTTAGTACTTTGTAAAGTTACACCCATTCAGATGCAAATAGATTTAATGAAATATCAGAATGCACTAGATTATATGGTATGATGCTGCTAGAGTCAGTTTTAGCTTATCCCAGGAAAACTGAAACTGGAAAAACAATGACCAAATTCTTGTCCTAGACACCAATTCTTGTCTCTCTCTTTACTTAAGAAGATTATGTGCCTTTGCTGTTAAAATAACATAATACATGTGAAGCATTATTAATAAAAGGAGTTTTGCAAATATTCTTCCCCAATAGCTAGAAACATTTTCAAATGAAAACAAAATGATGTTTAATAATGGAAGCTAGATGTGTGTGTGTTTCCTTTTACATGTATGAGTTTACATCCACAAAAGATAGTTACACTATTTTTAAGTGCCCTTGGTATAAACATGTTTTAACAAATCAGTTATATGGAAAAATCCTAGTGATCTGCTTTCTCAACTGTGAACAGAAATACTTCTTTTTAAAATAGTCAGCACTTAATTAATGTATACCCATTTTAGAGTAGTCATTACTTACTGAATGAATACTCAGTATACAGAACACATTACCCAGCCTTGAGAATTCTGCTGTGTACAGCTAGGTCCCTATTAGTACAAACAATGACTCCCTCTCCTGAAGTGGTTTCATATATTCAAATTAGCACAATTACAAGTTATAATTATGTAAAATATGGTAATTGGTTCCAGCCCAATGGAAATAGTGGTAATTTAAATAATACAGCCACTTCAAGGGATTTGCTGTTTGCACTGATTGAGACCTGGTAGTATTTGTACCAGCAAGAGATTATTGTCTCCTTCTTCCCTAGAAATGGTAATCGTGATTTCTCCTGACTTTTCTGTGGTGCTTTGTGAGCACATTTTCTATGAGTCAAGTCAGTATCATGAGATCAAACAATGATTACTGAGAATGACCTCAGAATCCTATTAGAAATCGTTGGCAGTTCCCTGGGTTAGAAATTGTGAATGGCTCCTTGTTTAATGTTATTTACATCACTAAGTTTGTTGTTATCCTTTTCCAGCCCTTTTGCTTTACTAGAATAGAATTGTTAATATGAAGGGCAGGGAGAGAATTGGTCTTTAACTAGACATCCTTTTTCATTTAGCTGGAGGAAATTATAGACAAAATGCTGGAAGAGGAAGCTGAAGACAATGGTAGAATCTCTGTCAGGGCAGAAAAAAGGATTAGAAAGAAGATCTATAATCTATTTGAGAGAAATGAGGTAGGGAAACGATGGTGATATTAGGGAAAGGAACATATAAGTTACCTATAGTTTTGTTTCCAATCACAGCAATATTCAGTTATTTGTCCTTTTGTGAAACTCTACCAATTGTAACCTCTATTTGAAATAGTCTTGAATTATTTCCAATGGCTTTTATTTCATTCTTTTGCCTCCTTACTCCAGTGCCCTAATCCAATGAATGAATCAATTTTAATGTGATAGCCAATATTAATTTCCTGAAAGGATTTTTTTGAAACTTGTAGAGTTTGCACTTTTGCATCATCCAACTCATTAAAATGTTCAACTCATTAAAATATACAAAATACCTGCCTCGGATATAATTCTGTTTATTCGGTGCCAAACAAAGCTGTTCCTGTACCTCTTAGCTATAATAGCTTTAAAAACTGATTTTCAAACTCTTAAATGTCTTCATGACCTGATTACACATTTACTAGGTCCTGACTCCAATATATAGCTTACTTTTGGATCTTTTTCTTTTAAGAACATGAGAAGATAATCATCCTCTCATCATACAGGACAATAAAAATGGGGGAGGGGGAACACATAATAAAGCTTGATTGTCATTGTCTCATGCAAGTAGTATTACCTTTAAAAGTCAAATAGAAGAATATGCAAGAATTTAAATGAGAATGTGATTTGGATCATAGCACATTATGGCATTATATTGTGTATATCCTTGGCTCTTTTGCAGCAGATATAGTGTTTGTTTAGTACGTGTAATTTGTTTAGTTTATAATGTACTCTGAGCAACCTTAGATTCTACTGTAAATGGATAGATGGTGATGAGAATAAGCTTGTCAAGTTGTGCTTTTGACCTGTGTGTTTCAATGTATTGCCTGTCATTGACACAGAACCAAGGTGGAAAGTTGGCAGTGCTAGGTTCTTGCCACATGTTTAGTGACCAGTATTTGGATAAAGAAGAAAACAGCAAAATCATGGTAAGATTTTTTTGGAATGATTATTTTGTTATACAATGAGTATGTATCATTTTTGTGCCATTGGTGCACTCAGTCATTTGTAAAAACAAGTAGATGTTAGAGAAAATGCATTAGCCATTGCTATTCCAACTATTTCATTAGGACACCATATATGAAAGAGACCATATTGAAGTGTGAGAGCCTCAACTGATGAGCTAAAATATGGAAACAAATCTCTTCATAGTATTACCAAGGGCTGTAGCCTTTGGAGTCAGATAAATCATTAATAAAATGATTCAAGAAAAGAAGACTCAGGTTGGGTTACTTTAAATGATACATTGAAAACTGAAGAAACAGTCTTAATTGCTATGATGAGAAACTGAATTAGATCTTTTGTTCATGGAATTTATATAAAATTTGATTGTCTTTATAAATACTCTTAAGTTTTATACAGGTTCCCCCTCAATCAGCCAAGCATTTATTAAGTGCCTACTGTGTACCAGGTACTGTGCTGGGTCCTGGGGATAAAAAGACAAAAAATGAAACAGTCCCTGCCCTCCAGGAGTTGACATGCCATCAAGGTAGACTACACTTACATATATAAGTAAATGCAAATAAGTACAAGATATTTAATTCTAGGAGGGAAGGTACTAATAGGTGGGGAGAGCAAAAGAGGCCTCATGTAGAAGGAGGACGTTTAAGCTGAGTTTTGACAGGGACTAAGGATTCTAAGTGGCAGAGATGAAAAGAGGCTGTATTTCGAGCATGTGGGACAGCCAGTGCAAAGGTGTGGAGATGGGAGATGGAATGCAAGTGTAAGAAACAATGAGACAGTCCTGTTAGCTGGACCATGAGAGTGCATGATGGAGAGAGTAAGGTATGATAAGGCTGGAATGTTAGGATGGCAAACAAAGGAGTTTATGTTTATCCTAGAGACAGTAGAAGCCACTTAAGTTTATTGAGTAGGACATTGGTTTGGGGAGACCTGCACTTATTTTGGCAGCTGTGTGGAGGAAGAATTGGAGAGGGGAGAGATTTGAAGCAGGGAGGCCAATTAACAGACACTCTTGAAACAGGCCGGCCAAGAGGTGATGAAGATCTGAGCAAGGATAGTGGATATGTGAGTACAGAGAAGGGCACATATTTGAGAGAGATTGTGGAGGTAGAAACAAGAATGCATATGTGGGGATGAGAGTGAGTAAGGAATCAGGGATGACAGAGGTTGTGAATCTTTGTGACTAAAAGGAAAGTGGTGCCCTTAACATAAATAGGAAAGTTGAGTGGCTGGTGGTGGGTTTCAGGTGTGTTGAGTTCTAGATGCTTAGAAAATATCCATTGGAAATGTCCAATACACAGTTGGTGATGTGGGACTAGAGGGGGGCAGCCAGGTGGCGCAGTGGATAGAGCACTGGCCCTGAAGTCAGGAGGACCTGAGTTCAAATCCGGCCTCTGACCAAACACTTGACATTTACTAGTGTGACCCTGGGCAAGTCACTTAACCCCAGTTGCCTTAAAAATAAATAAACAAATAGGAGGGAGGGAATTGGCATTTGTTAAGTGCTTGCTATATGCCAGGCACTGCTAAGTGTTTTACGAATATTATCTTACTTGATCCTTATGATAACCGTGGTGCTATTATTATCCCCATTTGAAGAAACTGAGGCAGAGGTAAAGTGACTTTCCCAGGATCATACAACTAGGGAGTATCTGAGGCCAGATTTGAACTCAAGTCTTTCTGACTCTAGACCCAAGAGCTTGCTCTAGTGTACTATCTCACTGCCTAGGATGGGGACTGGGTCTTTGATTTCATTGGTATAGGGAACTCCAGAGTGAGGAAAATCCCTCTATGACTGCAAGTCAGCACTTTCTCTGAAACTTATAGTCTAGGCAGCTAGGTGGTATAGTGAATAGAGTGCTGGGCCTGGAGTCAGGAAGATCTGAGTTCAGATCCAACTTCAAACACACTGTGTGACCTTGGGCAGTTCACTTTACTTCTGTTTGCCTCAGTTTCCTCAACTGTAAAAGGACGATAACAGCACTACCTACTTCCTGGCGTCGTTATAAGGGTCCAACGCGATTATGTTTGTATAATGTTTATTTGGTATGGTGCCTGGCACTTAATAAGCACTGTATAAATATTAGTTACATTAAGAGAGTTGCCTAGATCACTGAGAAGTTGTATAACTTGTCCAGGATCACAACCAGTGTATGTTAGTGGCATGAAGTAGTGGGTAGGGCATTATACTTGAAGACAGCAAGACCTGGGCTTAAATCTTACCACAGACTCTTACTAGCTTTTTGACCATGGGTGAGTCACGACATCTTTTTGCCTCAGTTTTCATATCTCTAAAATGGTTGGACTTGATGGCCTGGCTCTTTATCAGTTACAGCATGCTGGCCTCTCCATCTGTATAGAGATGATATTCAAACCCAGGGGAGTCAGTGAGATTACCAAGTGTGAGAATATGTATACAGAAGACCCAGACAGAGCTCTGGGGTCCAACATCTGTTAGGGGATGTAATATCGATGATGAACTAGCAAAGGAAACTGAGGAGTAGTTAGACTGGTAGGAGAACCAAGAAAGTGAATGATATAAGAACCCAGAGAGGAGAGAGCATCCAGGCAGGTGTGGTGGTCAGTGGTGTCAGATGCTGCAGAAAGGCCAAGAATGATGATTGAGAAAAGACTGTCTCATTTAGCATCAAAGAGATTGCCAACTTTGGAGGGAGAAGTCTCAGTGGAGTTGATAGGGTTAGAAGATAGATTGCAAGGGATTTAGAAGTGAAAGAAAAAAAGAAGTAAGGTATTAGGTATAGACAACTTTTTCTAGAAATTTGGTAGGGAAAGGGGGAGGAGAAGTTTAGAATGAAAGCTTGAGGGACCAGTAGGATCTACTGCAGCTCTTTTAAGGATTGGGGAGTGTGGGTAATATTTGTAGGCAGCAGGAAAGGAACCAATGAATAGGGAATGATAAAGAGAGAATGATTGTGGCAGCAATCTGCTGGAAAAGATGAAAGGGGATGAGATGAAGGATGGATACATATTGTTAAAGAGCTGGCCTTGATGAGAAGGACTGTTGATACTTCAGTAGAGTAAAGGAGGAGAGAATAGAATTTAGCTTCTAAAGTTTAGGATAATACATACTATTAACAAAATCCCCCTGTAATGTGGAAGACCAAATTGGCTCTTGCAGATAGACTTTTAACACTAAAACCATGAGATTTTTTTTTACCTTTTTCATTTCTATAATTTATTTTATGTTTGAAATTTTAAAAATTCTGATAGTTAGAAGTTGTGACTGAGTGAGCTTGACTGATTAGTAATATTAGACTAGTGATGTTTGTTTAATGATATTTTAAAGCTGGACTATGTCATGGATCGTTACTTTAAACTAGAGGTAGCAGACTCACAGCCTACAAAACTCCTGAGTACTACAGCCTGAACAAGTTTAAAGAGTAATTGGGAAATATGTAACAAAATAAGTAAAAATACAACACATCATAGATAATGTGAATTTGTGATTTTCTAACTCAGCATGTGGCAACAATGATCCATTTGTATTTGATTTTGGCACCACTGCTTTAAACTATATTACACATATATTATACTTGCTTTATATTATGAAATGTTTTAAAAACTAGGCATAGACTCTAAATTTTGGTACTGATGCTTGAAAGCTTTGTATTGTGAAATGAATATTTATAATCTATTTTTCAACAAATGAATTGAGGTTTTGTAAAATTTGTTTTTGTGGTTCATTCTGTCTTCTTAAAATGGGCGTATCTTTTTAACTTTTAATGTATGTCAGTGAAATTTGGTATGGAGTTACAGGGGTAAAAATGTCTTAGGAGAATTTATAGACAAAATGATAATTTAACTTGGCAGTAATTGGAAGAAAATTTCATGAATTGCAGTTTTTAAATATTTTATGAGATTACATTGAGAAATGGTTCATGAACAACTAATTTTAGTCTATTTTTACTTTTTTAATTTACTATTTCTCACTTCTTTACTTGGCTTACTAATGTGCTTTGCTTTGCCTCTAGGATGTAGTTTTCCAGTGGCTCACCACAACAGACATCCATTTAAACCAGATTGATGCAGAAGATCCAGAGGTAGGAAATCATTTAAGATTTAATTCACAGAGATAGCATTTCACCATTTTTAACATTCTGAAAGGGATGTCCTCTCCTTAATCTCTATTTTTAAGGCAGTGTTAAGACCTCAGTATTATGAAGACTCTGTGATCTCACCGATGTGAGTTTTCCTTCTTTTGGTACAGATAAGAACTTATCCTTGTATTCTCATCCTGTATAATGCTTAACTGTATTCTTTCAGAGCTCTTCCTAGACTATAAATCCAGTGATAGCCATCCTCTAGGCCTATTATATTGTATGTTTCATTGGATCCCTGAAGCCATCTGTCTATTATTCCTCATTGATGGTCTGGCTAAACATAGATAGATAAGCTGATTCTGAGACAATATCCATATCAGTTATTTTGTCTGTTAACATAGAGTCAGTTTCATTTTTTTGTGATCATGTTTTGGTGATCTCCATGTCCAGTACCTTTTTTCTTTTGTGAGAAAGTGTTCATTATATAAAAAAGGTGTAGATCCTGAGTCATCTGCAAGCATTTGGCCTCTTTTTTTCCCCTCAAACCTTATACTTATTTTCCGGCATAATTTTCACTGTCTTCACAGCTCTTATTTTAGTTAGGGCACCTACCATTTAGGGCCTGCTAACAACAAAATGAAGTTACTATTGTAAAATATCTGGGTTGAACTTGTAAAATCTCTGTTTATCATGAAATAGTCTTTGAGAAATAAAGGAATTCTACTTCAGAATTTTTGTTGTGTATGGCAAATATTAACAGAAAATTTCTTATTGACCCTGTTCAACTTTATCTCTATATTGTGAAGTACCAAGAACAGCAAAATATCTGGTGTGTTCCTTCTAGTTGGTTCATGTATTTATATGAAGCCAAATTTCAACCTTATAATTGCTGTTAATACTAAGCAGTAGGTCTAGAATCTTAGAATGAAAGAGCTAGAAGGACCTTTAGAGATGATTCAACCTACTTGGTTAAAAGATATATATGTTTATTTATTTTTGGTGAGGCAATCAGGGTTAAGTGACTTGCCCAGGGTCATACAGCTAGTGAGTGTCAAGTGTTTGGTCTGAGGCCGGATTTGAACTCAGGTTCTCCTGACTCCAGGGCTGGTGCTCTATCCACTGCACCACCTAGCTGCCCCTTAAAAGATATTTTAAAAGTTATCATTTTAATAAGGTATAACAGAAAGTTCACCTTGTGTTTAACAAGGCAGACCCAAGAAAATCCATAAATAAGCAAATAAAATGTTTCTTTGTTTTGAAATTCTGTTGTGTCTGGCCCTGTTTTTTTCCTTCTTTTCTTTTTTTGATATATTTGTCAGTTGTAAGAAGGGGGATGACCTATGGACAGATAGCTCATGTGAACACATGAATAACATTGTTATTCATGAAGCTTCTGGATATCTGGAGGAAGGCGCCTCACAACAGTAGGTGGATCCTCTGTGGAGAATGTATGGGAGGACATGTACAAGAGAGGCATAGGATTTGAAGGCATGGTTGGGTTGGAATCTGTCCTGGTGGAGGAGGCAGATCATCAGAATAGAGAATTCAGGATGTGCATGAAGTTCTTCCAACCTCCCCATCTGACAGACTTCTCTTGTCTAAGCCAGACTCCCAGAGGGGACTTGATCTGTCACATGTCCCATAGGCTGTTAGTAGCAGAGGAGGGGGCCTGGGCCCGACTCTCCTGACTGTTTAATACTCTTCTGTTTGACTGTCCAAATGCTGAAGACAGAGAAGGAGGCAGTCTGTCTACACTGTGGAACCTCTCACTTCACAGGATCAAATCTGAGGTTTCTTCAGACTTTGAGGGGTGAAATTGAGCTAAGATTTTTGTGGTCATGCAGATCAGCACCATTTCTGCCCCTTCTAGTCTGAGAGGGCTGCTGGGGCCTTGCCAGATGAAGTGACTCGCCCAGGCTCCCACAGCCAAGATGTGGCAGAGCTAGGACTTGAACTCAGGTTTTCCTGGCTCTGAGACTACCTCTCTTTTCACTCTGCCTCTTTCTAAAACTTCTGAATTGTGGCTTTCTGAAGTTTTAATTTTGTGGTGTTGAGAACTGATGTACTTTGTCCTGTATCATATAAAAAGCAGAGAGAGTCCTCATTAGGAAATCCAAATCTTCTTGTTAATGGAACATATTAACTAACTAGGTAATAATAAATATTAATTGTAATTAATTACAATTGGTAAAAATTACAGAAAGATTGCTCATGATAGAAATAAAAAATAAACACCAATGAAAAGATCCAATATCAGAATAAAAGTTAGCTATGTACATTTTTTGGGGGGGAGAAATGCCAATTTTTACTTTTTATGAGAAGTCTATGGCATATATGAAGGGAGAGCAATGGATTTCAGTTAGAATTTTATGCATCGTGTCTGGAGAGGGATCTATCCTAGTAATATATAATATGGGTAGGAAAAGGTTTAAATAAGACACCTCAGTGCTAGCTATTCTGGTCTTACAGCAGTTCCTATGCATCCCATTTTCCTGTTCAAGCTGTTGTGAAGTTGTAAAGAGAAAAGGAAAGACATCATGTGAGGGCAGTAGTGGGATGTTCCATCCAGTGTCACAGATCCTCCCTGTATGTCTGCAGATTTTACTAGGAGCCCGCAGGAACGGGGATAATAAGAAATGACAGGGACAAGCTCTGTAGCCATCGGGACAGAGATGTAATAACCTTTTAGGGACCATGATGCTGTTCTCCTTACTGGTAGAGGATACCTAGAGTTATGGGGAGGAAGGGACACAGATCAGAGTGAGAAAGGAAAGGGACCGCAGATTAATTGGGGTTTTAAGTTTCAAGACTTAAATTTCAAGAATTATTTTTTAGGAATTTTAGAAAATCCCTTTGCTTTTCTGCCCTAACCTTCCAAACTGAATGAAAGTGCTGGACTTTCCATTCCTTCTATCTGTTACATGCAATTGTTCTGTATAATTGTGTCATGAAAGGTGAATTCCTTTCAGGACTGGATAGCATGAGTATGGTTGAATTATACTTTCTACATAGTACATTTAATTTAATATCAACACTACAAGTTGAAAATGAACCATGACTGAACCAAGTTTTTCCCCCTTATTCTCTTACCATTAAGGTATCAATCTTGTGCTTTTCAGATTTCTGATTATACCATGTTGCCAGATACCGCTATGTTGTCAGAGCGACTTCGAGTGTGTCTTCAGGAAGGTGATGAGAACCCACGTGACTTCACAACTCTCTTTGACTTATCCATTTACCAGCTGGATACCACTTCCTTATCTAAAGTTATCAAGTCAGTACCCATAAAACTTCTCTCTTAGAACTGTATTTTCATTTTATTTTAAGGTTTTGGGGTTTGTTTGTTTTTTGAGTGTTTGCCTTTCAAACATAAATTTAGTCATGGAAGTCAAGGTTGTTAGAATCCTTGCATAGGCAAAAGTAAAATGAAGCTTTTGACTAGGACAACATTACATAGCGAAAGTTTTTGGAAGCATTTCTCTTGTCTTGCTTTGGTTTTGCTCCTTCACTGTCCTTCCTTTATTCCCACAAAAATAACTGGCAGTAGAGTCACTAGAATTGAAAGGGACATTAGAGATCATGTAGTCCAGCTCCCTCATTTGTCTGACAGTAACACTTAGGGTTAATGGTTCTGGTGGCTGCCTTCACTTTTTATTAAAGATGTGATTATCTAGGCATTTATCTTCTGCCAGTCTAGGGTAGTAGAGCTGGTCTGGGAGCCAGGAAATCTAGGTTCAAGTCCTGACTTCTGTGTGTGTTGGCTGTGGTCCTTGGACAAGTCATTTAACCCTTCTGTGCTCTCTCAGATCTGTAAGACTATTATTGCAGACAAGGTATTGGCTTGTGTTGATAGAGGGAGTTTCCTTCTCCAGGAGTTCCATGAAATCACATGTCCAGTCCTAATCCCTGTCTCTGTTTTTTCCCTTCTATACTTTGAATCTCAATGGCTTCTGTGTATCTCCTGACCCATGTCCCATTATCTTTTTACATTATAGTATAGTGGGAAGAGCACTGGATTTCTGAAGACTTGGGTTCGAGTCCTGGATCTGCTTTTTACTAGCTGTGTGGCCTTGGACAAATTACTTTCTGTCTCTGGGCCTCAGTTTCCTCACTTGTACGGTGAGGGGGTTGGGCTGGTTGATCGTTAGGATTCCCTCCAGCTTTAATAAATGGCCAGCTGGGTTTTGTAGTTGTTCAGATTCGGTGTGCTGCCAGAGCTGTTTATGATCACGTGGTTGTATTTTATAAAAAGCCTTCAAAGGGAATTTTTATGGTAACTTTTAAAGTAGCAGGCAAATAGATGATACTACTGCTAGAGTTAGGCTGAGAAAGGATGCTTAGGAAAAGGTTTATGGATGATGCCAGGTTGTGGAAAAGTCAAGAAGGATCAGAATCAAGAAGAGACCCTTGGAGTTGGGAATAATAAGACCTTTTGAATTAAGAACAATAGACCTGTTTACAGCTGGGGATCGCCAGTGAGAAAAGCTATGCTGAGAGGGTTTGAAAGAAGACCACAGAAAAATGAAGTCATTGGCCGTAATGGCATGAAAGTAACTAAGCATTCATAAAAACTCATTTCCTTGCGTGTTGTGGTGGGGGTTGTTTGTTCTTCGTTTTCAGAGAGGACCAGTGACATCACAGGATTATGTTGAGTCGTATGTGAATTGGATTTAAGTGATACAGAGTTGTGAGCCTCACTAGCTCTTTCAGAGTCATTGAAATTCAGTGGCAGGACAAGAGTCAAAATGACTGGCCATGGCCTAGGATGCAGTGGATGACCTTGGCATCTTTGATGTCTGACCAAGCTCTAAGTGCTCTACAGTGCCTGCTTCAGCCTCCTTCATGGCTGTTGGAACAAATTGTTCTCATCTACTCATTCTGCTGGGGGAAGTCTTTATATGCTTGGGGTAAACAAACCTCCTAACTGACCAATAGGTTTGAGGCATGTTGATTACCCCCAACCTGGTTTAGCCCTTCTGCTGAGATGGTTTGAGCCACTGCTCTAGCTACAGCTTCTTGGAGTCACAGGTGAGAGTTGGGTGAAGGTAGACACCAAAGGTGGATGAGCAGCCTGGAAAAGGGCTCAGCAGTCCTCCCACCAGAGGTGCTAGTCCCCCTAAACTCCCCATACTAAGAGGCAAAGGAATGAAGAATGGCTCTCAGGGCTGGGGAAGTCAACAGCAGCTCCCAGCAGGGAGAGAGAGAGAGGTTGGAGGAGGCTGTGAAGGTGCCAGGCAAGGCCAGAGCAAAGTGTGTGTTTTCTCCCATCAGCTCCCCTTTCACATGAACTATTGCTAGAAACTAATGGTTCAGAAGAGGCCTTGTTCCTTCTTAGCTCCCACCTCAATTTTGCTTCCTTCAGTAAGAAGAAGATGGACAAAAAGTGGTATTCAACCATTTTTTTTTTGCCTTTTTTTTGGTGAGGCAATCAGAGTTCAGTGACTTGCCCAGGGTTACCCAGCTAGTAAGTGTCATGTATCTTAGGCCAGATTTGAACTCAGGTCTTCCTGACTCCGAGCCCAGAGCTCTATCCACTGAGCCACCTGACTGCCCCTCGACCACTCTTTAAAATGGGGCTTCCTGGGGCAGCTAGGTGGCACAGTGGATAGAGCATTGGCCCTGAAGTCAGGAGGACCTGAGTTCAAATCTGGCCTCAGATCAAACACTTGACATTTACTAGCTGTGTGACTCTGGCAAGTCACTTAACCCCAATTGCCTCACCCAAAAAAAAGGTGGGGGAGAGCTTCTTATAAGGATGATATCTCTGGCTCAGCACCATTGTGCCAATTTTACAGGCTCACTTCAAGTCACTGTTATTGTATGAATTGTTTTTATCACCTCTGTATATTCATCTTCTCAGTTATAGATTCATAAAGTAATGGCTTTATAGCATTTCAGAGATAGAAAGAACCTTAGAGGTCATGTAGAATGTCTCATTTTACAGATGAGGAAATGGAGGCCCAGGGTATGGAAGTGACTTGCCCAAGGTCATATAACTAATTTTGGGGAGGTAGGGGAATGGGGGAGGGGAGGGTCCCTTTGCTATATTCTGTCATTTTGAAGTTCTAGGCATTTCTTAGACTAATAGACTGCTTTAGCTCCTGTCAATCCAGGTTTAATACTTAAGGTGACAGTGCTATTATAACTGTTTGCTTCAGTTTAATGGCTTGACTGAACCTCCATCTCTGCTGCTTTGTTCTCATTACAGGTAAATAACAGGTATTTCCGTTGTCCTTTTAAAATTTTGACTGTATGTACAAAAGGGCAGCCATGCCTGCTTTCAGACTTCCTTGTGGGGTCTCTCCATGTTTTCAGAGGTGCTTTGTGCAGAATCATAAAGCTAAAAGCCCTTTCTAGCTCAAGATTCAGTTCCACTAGAACGTTGGTGATGATGATGGCGATAAGTGAAGTAAGAGGGTGAAATAGGACCTGGAGATCCTAGATCTGGAGTTGGAATGGACAGTCTGGCCCCTTATTTTACAAATGAGAGAACTGAGGCTTAGGCAGGCTAAATGAGATCATCTGCTAATGCCTTCTCCTGCCTAAATGATTTTGTATTTATTTTCTATACATTTTGCATATGCCTATTTTGTATACACTTGTATGTGTCCCTCTTGTCCCCCCCCCAAGAATGTAAGCTCCTTGAGGTTCAGGTACTGTTTCATTTTCATCTTTGTGTAGCCTGTAACAGCTAGCATAGTGACTAGAACATAATGAGCATATGTAGTGCTTTTTCATTTGATTCTCACAATAATCCAGTGAGACAGGTAGTATAAACGTTATTTCTCCCATTTTACAGATAGATGAGGACGTTGAAGCTCAGGGGAGAGTGACTTGAATGTTGTTTAGTCATTGACAGAACTTAACTTCCAGAAGGCATTTCTCCAGCCCTTTCTATTATATCACACTGTTGTGATGCTATAATGTAAGCTGAAAGTGAGGGGGATATATATTTGCCTTTGGAGTAGATGATGGGTATATTTTTTGTTTGTCATCAGCTTTACTTTCCTAATAATGGTTTCCTTAGGCTAATTAAAAAATTAGTTTGCATTCCTGAACACACAACTCAGCTAACTGGAAGATGTGATCGGATAGCATGCTGAGTGGTGGTAGGAAAGTCTGTTGATTTAAAAATTCATCCCAGATAATTATTTGGGTAATTTGCTGATTTTACATAGCCGTTAATGCAAATTGCAAAATAGTCCATGGATAATTTGTCTGTAGAGGGTGAGATGATGGCCCTTCCAGGTCTGTGATTTTATTTGGGTAAGGAACTTTCAGTTTGGAAACTCTCCACCAGTGCAGAGCAGCATTTCATCTATAACTTAAAGTCTTAGAGGCCATGAGAAGTTTTATTTCCTATGGAATAAGTCCTCCCCTACCTTTTGAACAAGAATGCTGCTTCTGGTTAGGAGGGTACTCCCAGTTAAGTGGTGAAAAATGATTTTTCTGAAAAACACCAAAGCAAGACTTGACTCTGATAGGCCTTTTTTTAGCCAGAAACTCCTTATAGAATTATGGAATGTCAGAGGCAGAACTCTTCTTAAAGAAATCCATCCTTTTACAGATGAGTAAACTGAGGTTAAGTGACTTGTCTAAGGTCACAGGGCTAAGAAATGACAAATTTAAGGATTTGAATCCACATTCCTTACTCTTAATACCTTGTTCTTTCCACAATGTCATTTTGTTCTTTATATAAATAAAATAACTCTATTTAGCTCTAATCACATTGTGAGTCAAAGTCAGTTCTAAAGTCAATAATTTTAAATAGTCGTGTTTGAAATTGGCATGATGTCTGTTCTAATTATCCTTGTTTAAGGAATATGGGCATTTTGGGTTTTTTTGCATCTCTTCCTTAGAATGTATAGATAAGTATGTATAGCATATCTATTAATTGGGGATATCTACTTGTAACTCCTCTTGCCTGACCTCTCTGCACATATTTTTCTCTTTTGACAGAGCTTATGAACAACTCAATGTGAAGCACGAGCCTCTCCAGCTCATCCAGCCTCAGTTTGAGACTCCACTGCCTGCCCTTCAGCCAGCCGTAAGTTGCCAAGTTTTTGGGACATGTGATGGAGCTGTTGCCTGGCATTCATTTTGCCCAGTATACCTAGTTGTAGAAACAGTGCTATGACAAAAAGGGTGGATAAGGAAGTCAAACTAAAGCTGATTAAAATAGGTAGCTGCTATAGGAACATGGGCCTGGAGGCTTTATTTCCAAGTCATGCTAGTAGAAATGAGGCTAGAAGAACAGCAAAATATTCATCTTGTTACCTTTGAACCTACTTGGTAGAAGATAAACTGGCATTTTAATAGTGATAGTAATAAAGTCTTAGGTTTAGTTTCAAAGAAATCAATTTTGCAAGTACAGTCAAAGCTGTTAACCAAACTTTTACTTGAAAGTGTTTTGTCTTAGTGTGGAATTTTGTCTTCTTTTGGAAATACAGGAAATTGTAAGGTGAAAATAGCTTGTGTCACATTTACAAATACATGACAAAACTGTCCATTTTGGATTTCTTTCTCTCCAAACAAAGATGCTTAGAATTAAAATAATTTAATGAATAAAGTTGCCTCTGTTAGTCATTCAGCATTTTTTAAGTACCTACCATGTGCCAGGCATTATGTTAAGTGCTGAGGATACAAGAAGAAAAAAAGGCAGTCCCTGCCTTCAAGGAACTCACAGTCTAAGGGGGGAGACAACCAGCAACCAGCTACATACAGACAAGCAATATACAGGATAATGAGGAAATAAAAGATAGAAGGCACTGGAATTAAATGGGGTTGAGAAAAGCTTCCTATAGAAGATTAGATTTTAGGTGAGACTTAAAAGAAGCCAGGAGGCAAAGCTGAGGAAGGAGAACATTCCAGGCCTGGGGGGCAGCCAGAGAAAATGCCTGGAGCCAGGAGATGGAGTGGCTTGTTCAAGGACTAGCCAGAAAGCCAGGGTCACTAGATTGAAGAGTATGTGGCAGGAAGTCAGGTGTGAGAAGACTGGAAAGATAGGAAGGGACTAAGTTAAGAATGGCTTTGAATGCTGGACACAGGATATTGTATTTGATTGTGGAGGTGTTCGGGAACCACTGGGTTTATTCAGTAGAGGGGTGATGTGATTGAACCTGTGCTTTCGGAAAATCACTTTGGTGGCTGCATAGAGGATGGATTGGAGTGTCTCTGGCAGGCTTGAGCCCAAAGCACAGTATTGAATTTTGTTTTCCACAAACTTAAAAGTTTGACAATCAAGAAATAGTTAAATAAATTGTGAAATATTAGTGGAATGCTAGAATGCAGTTAAGACCAATCGATATGAAGTCTACCAAGCAGAATGAAAAGAATGGAGTACACACTAACTGTAACTGTAGAAGGGTAAAAAAAAATGAAGATGAGTGGCTAACAACCATTCTGGAAAGCCATTTGGAATTGTGTGAAGAGAGTGACTGAAATGCCCACACCCTTTAATCCAGAGATTCTACTGCTAGGCCTGTAACCCAAGGAAGTAATTTCAAAAAGCAAGGCTCCCTAGCCCAGGGAATACTTGTAACTGCACTGATCGTGATCACAAAGAATTGGAAACAAAGTAGATGCCCATTGATTGGGGAAGGGCTGAACAAATTGTGGTATGTGAATGTGATTGAATGAATACTGCTGTTCTACAAGAAATTAGATTTATTTGTTTTATCTTCTCAGTGACCAGGACAATGTTCTGCACATAGTAGGGTGCTTAATGTTTGTTGAATTGTGCTTTGTATCACCCAAAGCTCTTGTATAGTTCTATTCACATAGTCTGTATTCACTTACTAACATCTAAACTTTGCATCTCATCATCTAGCATAATAGCTGCTTTTAGTAAATTGTTTATTAAATTATCTGGTTAAATATCCATTGAATTAATGAATTTAAGTAGGTTTGCTTTAACAACTGATCATGGAAATGGTGAAGATGTGTAATGGAGAGGGACAAGTGGGAGGTCAGGAGTGGAATAACAACTGAGGGTTTTACATAAGGAAGGATCTGAGATTTCTCAAATGGTATATCTGTGGTATTACACTTAAAAGTACTTATGCAATAACAGTGCATTCTGAGATCATTTGGAATGTTTTATTTAGGATATTTATTATAGAATATTTCTCTTTTAACCATTTTAATTCATTTTAGAAATTTCAATAGCCTATGGTAAACTTTGCACTATTAATAACAAAAGATGTTTTATACCTAGGTTTTTCCTCCCAGTTTCAGAGAATTACCACCACCTCCTCTGGAACTGTTTGACTTGGATGAAACTTTCTCTTCAGAGAAAGCACGGCTTGCTCAAATTACCAATAAGTGTAAGCTTGATCAATTTATATTTTTTTTTCCAAAATATGTAACTGTAACATTAGTCTCACTGAGCTGAAAAAAACAGAATTTTAAAGTACATTTTATGTTTTGTTTATTTCATGTAAATTATTCTTATATTTTCCCCTCAAGTGGCTCATTATCCCAGTTAGTTAGACCATAGTGTTAATAAATTGAAGATATGGGTTTTATTCCTTTATGGACTATTAACTGGCCACAGATTGTGCTCTCAACATAAGCTGCTTCTCACAAATATGTGTTATTGGTCCCAGGGTAGGTTAAGCAAAGAATATGGATGGATGAATACAAATCAATCACCACTCTCAGAAAAGAAATTAAAATGTGCATGCACAGTTGTCATTGGGTCAAAGGAGTCATTTTTGCTTGATATGTAATGTGGAAAGGATGGCTCCAAGCAATCATAGGTACCCAAACCATTCAAGCCTCTTTTAATGAGAAATGTCAAGCTTTTATCAGAATTGATAAGACCTTTTACCACCATGTATACAAATAATAGGGTTCTAAAGCTTCTGTTATTGTGTATAACTTTAATAGCATCTTATATTTGAAAATTTAATTTAGAGATAGCAAAAGCTCTGTGAATATGTAGAATGTGGCACATTTTAAACTTTGGGTTGTGGCAGAAGACAGGAGTTGAGCTGAGTGTGCCAATCTTTTTAGGTACTGAAGAGGACCTGGAATTCTATGTCAGGAAGTGTGGTGACATTCTGGGAGTGACTAGTAAACTACAAAAGGATCAGCAAGACGCTAAACATGTTCTGGAGCACATATTCTTCCAAGTTGTGGAGTTTAAGAAGCTGAATCAGGTAGTGTTTTTATTACATACTGAATACTAGAAGTATTGTTTGGTTCCATGTGAGAGCTGGAGTCACGGGTTTTTTTTAATGTTATCTAAAGTTCTGATGTTGAAGATCATTTTTCTAAAACAGGTATAAGGAATTTCTGCCATGTGAACTGATTGAACCTTTGGCTTAATTTATCAACTGTGCTCTTTATTCCTGCCAATTTTAAAGAGTCAATTGCTTATTGCCAGCCTTTGCCCTCAGCTATTAGTGTTCCCGTGAGAAGGAGCAGATTAGTGGATATGAGTTTGAGGAGGGAAGGAGGGAGGGAATAAACATCTTTTTAGTGCCTACTGTGCACAGGCACTGTGCTAGGGGTTTTACAAATATTACCTATTTTGGTCCTCTTAACAGCCCTGGGAGGTAGGTGCTGTTATTATCCCCAATTTACAGATAAGGGAACTGAGGCAGACAGTGGTTAGGTGATTTGCTCAGTCACCCAACTACTAAGTGTTGGAGGCTAGATTTGAACTCAGATCTTTGTGACTCCATGCCCAGCACTCTATCCACTATGTCACCTAGTTACTGTGGAGAAGTAGCTCTTGTGCCAGTAATTGAAGTAATAGGGCCCAGGACACCTTAAGCAGGAAGGTGAGAAGGAATTTTGGGCCATTTAGGGATCTGGAGGAGCAGTTACTGTCTCAGTCTTTGATAAAAAGGTGTGACTGAGGGGCAGGATGAATATTGATGACAGGCCTTATGTTTGGTGATCTTAATGGCAGTGGATGATCAGCTTTTAATTTTAGAAATCTTAATCTGTAACTGGGTGAAATTAATAATAACTGACTAGCACTTTAAGATTTGCTAAGTGTTTCTCGAACATGATCCCATTTAATCCTCACAACTGTCCTTTGAGGACAGTGGGACCAACATCACCTTACTTGAATGAGGGCACTGAGGCTCAGAGTGTAAAGGAACCAGCCAGTAGCCTCTGTGTTAGTTTCAGAGGTAGGATCTGAACAGAATCCTACCTGACCCCAAGTCCACCTGTTCTGCCCTGCCATTTGAACTCTCAGCCTCTTAATCTAAGTGTTAGATCAGTACTACAAATCTGAAGTTTCTAATGGCTGCAACTAATTAGCAGCAATTAACCAATCATTAGTGTTTAAATGAGTGGGTTTTAGCATTATACTGAAAATTTTCATTTTTTTCTTTTCTTTTTTTTTTTAGGAGCATGATGTTGATACAAGTGAAGCTACATTTCATAGCAATTACTGAGTACAGTGTCTCTTATAAGACCAGAAGAGGGGGAGATACTAGAACAGCTAACTTGTTGTCTGGTCTCTCACTATAAACTCTTTTCCAACTGTTTTTCTATATATTTGTCAAAATTGCCTCTCCACTATGAGCCGTGCACTTTCATATTGTAAATAGGTACAAAGTTAAAGATTCTACGTATCTTCTGAGTGACTAGGCAGGTGCACTATGAGGATTGCTAACTATCGAAATTATTATGTAAGACAAATGTCCCGTATTCTTTTTTTTATTGGAGCTATACTTTTGTAATGTCAGAAATATTCTTACATTAAAATGTTCTCTTTCAATTCCAGTCCTGTCTTTAGTCTTGTTAAAGGTGTAATAATCTGGTTCAGTTTTTTGGTGATCTTTATGCAACTTTTCTTTTATGCCTAATGAATAATAAATGCTATAGAGAATAAGTTAATTTGCAGAATCTACTTAATATAATGGCCATAAACAAATTAACAGGCTCATAGATCTGTGAAATCTAGCCCCATCCTAAGCTCTAGTCCTGTGTCTCCGATAGCTTTTGGGACATCACAAAATTGGAGGTACCTTCTGTAACATCTCCCCTAAGGTCTTCTCCTTCTCTGAATACTTTACTTGTTAGGCTTTTAAATATAAGATAATACATAATAATTTGTTTTATGTTAATTATCTGTGTATATAACTGCAAACTTTTGTTGATAGCTTTAAAAAAAAAGACTATTAACTTTAACAAGATTACCACAAAATGATTTATTTCTGTGATCCATTCTGAATTTCTTTTCTTGTACATTAAGTCCGTTAATTAATCAGCAGGTATTTATTAAGTGCTTATTGTGTGCCAGGAACTATGTTAGGCAATTGAGACGCAAAAAAAATGAAAAAGTCCCTGCACTCAAGGAGTTTAAATTCTATAGGGGAAGACAATATATATACATGTAAGTTTATATAAAAATATCTGTGGCAGTTTTGGGGAGAGACACCAGCTGCTGGAAGGAATCAGGATTTAGCTGCTGTCATTGTTGCCTTTATATAGTTGTACTAAGTGTCTGTATTCTTTTAATTCTGTTCTTTGCTGGTTATCATGTCTGATTCTCAGTGACCCCATTTGGGGTTTTCTTGGCAGAGTTACTAGAGAGGTTTGCCATTCCCTTTTCCAGCTCGTTTTACAGATGAGGGAACTGAAGCAAACAGGGTTAAGTGACTTGCCCAGGGTCACACAGCTAGTAGGTGTCTGAGGCCAGATTGGAACTCAGGAATATGAATCTTCTGGACTTCAGGCATGGCCCTCTATCCACTGTGCCATCTATGATTCTGTTCACTCTCATGTTAAATTTCTGAAATAGATTTTAAGTACTTGTAAGAAAAGGAATATATCTTATGCTTTTGAAAACTATATTCTTCATAGCACCAAAACACATAGTAGATGCTTACTAAATACTTGCTAAATGATTGAACAAATCAGTGGGAATATATGATGCTCCTTAGATGGTGATTGAAATACATGGGGAATCATTAGGGAAACATTTGATTTAAACACTTATACACATGTTAATAACCTTCACTTTTCTCCTTGGACTGAAGATGGCACTTTGTTTTGTACTTTATTAATGAACTTATAATATTGTGTGTTATTATTAGCTTTGTATGTGTTATGTCCTTCCCAGATTTTAAGCTCTTATTGAATTAAATCACAAGTATTTATTAATTTTGTTTTCATTTTTTTCTTTCGCAGAGCTGTTACCTTACATAAAGTCTTGATCTCTAATGTTTAATTCAGATATATCTTGGCTTGCCCATGAAGTTATGGACTGTGTGCCTCACACTACTTTTGAACTGTAGCAGCTAGCACAGTGATGGGTATATAGGAAATTAGCAGTTAATATTTGTTGGTTTGAAGGGCTTCTGAGGCCACTTTTAGTTCAGTATTCTGTGATTTCTGTTGCTTATCCAGCAAACGCATACTATGCTTGCAGATTTCTGATATGGGGGCAGCTATGTGCAAGGTGGATAGAGCACTGGTCCTGGAGTCAGGGGGACCTGAGTTCAATTCAAATCTAGACTCATAGGTTCCCAAAATGGGCAATACTGCCCCCTGAGGGGTGCTGGACTGAACCAGGGGGTGGTAGTAGCCTTGGGTGCAGTTGGGGGCTTTTGAATAAAAATAAGAGGGCAGCAGAAGCATAAGGAAAGAAGAGAAGACAATTTTGAAAAACTGTACATTTCATCTGTTGTGTAACAGAGTTAAAGTCCTAATGATTACATTATTTTCCAAATAAACATACAAAATGCAAGTTATACCGGTTATAACAAGTTATAATTGGGTATGACACATTATAATTGGTTATAATATAACTGATCAGTGATCAAGTCCACCAACAGGTCTTAACAACCAAGTGTTGGGAAGTCCAGGATGCATTGGCAGAATATGTAGGTGTAATGACTTCTTTATAACAATTTCAACACAGAACCCCCCCATTTACAATAAATTATTAAATTTAAGATGTGTTCATTGTTTTTTAAAAATATATTCTTTTGAAATGATGCAAATTTTTAAAAAGGCATTAAAAGGTTAAAGAAAGTAGATTTCCAGGGGGTGCTGATTAATTTTTTTTCTTGAAAAAGGGGTGATAGGCCAAATAAGTTTGGAAACCTGCCTCAGACATTTGATACTTACTAGCAGTGTGAGCCTGGGCAAGTCACTTAACCCTGATGCCCTTGCCAAAAAAAATTTTTTTCCCACTGATGTGATCCTTATTCTCTTCTAAGAAACATTTTCAGGTTCTGTGATTTTGTTGTTGCTTTGGGCTTTCAGAAAAGAAAAATGCAGCATTCTGAGCGTTTGATTAATGTTGACATCATAATGAGAGCATTTTTGTGAAGGAGTAATATAATATCAGATATGTAAATTACTGAAATATTTAGCATCCCAACTGATGTCCACATGTGTTGTCTTTTAAAGCATGATGATGCATCCTTATTTCAACTATGCTTCCATTGCTTCCAACGTGATTTGAACTCCTCAAAAGCCAGTTTTTGAGCCATCTAAGAAAACAGGTCTTGTTACTTTATTTTTGATGCTGAATGTTATCAGCTAGTTTGAATCACCATACTTAGTGCCTGTTGATCTCTGGCAGTTTCCAAAAATCAACTCTACCCATTGAGCATATTTAAAAGAATATAGATGCAGAAACCTATTCCAAGAGTTCTGAAAAATGTTTTAGGCTATAGCAGTGTTGTTGAACTTTTAAGGGACCACAACTTATTTGTAGATATCAGATCTGGTGACTCTTGTTTCCATTATTCCACAAATACTAGTGACTGAGCAGTAAGTACACTGGCAGTAGGAGGACAAGAGCTGCAGCCTTCAAATGTAGTTAATGGTTAACTTTTTGTTTTAAAATAAAACCCTTAAATGTTTAGGGCATGAGTTTAAATCCTGGCTCTACCAGTTACTATGGGATCCTAGGCAGGTTGCTCTTCTCTAGGATTCTGTTTCCTCTTCTGTAAAATGTGGGGGTTGGATTACAAACACTTTTAAGAGAAACATGTCTTTGTCATATCTCAAATCACCCCACTGGAAAGACAAAAGCCCTGCAATGATTTAATAGACACTTAGGATAAGACCCCAAAAGGGGCTCCCCAGGTTGCTGGGGGAGTCCTGTTTCTGGGCTCCTTAAGGACGTTTCATGATCCTTGGGCCTGGGAGGTGGGGAGGGGGCAGAGGCGGGCACTCCTTCCTTAGAGTTGGCCTAGTGGAGGTGGGTAGGCCCAGGCTCCTTCCAATCATGGCCCCACTTGGAGGGGGTGGGTCCAGGGTAGATAGCAGATAAGGTTAGACTGAGGTAGCTGTAGGCAGCAAAAGGGCAGGGGTATGGCTGGGTATGGTCCTCATGGGAGGGCCTTGTTTATACAGACACTTGGGATGAGTACAAATACTACCATGCATTAAAGTTCAATGTTATCAGTATAAATTATTTAGTAATACTCAACATGACTAATAATAATTATAGCTACTTAAAATTGATGTGGGAAAATTATGCCACACCTTTAATCCCCTTTGCCTTTGGCAAGATTCTGTAAGAGGTAGCATGGGTATGATTATCCTGTATTTACTGAAATGGTAACTCAGGCTTCCCTAGGTGGAGGAACATGGTCCAGGTCATGACATTGGAAGAGATTAGACTCTCCTGGCTCTTCCTACCTTACCTTCTGTCTAGAGGTCTTCTGCAGTAAGGTACCTCTCAAATCAAACTTAATTGTGAAACTCAAAATTGCAGTCCCCTGTTTTCCGCTAACATGATGCTTGGTAGGTATAAATACCTACCAAGTAAGTGCTTGATTGATCTTAAAGATAAGAAGTTCAAGATACTTGCTGCTCAGTTGTGTAGGGCTCTGTGTTTTCTTGGCAAAGATACTGGAGTAGTTTGCCATTTCCTTCTCCAGCTCATTTTACAGGTTAGGAAACTGAGGCAAACAGGGTTAAGTGACTTGCCCAGGGTCACACACCTAGTTGGTATCTGAGGTCAGATCTGAACTCAGGTCATCCTGATCCACTATACCACCTAGCTGCCCTATCCAAGATACGTAAAGAATTAATAGATTAAGAACAAATGTCGTTCCCCCAATAATAAGTAAGAGGTGAAAGCTTATGAGCAAGAAGATATCAAAAGAAGAAATGCAAATCTTCAACTGATTAATCAGCTTTTATGAACACCGACTACATGACAGACACAGGATACAAATAAAAAGAATGAAACAACCTATTCAAGGAGCTCATATTCTACAATATGAAAGAATCCTCTTATCACTAATAATAGTAGAAACTTATTAATCTAAGAAACACTTAGATTTTCTTCCCTATGTCCGTTATATTGGCAAAGATGACAGATGAAAACACTAAATTTTGAAGGGCCTGTAGGAAAGTAAGACAAACTAATTCATTGTTGGTAGAACTGTGAATTGGTCCAACAATTCTTATTAGAAAAGTCACCATACTCTGACCTAGCAATACCACTGCTGGGCATGTACTCCAAGAAGGTCAAAGACAGAGGCAAGGGTCCCACATATAAAAAATACCGCATATTGACAGGAGTACTTTTTCTTAAAGCAAAGACCTGGAAACAAAGTGGTATTTTCTCATCAGCTGGGGAATAGTTGAACAAATTGTGGTATGTGAATGTCATGGGATATTGCTGTGCTGGAGGAAACTGATGAATGTGAAGAATTCAGAGAAACTTGAGAAGACTTGTATGAACTGATAAAGTGAAACCTTTTTAAAAATTACATGGAAACTAATGAAACTAGCCAGCCTTCTTTTCCAGTTGTAATTTTCTTACATATTTTCTGTACTGATTGGTGCTATTGGTAATGTACTAAAGCCTATTTATTCTACCCACCAATCATTTCTCTATTGTCCTTTGAGTGATCCATACTTTTGATTACTCAAGAGTGATACAAAAAGTGGGAAATTATCTTTGGGGTCATGGAGCTCACAGTGCTTAAGGCAATAAGGCATATTCACAAATAACTATGGGAAGCTAGGTGGCACAGTGGATAGATCACCAGGCTGGAATCAGGAATACTTACCTTCCTGATCTCCAATCTGGCCTCAGACACTTACTAGCTGTGTGACCCTGAGCAAATCATTTAACCTTTATGCCTCAGTTTCCACATCTGTAAAATGAACTGGAAAAGGAAATGGCAAATCACCCCAGTATCTTTGCCAAGAAAACCCCAAATGGGGTCACAAAGAGTTGGAAATGACTGAATAACAAGTATATATATAATATAGAACATAATGTGTTAAGTGCCTAAAGGAAGGTAATGGCACATTTCCTTAGCTGTGTGATTCCAGCCAAATCATTTAAACTTTTTGAGCCCAAATTTCTTCATCTGCAAAATGGTGATTAAAAAGACTTGCACTGCTTACCTCACAGGTTTCCTGTGAAGAAAGTGCTTTGTAAATTGTAAATTTTTTTTAAAGTTCTTTGTAAACGTTTGCTATCATTATTCCAAGGAAAAGTTTTAATTTCCTAAGGGAAATTGGGAGTATCTTTCGACTCAATGAATGACTGAGCGAGGCCTAGAATCCAGGTTTTTTGCCTCTCAAACCTCTTCTCTTCCCTTTATACACTGATGTAGAAAGACAACAAAATAGCCCAGAAATTTTTTAAAATTGTGGATATTGACCTGGGAAAGGAAGTACCAGACTATGAGTCTGCAGTATTTCATATGAAGTCAAAGTCAATGTGACCATTGGCTTTGCTTAACTTTTTTATTCTTTGTTACAAGAAAAAGATTATGGGGTGGTGGGCGGGAGGGGTATGTCTAGAAATGACTGTGATATTTAAAAAGGCATCAATAAAATTTTTAAAAATTGTATTTACTATTTTGTTACATACTTTGATGGATCTGTGGTCTTCTCCACCAACCCTGTCTTCTCACTTTGTGTAGTTTTTGTCCATGCCCTTCCATAGGTCTTCCATGGAGTATTTATTTGCCTAATACAATGGAGGCTTTCCTCAAAATAATTTAATATTTTGAGGATATCAAGCATTTGTTATCTTTTGCTCACTGTATTATTTTGATTCATAAAGTATTTATTAATAAATACCTACTAGCTGCATGGCACCTGCAAGGTGTTGGGAATATAAGACAAAAATGAAAATTCATGGATTCAAGGAGCTTATATTCTACTGGGGATATACAATATGTATACAGATAAATATAAATATAAATATACACACAAGGAAAATAGAAAGTAATTTCTGAGGTGGGAGTGGAGATCTGGGAAAAAGGAAAGACCTGATCTAATATAGGAGTTAGCATAGGAGTTGAGTCTTGAGGGGAGCTAGAGATTCTAAGAAGCAGAAGAGAGAAAATTCCAGGTAAGGGGCACAGCCCGTGCAAAGTCATAGAGGTGGGAGGTGGAATGACTTGTATAAGGAACAGCAAGTGGGCCAGTTTGGGTGGAATAGTTTGTGAAATATGATATTAGCCTAGAAAGCTAGGCTGGAGCTATATCATCAAAGACTTTAAATACCAAGTAGAGGAGTTTGTATTTTATCCTAGAGGCAACAGGAAACCACTGAAGCTTTTTAAGCAGGGGAATGGCACAGTCTGACTCTTGTTTTGGGAACAGCAGTTTGGTAGTTATATGGAGAATGGATTGGAGAGGGGGAAGAGTGAAAAAAAAAAGCTGTCAGGAGGATATGAAGTGATGGAAGTCTGAAACTAACTGTGACGGGGGACTCCACAAGCCTTGGCAAGTGATTAGATATGGGGTGGGGTGGGGTGAGGGAAAGTGAAGAGTTCAGGTCACCAGGAGCTTATTTACCTAGACTACTGTAAGGTTGAAAGTGGTATCTTCAATCGAGTTACTTGAGAGAGGGAGCTTGAACTGATTTAATACACTTTTGTCTTACATTTTTATTGCTATTTTTTGTTTTGACAAAGAAGGGAGGGGAAAAGGGGTACAGGACTGCAAAGGGTTTATTCCCTCCCTGTCCCCTCCCCAGGCAGCATTACCTTTAAACATAAAATAAGAAAAAAAATGGCTCAGCAAAACTAGCTAACACATAAACACACTCTGACAGTATATTCAATATTCCACACTCACATTCCCCTACTTATGAAAAAAAAAGATCTAGAGAAGCATTTTGTTTTATTTTTAAAAAAATCAAAATGTTGAATTCATCCAACTTCTCCATAAAGTCCTTCCTACTGGCAGCATTAAAACCGGGAGAATCAATCAATCTCTTAATTTTCTTAATAGTTAAAAAAAAAGTTTGCTGTGGACTATGGGTTTCAATTTTCTTTTTTTTTTTAAATTTTTTTTCCTCAATTTTTTCATCTGCAAAGTAAGAGGATGTTGGACCAGATTACTTTTTAGGTACCCCAGAGCTCTTGATCCCATGAATCTAACTTCCTATTTAACTGAAAACATCTACCCTCCACTCATCAAATGCAACAAAACTACATCCCATGATCTAAACTTTCTATTTAACTGAAGACCTCTACTTTCGACTCAGCAAATGCAACAAAACTACATTTCCCAAAACCCCTTGCAACAGGGGCTTCAGTTCAGCCCAGTTAAAAAGCCATATCTGAGCATTTAATTTGGCGAGCTTTTGGTTATTTTTGGACCCGGCGGAGCCCCGCTCCCCGTCTCGCTATGGGCTTTAAAGAAGAGTCATTTTCCAAGCGGAGGGCACCGGGACGTGTGCGGCTCCGTCCCCTGCCCGCCTTGGCTGAAGTCTCCCTGGCCCCGGGGACCTCGGGAGAGAAGAGAGCGCCGAGGGTCTTCTCGCCTGTAACCCGTAAGTTGGGGCGCGGTGGGGAGGCGTGCATGGATGGACGGATGGGCCGGCGGGTGGCGGGGGCTTTGCAAAATTTCTTGCAGTTTACCCGCGCGCGCCTCTTTTCCCCTTCCTCCGCCTCCCGCCCGCCCGCCAGCCACCCAGCACTCTGCCTCTGGCTTCCCGGGCGTCCGCCTCGCGCACGCTCGCGCGCCAGCCCCGGGGAGGGAGGGAGGGAACGAGGGAGGCGGCCGTCCGGAGTTGGCGCGAGATAGGAAAGTCCTCCAGTGTCTGCGGCGGCGGCGGCGGCGGCGTGTCCCGCTCTTCCACGCCGGCTGCAGGAGCGGCCCCGTGCCGGGCAGCCTTGGAGGGGAGGGGGCACCCCCGGCCCCGACCTCCCCCTCCCCTCCCCTCCCCTCCTCCTCTCCTCTAGCCAGCAGTGGCATTCCCTAGCGGGGGCTTCTAGCGGCTGCCGCCGGCGAGCTCCGGAGCAGGGCAGGGCAGGGCAGGAGTCGGCTCGGCTAGGCGGGCTGCTGCCCTCCCTTCTCCCCATTTCCCCCCTTCGTTCCCTTTCCCCCCTCTTCACCTCGCTCTCCTCTCTTCCCCCCCATTTCCACTTTTCTTCCCTTTCCTCCTTTCCCCCCAATTTCCCCTATTTTGCTTCCCTGTCTTCTCCCCCCCCGTTTCCCCTTCTTGCCTTCTTCTACCCTCAATTTACCCTTCTTTCCTTCTCCCCATATCCCCCATTTCTCCTTTTCCCTTTTTTCCTTTCTCTCCCTCTTCCCCCAGTTTCCCTTTCTTTCCCTCCCTCTCTTCCCCCCATTTCCCCTCTCTTCTCTTCTCCCTTTTCTCTTCCTCCTTCCCTCCCTTTCCTCTTCATCTCCTTTCCCCGCTCTTTGCAGCCTGTACCCCCCTCTCCTCCCCTCCCTCCGCCGCCTTTATGACCCCCTGGCCCCAGGGGCAGCAGAGAGGGGATGGCTCGCCGGACTCGCGGGTAAGTTGGACGACCCTGGGGGACTTCCGAGCTGTTTTATTTGTCCACGGAAACACCCCCCCCTCCCCAGTTAACTAATGGGTGAGAGGGGGTGGTTGTGGACTCCCCCCCCCCATTGCTTGCCCTGTGTGGTGGAGTCGTGGGGTTAAACAGAGCCCACTTTGTCCTCCCCACCCCCATGGGTGGGTGTCTCTGGTTGCTTTGGTTAATGGGTCAGTTTTTCAGCTTTCTGGGGAAGGAGGTCTGGAGTTCCCCAGGCGCTGCCACCCCGCCTCCCGTGGGTGGACCACAGGCCCATTGAATCCGAGAGGCGTCCCTTGGCCAGGTGCTCTGGGCTGATTGGGGCGTAGTCCGCACTCTGGGGGTTTGCATTTTGTCATTCGGTCCCCAGTTTAACACTCTGTAAAATGGGTGACAATAGGGAGTTATCAGAAGGCTCTAGGATTCTTTTGTAAGTGGTGCAAAATAATCTTTGACCCAAAGCTCCCTGAGGGCAAGGACTGGTCTAATTTACCCATCTCAGGCTTCAGCCTCTTCCTCTGGTGCGTGCCCAGTAAATGTTGTATTGAACGGTATATTAGAACTGGAAGGGACTTTAGGCCTTGTTCAGGATCAGAGGATATTAACCTAATGTCATGATCCCCTTTGGCACTGTGGTGAAATCTGTGGTTCTCTTCTCAGAGTAATATTTTTAGATGCATAAAATAAAATATGTAGGGTTACAAAGGAGACCAATTATATTGAAATAGTTATCAAAATATAAAAAACCAAAAGGCAGTCTGACGTAGGACCTCTGTATCCACCCCAGCTTTGCAAAGGAGGAATTTGAGGCTCCGAGGAATTAATTTAATAACACAAAATATTGACTATTCATCCTAAAATTGTGAGCATAGACATCATCCATAAACTTATCTTGGTTATTGTGAAACTCTGGTGTAGAGGAAATGAGTTCTTATAAATTGAGAGCTGTGGAGAAGCCTAAATCCATCCTTTCCAAAGCAAAGGGCAGTGGAGGAGAGGGGTTTTATCATTTCTCACATACTTCTGGATCATACCAGAGGGCATTATTATTTGGAGGTTCTTTGTGGGAAGTTTTGGTGGCCTGGGTTTATTAATCTCTTTGTTAAGTATGGAGGGTGCTTGTGCATGTGTGTGTCAGGCAGACAGACAGACAGACACACACAAACACACACATTCCCCCCCCTCCGAAGGTCTCCTGCCTCTTCTAGGGGATAGGCAAAAATAAGACAACATAGTGCCCCTCAAATTTTCTTGCCCCCTGAAACATAAGGCTGATGTTATTTATGAGATCATGCTGCACATATTTATTAAATGCCTATATTAATTGCCACTTTTCCTGGGTATTTTTTTGCCTTAGCTATCAGTTCCCAGCTTACAAACATCTCACTTCTCAGTTGTTCCTTGCCTGCAAACGGTCTTTGTCTGTTAAGGCTTCTTTCCTCCCTGGGGTCATGGGAACATGAGGCACTTATTTCTCTTTGCCTGTCAGCTGCTGTGATTATTTTCTCTTGTGGCCTGAGGTCCAGCTGGGTTGAGGTGGAAGGGGGTAGTGTTGCTGTTGTCCTAAATAATTAATTGGAACTTTAGATGCATTTTGTTTTCTGATAGAAACAATGTTAAAAGTGGTTAAGTTCTATTTCAGCTACATTATAGGCAAAATGGACTTTTCTGGGTTCATAGCCACCTTTTAAAACATTGTTTGTGAGGGGCAGCTAGGTGGTGCAGTGGCTAGAGCACCGGCCCTGAAGTCAGGAGAACTTGAGTTCAAATGGAGCCTCAGACCAAACACTTGACACTTACCAGCTGTATGACCCTGGGCAAGTCACTTAACCCCAATTGCCTAAAAACAAAACCAAAAAACCCCCATTGTTTCTGAAAGAGAACATTTGGAACACAACCTATTCTTGTGCTGGGTTTGACCTGTCTTGGACATTTAGATTTTGCTTCTAGGAAATTGTCCTTAAAGATCTGGTCCGGGGGTTTTTAACTTTTTTGTGTCATAGCCCCTTTGGTAGTTGGGGGGGCCCTTCTCAGAAGCATGTTTTTGATTCATAAAATAATACATAGAATTACAAAGGAAACTTGTATTGAAATATAAAAATTTTTTGTTTTAAGTTCACACTGATCTGATGAAAAGAGGAAAAAGTTTCAATCAGTTTGTCACATTTCCCCAATAGTGTTATAACTTTAAAATCATTATTCAGAACACATTTTGAAAATACCAAGTACTAGTAAATAAATTCCTTATGACTAATTGGCCTGATTCCGTGTTAAATATTACAGGGAGGAGAAAAGCTGTCTTCTGTCTTAATGAAGTCTTACCTTTTAAACGGATGCATTTGTCATTTTTAGCATCGAGGATCAAGATGAGTTGCACTGTCAGGACACAGATTCAGATGTGCAGGAACAGAGGGAAAGTAAATGCAAGGTCAAGTGGACTCACCAAGAGGTATGTGACCTAGAGAGGATGATAGCCAGGCTTACATCTTGGCAGGTATCACTTTGTTTTGAGAGAGAGACTGTGAGGAAGATCAGAAGGGAGGGATAAAAGAATGGAGGGTGTAGAAAGAAAGGGGAAAGAGTAAGATGGAAACAAGGGCTGACCTGACCATCTAGACTGTCAGCACCTTTTCATAGTGCTCTAAGTTGGTTGTAGGTAATACAGAAAAGAAAAAAGTGCAGGGGGAAAATAACTTGAATATTGTTATTGTTATAGGTAACTAGTGAGAAGGGTTTTCATCTAGTTTTCTAGCATGGCTCATGGAGGATTGGTGGTTTCCTTCCACATGGAGTACTAACCCCTGGTTAGATCTAGGGTCACATAGTGGTGGATTTCATGATTGTGGTGTCAGCCCCAGGGGCTTCCCAGGACTCTGCTCAGCCTGAGCAGAACATTCAAGTTGTGCTTTGTGAACCTGTATTCATTTCAATTTGGCAAGCCTTCATTAAACTTCTCCTACTGGTGAGGGCTCTCCTGGGAGCAGGGGGATACTGGAACGAAAAAGGAAACAGCCCCTGCCCTCAAGGTGCTTACATTCAATGGGGGGGGAGGGGGAATGTCACCTATACACAAGTAAATATAAATAAATCATGTCCAAATAAAACTGAAGTCTTTCTAAGAGTTAGAGAATACTAATAATCGGAGTGAGAGATCTGAAAAGGCTGCTTATATGGGAGGTGGCCCCTGAGCTGTGCTTTAGAGGAAGGTAAGGGATTTGATGAGAAGGAGAGTGTTTCAGGTATGATGGAGGATTACTTCCTCAAGGACATGAAGACAGAAGAGGATGCAGTGTCATCGGTGGGGAGCAGTAAGCAGGGAGGTTTGATTGGATCGGAGCAGGAGTGTGTGGGGACTGGGGAGTAAAATCCATCCGGGGGGCAGCATTTCTTCTGCAGTGAACCACGTGAGATGATGCCTTTTCTGGTCCTTTTCAGGATGAGCAGCTGAAGGCACTCGTGAGGCAGTATGGGCAGCAGGACTGGAAGTTTCTCGCAAGCCACTTCCCTGTAAGCATGGAGGCTTCTGGGAGCTCCTGGGAGTTCAGTTTCTGGTTTATGGCCTTGTTTTCAGGGAGGGAATGGATGATCAATTTCTGAATAGCCATTGGGTGTGGTACTCAGTACACAGTTTTGTTTTTTGTTTGTTTTTTGTTTTTCTCAGAGAAAGGGGATCATAGAATGTCAGAGCTAGAAGGGACCCTAGAAATGATCTAGTCAAACCCCTTATTTATAGAGGGGGAAACTGAGGTAGGGAGGTGGATTGATTTGCTCAGGGTCATATAGGTACTAGGTTTAGCAGAGTAGGGGTTAAAACCCAGGTCTTTTGACTCCAAATCCCATGCCCCATCTGTTATACCATGCTAATAGTATCTTCCCAAATTTAGCAAAAGATTATTTTAATTATTTTTTCCTTATCTACAAGTGTGAGGTATTCTCAACCTAGACACCTTGAAATTGTATCTTCAGTACAATTTTTTTGACAGTGATTTAAAAAAATCCCATTATACACAATTTTAAATACATTTGCAAATAACTTACTATAACAGGATACAGCTAGTAGCTCTTAATGAATTTCTACTTTCTTTAGGAGTAAATTAAAGATAGATGACAAAAGGGGAAGAGTAATAGGAGGCAGTATCTTAGAAGAGACCAGAAAGGTGGAATCCAGGGCATGGGTAGGGGGATGCGAAAAGAGAAGGGCACTCTCTTCTGAAAGACTGGAACAAAGAAAGAGATTAGGGACATAGTTCTTCCAGCTGTAAATCTTTTGATCCTGTCCAGATCAAGGCATGCCATAGTCCTGTTGCTTTCTGCTGTGGTTAGACTATATGTAGAGTATAAAAGGGAGTTAGTAAATAACTATAAATTATTCTTAAGGGAGATGTGATAAACTGGCCACTAGATGGCGCCATAGATAGTGCCAGGCCTAGAGTCTGAAGGACTTGCCTTCAAATCCAACCCAACACATTTACTAGCTGTGTGACCCTGGGCAACTCACTTAACCTCTGTCTGCCTCAGTTTCATCTGTAAAATGAGGATGATAATAGCACCTACCTTCCAGATTTGTTGTGAAGAGCAAATGAAATAAAAATTGTAAAGTACTTAGCACAGTGCCTGTCCCATAGTAGGTACTATGTAAATGTTAGTTATTATCATCATCATCACCATCATTGTTATTATTTTGGTAACCTGGGAGCTAGGCAACATAGTAGATAATGTCAGGCCTGGAGTCAGGAAAACCTGAGTTCAAATCTAGCCTCAGAGGGCTTACTAGCTGTGTGACCCTGTGTGTCACTTAACTGCCGTCTGCCTCGGTTTCCTCATCTGTAAAATAGGGATAATAATAGTACCTACCTCCCACTGTTATCGTGAGTCTCAAGTGAGATAATAATCCCAGTGCATTGTACTGTCACCTGGCACATTGCTGTAAGTAAGTGTTACGATCAGGTAAGTGTTACCAGGCTAGTGAAATATCTGGAAGCGCTGTCGCATGAAGAGTGGTTGAACAAACTGGGGATGTTTAACCTGGGAGAAAAAGACACTATAGGAGAAGAGTCTGTCTCTTGGCTCTCTAAAGGTTTACCAGGTGGAAGAGAGGGATTGCACTTGGTTTTGCGCCGTCTCAGAGTGAAAGTAGGATCGGAGTAGAGTTTAAAGAGAACCGCAGAAGGTTCTTGAGCAGGGCAGGGCAGGGACGGCAGACTTGTGCCTTAGGAATGTTGCCTTTTCCTTTGGAGGATGGATGGGAGAGGGGAAAGGCTGGAAGCAGGGAGGCTAAGTAGGAAGCTGTTCAGTGGTTCAGGTAAGCAATGATTGGGCAGGGAGAATCCACAAGACTTGACAACAGACTGCATGTGGGGGAGGGAGAAGGGGAAGAGAGGGAGGGGTCAAGGGTGACCTTGACTGGTGAACTTTAAACTGTTTTCCAGCTTTGGGGGAGGGGCGTGCATTTCTTCCATATCCTCTCACCTGATCCTGTCTTTGCTAAACATTTGGAAGATGGTTGATTAGGCAGAGTAAAGAATGAACTCTACTTACCCCCATGTAAGGATTGACCCTGTGGCCTTGGTTTGTGAAAATCAAGGTCCTCATTTGTGCCCTCAGTAACTGAGCTGGCCTCATTGGGCCTGTTCTGCTTATTCTGCTGTTCACTTGTTCTCTGTGGGTATGGAAGGTATAGAAAGGCAGATTTAGGCTCAGAGTAAGTAAACTTTTCTGCATTATTATTGTCCCAAAGTAGAATGGGATGCCCAGGGAGGTGGGGAGGCTGTGTCTCTGGCCAGTTGTGGAGGTGGCCGCCTGGACGGCCACTTTGTTGGGATGTCATGAAGGGGTTGGATTAGATAAGCTTCTCCGACTGTGAGATTTCTGTGATTTCTGTCTTCTCCCACGTGGCTGAATTCATCATTCTAGAATCGCAGTGATCAGCAGTGCCAATATCGGTGGTTGAGGGTTTTGAATCCGGACCTAGTCAAGGGACCTTGGACAAAAGAAGAAGATCAAAAGGTAAGGCCATCGGGTGTCCTGATCTCTAGGAGGATGTCTTTCATCTGGTAAAGAGGGCACAGGGCTTGAGTCAGGAGACCAGGGTTTGAGTCCTGGTGCTGACACACTTAATAGCTGTGTGGTGACCTTGAGCAAGTCACTTCCCCTCTCTAAGGTTCCTTCTGTGTTTATTTGTCTGAAAAGTGGGTGTAATAACACTTTGCTATCTTCCTTTGGGTTGTTTTGAGGGAAAACCTTTTTTAAAACCTCAGATCAATTCAGAAACGTGTTACTCATATGCAAATAGAGTCATTTAACTCCGGTTGCCTCAGTTTCCTCATCTGTAAAATGAGCTGGAGAAGGAAATGGCAAACCATTCCAGTATCTTTACCAAGAAAAACCCCAATGGGATCAGAAAGAGCTGATAGGACTGAAATGGCTAAACAGTGACAACAGTCTACCTCTCATTTGAGAGCTGAGGAAACTGGGGTTCGGGAAAGTTAACTTGCCAAGGTCGCAGGAGTCGTAAGTGTCAGAGGTTGGATTTGAACCAAGGTCCTTTGACTCAGTGTCAGTACTTTTCCTCTATATCGCACTGGAATATCAGAACGAATTTGACTTAGTTTGGGTGATCTTGTCAGGTTTCTCATATGATTTTCCCACCTTGACGTTAGATATGGGTTATGAAGCTGCTGTTACCTTTGTGATGCTTTTTTTTTTTTTAATAGGGGCCAGTCATTTAACCTTCTGTGCTTTAAGTTTTCTGGTCTGTAAAGTGGAGATAATAATAGCAACTACCTTCCAGGGTTTTTGGGAGTATCAAATGGGATAATATTTGTAAAGTGCTCAGCACAGTGCCTGGTACACAGTGGGTGCCTCATAAATGCTCGAGGCCTGCCTTTCCTTTCTTCTTAGATCTCTTAGAACTCTTACTAGCACAGTTCCTGACCCGAAGTAGGTGCATAACAAATGCTTGTTAATAGTTTGATTATCACCCTGTGGAGAGACCAAGGGCCCCATGAAGTGATGGTTTTTGTTGCCTTGGAGCAGAGGGTGAAATCAGCTCTGGTGGTTCCTTTGTCGCTAGCTCCATCTAGTTTCATCTTCCTTTTGTCTTCGTGGTTTTGCAAGATTGTTACTGTCGGTGTGGTTCAGTTCTTTAAATAGGAGGTCACTTTGTTGGCCACTGGACAGCGAATGTCTTGGAGTCTTTGGTCTGGACCCATGATTTCCTTGGTGTAGGGAACTCCCAGGTAACTCCCAGTGCAGACCTGTGCATATTCTGCGTCTTGTAATCTTAGAGAGGCATGAGGGGTTCTGAAAGGGAGATTTACAGAGGGACACATGATTGTGTCTGTGTTAGGATTCGAGGTGGGCCTTTAAAGAGGTCTGGTATTTCAGCTTCTGAAGCTGACGCTATCTATCATTTCGTCTGGTCCCCCTTCGTTCACATTTAGAATGCTTAATGTTAATATTTATGGGTAGTTTCAAAATCCTTAGTGTTTCCTCTTCCCTTTGCTGCCAGGTCATCACTGTGGGAAGCAGGAGAGGGCCATTTTGAGTTTTTCTTTAATTTCATAGGCTGCCACAACCCAAAAAATTAGTCATGTTGTGATGACAGGCTTCTCCATGATGAGCTAGGTTGGTTCATTTTATTAAGAAGACAGCAGGGGCAACTAGGTGGCGTAGTGGATGAAGCACCGGCCCTGAAGTCAGGAGGACCTGAGTTCAAATGTGGCCTCAGACCAAACACTTGACGCTTACTAGCTGTGTGACCCTGAGCAAGTCACTTAACCCCAATTGCCAAAAAGAAAAAAAAAAAGGACAACAAGGAAGACTGAGTTGGTTGCTAGTACTGTATTCAGAGTCTTTCCCAAGGGTAGAACAGATTGAGTTTATACTCTGCTAACATATACTTTCAGAACTAGGCATTGGACTTGGACTTTATTCTTTATTTCATCTGTAAAAATGGGAATAAAAATTCATACCCTCTTGATAGGAGAAAATGAAGTAAGATAGTTCGGTGATACAGTAGATGGAAGTCAGGACTTGGGGTCAGGAAGATCTGAGTTTTTTTCCTGCCTCAAATATTTCTTAGGGTTCTAGGCAAATTACTTAACCTTTCCCCATCCTATAAAATGGACATCATGATAGAACCTACTTCATAGAGTTGTTGTAAAGCTCAAATGAGTTTGCATATGTAAAGAGCTTTGCAAACTTTAGAGGGCTACATAAATACAGCTATTACTAATGCATATTTAGAACACTGTCTACCATGTCAGTGTTAGTCCATTAAAATCTATTGATGCCTCATCCTAGCTTAGCAGCGATCTATCCAGTGTTCTCCGAGGCTCCTCTTAAGTAGTGTTCAGGTTCTGGTGGTTCTGTTAAATTAGAAAAGTTTAAAGTCCAGGCCTAATCTGTTATTTGAGGACCAGCTTAGCTAAGTAGAAAGAAGCTATAGACTGGACCACCAGTAAGCAGATGAAGAATTATATTCAGTCATAGAAATGCTTGAAGACTATATATTTGCTGCCAGGATTCTTAACCTGGGGTCTGTGAACTTGTTTTTAAAGGGTATCTAGATAATTTCAATGTATTTCAATGATAGTGGGTTCCTTTGTAGTCCTATGGACTACATGGGACCTATTTTAAGCATTTAAAAACATTATTTTGAGGAGGGGTCCCTAGGCTTCCCTAGACTGCCAAAAGGGTCCATGACCCCCAAAAAGGTTAAGAACTTCTCATCTGCTAAGATGTATTAAGCGTCTGCAGTCTACGTAGATGGAAGGAGCATCCACACTGATGGAATCAGGGCTCCTTGTAGTGAAGTTAAAGCATAATTATAAGCTCTTAATATTTGCTCTCTGTTTGCATGTTGTATCCTCAGTGGGATATGGGATTATTCAAGGCAGGGACTAGTTTTCATTTTTATTTCTCATTTCCTCCAGGCCCTTGCACAGTAGTGGTCACTTACTTAAAAAATGCTTGTTAAGTTGAATTATTTTATGGTTATTTCCCCCATTCCCCAAAGGTCATTGAACTGGTGAAGAAATATGGCACCAAACAATGGACATTGATCGCCAAGCACTTGAAGGGACGTCTGGGGAAGCAGTGCAGAGAGCGCTGGCACAATCACTTGAACCCAGAGGTGAAGAAGTCATGCTGGACAGAGGAGGAGGACCGCATCATCTGTGAGGCACATAAGGTCCTGGGCAACCGCTGGGCTGAGATTGCCAAACTCCTCCCTGGAAGGTGAGGCAGGGTCGTGGTGGGGGGCAGGGGTGGTCAGCCTCTCCAAAATCACATCAGGTCATCATTCACAAGAGGTAGTGAGAAGGTATGAATGGGGTACAGGAAGGGTTCATTTAGTTAGCAGAGGCTAGGTTGGAGCTTGCAGTTGTCTGAAGTTGGGGCTCCCAGCAGGAGCAGATGGACAGGAGGGTAGGCAGGCAGTGGATACACATCTGGACTCAGAAGCCAGAGCCCCTTCTGCTTGTCTTGGCTTTGCTAGTGTCCATGTCATCTGGAGTGAGTTCCTTCCCGCCTTTGAGCATTAGATTCTTCATCTGTAAAATTGAGAGCCTTGGGCTAAAGGTCCTTCTAGTTCAAGCCTTCCTTTGTGGTTTTCTCTCAGCGTGAGGGCTGTGGGGTTGGGAGGAGTGGGTTTCTCCCTGTAGACAAATCCCTGCAAAAATCAACTGTGATTTAAGTATCTCTCATGCCTCTTGCTATAAATTAAAGCCTGCCGTTGTATTGTTGTATTGTCACACTGTCCTTCTCTGGCCCACCAGAAGATACACATCTGTGGCCTTTAGGGGGCAGGGGAACCACAATTTCAAGGTCAAGATGTAGTTTGAAAAGGTTTCTTAGGGGGAAAATAACTCTTTCCAGTGTATAGCACAGAAGATGGCCCAGAGGTAAAGCAAGACTCCCAGAGATCATGGAAAAAAGTCAAACCTCATCTGCTTCATCCGCAGCATTAATTATGAGATAGTGGAAAGAACTGGGCACTTTCCTCTGCCACTTACTGAATAACTGTGGACAAATTTCTTAGCCTCTCAGGATTTTGATTTCTTTATGTCTAAAATAGGAATGGAAATAATGCATATTTCACTAGACAGTTTTTTAAAAGAACAGTTTTTGATTATTTTTATGGTACCCACATATCTCTCCTTGTATCCTCCCCATTCCTCCTCCCTTATGACAGACTTTATTTAAAAAAGGAGTAAGAGGAAAAAACCTAGCAAAGCCAGTTGACATGTTGAAAAAGTCTGATATTAAATGTCATATTTTACACTTGTGGGAATCTTGCTCCCCCTCTCCCTACAAAGGATTGTCAGGAATGGGAGAAGCATCTATCTTTTGTTAGGGACCATATTTATTCTCTATCACTTTGTAGCATTTGGTTTTGATTTTTTTTTTTGTGGTGTTTTTTCCCGTTTATATTGTTTGTGGTCATTGTACATATTGTTTTCCTGCTTTCGTTTGCTTTGCTTTGCAGTAATTCATACTTCCTCTGTATTTATCATACTCACTTCTTAAATCCCAGTATATCCATGTACCATATTTGTTTAGCCTGTCCCTAATCGATGGGCATGTTCTTTGTTCCAGTTCTTTGCCATCACAGAAAGTGCTGCTCTAAATATTTTGGCATATATGAAGCAGAGGGCAGATTTGAGGGTCAGACTGCGTAAAGCATTTTACGCCTGTGAGGAAATGTTAGCTATTATTATTACCATTGAAGTGATGTTACCTGCTTTATATAGTGAGAAGGATAATAATAGCTCACTTGGCTGTAACACCCTGCAGCTCACATTAAATAAAATGTACTCACTGGGAGTTCCTTATACCAATTAACTTAAAGGTCTGGTCTGGGAAAGAAGTGTGCCTATGTGCAGAGGATGCAAAGACAAAAATTGAGCCGACCGCCTCCTGGTGAACTTGAAGATGAGCTGTCATTTAATTGGTATAAGAACTTTCCTGGAGTAAACTCCCTTCATCAATGCAGATTGCCCTCTGCTCTGCCTCTTATTAAATACAATGCTGCCTGGGGCTCTTAGAGGTTAATGACTTGCTCCAGGTCACAAAGCTAGTATGTGGTGGTTAGGACATGAGGTCTCAGGGCCCTACACTATGCTTCCTGGCATATATCAGCCAATTTAATCATGCTTGTTGGTTGAATCTTCGTCACTAAATAAATAGTAGCTTGTGTTTCTAAAACGCTTTAAGACTTATAATACAGTCCCCCAATATATAAAGGGCAAGGGGGGAATTAAACTTCATAGGACTCTGAGCCACCCAAGCTGTGGGCACGGGAGGGCCTATTCTGCATGTTTAGACACTAAACAAGTGCATGCGTCTAGGAGCCCACTCCTGCATGAGGAGCTAATGGGCCCGCTCTGCAGTAGGAAATGGAATGTTATTGTCCCCATTTCAACCTGCCTCCCACATATAATATTTTCTTCCTGCTCTTGGAAGGAAAAAAATCTTGTAACCTGGCAGTAGGAGATTTTAAACTCCCATAAGATGGCTCTTTATTCTCTGAATTAGCTAAAGGTGCTTCAGCCTTGGTTTTTCCTCTGGTGTGTGGCCTGAAAACTAGACTCTTGCATCCTTTCTAGAATCCATCTTTTCACCAGGATTACTTTGTTAATCTGTGGGCTCCTCATGGAATTAGATGTGGTTTCAAAACTGTTATTGAAGGGAAGGCATGGGGTATTCCAGTTCCCTTACTGTCTTAGTTGTCTTCCTCTAGATTTGCTCCAATTTGTCAACATCCCTCCTAAAATCTGATGTCTAGAATGGGACACCATACCTCAGAGGAGGGCTGGTCATTGCAAAGGACCCTCCTACAGACTGTAGTTCTCTTTCTGAAGCCTATAGTGCTCTCTAACATGACTGCCTTATAACTGTTATTCATTGAGCTTACAGTCTCCATGTTTGTTTCTGTACCATTCTAATAAGGTCTCTATTGTAGGGTTGTAACCTTATGAAATAATTTCATTACCCAAGCCCCGGAAGAATTGAAAGGGTGAGAAATACAGGAAGCCTTCCGCAACACTTTCTTAATTCCAATGCCTTCCCTCTGTTAATTATTTCCCATGTATCTGGTATATAGCTTGCTTTATGTGTATTTGTTTGCATTAGATTGTAAGCTTCTTGAGAGCAGGGGCTGTCTTTTTTTACCTCTTAGCACGGTGACTGGCACATAGTAGGAACTTAAATGTTTATTGATTCACTCATGATTTCTCTCCCTTTTGATTGGAACAATGATAATAATATCACATATAACACTTTTAAGATTTGTAATTCACTTCACCTACATTATTTTGTTTGATCTTCACAACAACTTCGGGAGACCTAGATGCTATTAACATTATTATTATTGTTATTGTTACCATTTTACAGATGAACAGACTATGGCTTAGAGAGATTAAGTGACTTGCCCAGAGTCACTCAGGCAGGAAATACTTGAAGTAGAATTTCAGCCCAGTTTTACCTGACTGCAAGTCCAATTTTCTATTCACTACACTGTACTGCCTCGTTGGGGGAAAAAATAGAGACAAGAAAACTCTAATTTTCTTTCTCTCGCTTTTTTTTTTGTTTTGAGAATTAAAAAGATTTTATTGTAAGTACAGCAAGTACAGCAAGGTTGCTAGGCTGATCACTGAAGATCAGCCCCCTCTAATTTTCTTTGGGCCAGGAAGAGAAAATATTTTCTTTTTGTATTAAAATATAACTGAGTGATTCCCAGTATCCATGAGAAGAATTTAGAGGAGGTAGGCATCTTATGGATGAAAATACTAAATTATATTATTTATCAAGTTTATTTTTAAAAAATAAAGTTTTTAAAATTTTTTTTAACATCACTATAGTTTTCTTCAGTATTCCTTCCCCGCCTTCCTGTATAACAAGCAGGACTTTTTAAAGATTAGAAAAAAGAAAACACAGAAAAAATCAGCATAACCATTAAGTACTTTGAAAAAGTCTAAAACTGTGCAGTATACAGTTGTTGTGGACTACTCACCTCCGCAGAGGATGGGGGGAGGAGTGGGAGTGTCTTTTCATAGCTCCAGTTTGAAGGCATGCTGGGCCTTCATAATTATCCAACCTTGACTTTGGGCTTGCTTCTTTCCATTTACGTTGTTGTCATAATGTATACTGTTTTCTTGGCTCTGCTTACTTTGCTTTGCCTCCCATGCTTCTCTGTGTTCGTCACATTCATCGTCTTTTGTTGTTTGGTCATTTCATGTCTAACTCTTCATGATCCCATTTGGAGTTTTCTTGACAAAAGATACTGGACTTGTTTGCCATTTCTTTTTTCTAGCTCATTTTACAGATGAGGAAACTGAGGCAACCAGGGTTAAGTAACTTGCCCAGGTGACATAGCTAGTAAGTGTCTGAGGCCAGAATTGAACTCAGGAAGATGAGTCTTCTTGACTCTCAGGCCTGGCACTCTATCCGTCATGCCACCTAGCTGCCCCTGACATTTTTTACAGCCCGGCAATATTCCATTACGTTTATATACTGCAGTTTGTTCAGCCATTCCCTAATTGATTGGCGTCTATTTTGTTTCTGATTCTTTGCTATCACAGAAAAAAAAATGATGCTATAAATATTTCAGTGTATATTCTGTTTTCTTCTTATTAATGATCTTGGAGTATAAGTCTGGTAGTGGAATCTCTGGGGTCAAAGTGTATGAACATTTTAGTGAATTCCAAATTGCTTTCCAAACTGGTTCTACTTATTTACAGCTCCACCCACAAATCTCTATCGGGCCTGTCTTCCTCCCTCTCCCCAACATTCATTATTCCCTTCTTTTAGTGTCTTTGCCAATTTGCTGGGTGTGAGGTAAAGCCTCAGGGTCGTTTTGATTTGCATTTCTCTAATTATTGGTGATTTCCTATTGTTAATAGTTTATTCTTTAAAGAACTTTTTATTCATAACCTTAGATCACTTATCAATTTGGGAAATTTTAAATTGGCTAATTGTTTCTATATCTTGGAAACCCTTTTTAGTGAAATTTGATGCAAAGATTTTTTTTCTCATTTAACCAGTTCCCTTCTCCACTATCCTTTCTTACTTCTTATCCTTATCTACAGTATCCCTCTTCCCCCACCTTCCCCTTAAGAATGGGTGTACTGATTTCATTTGTGCTGAAGCTTTTCTGTAATCAGAGTTAATCTATTTTACCATCTGTTATTGCCTCTATCCCTTATTTGGCTAAGAATATATACACTCATTGCTGTGAGCAATATATGATTTGCTTCTCTTAAAACATTTTTGCAGTATGATCTTTAACATAGATTCATTTAGAAAGTTTTGTGGAATATGAGATAAATTGTTGATCTAAGTCTAATTTTTGCCAGACTGCTTTCAAGTTTTCCTAGGAATTTTTATCAGATAGGCAGTTCTTTCCTAAGTAATTTGTGTTTTCTAGTATATCAAAAACTTGGGTTATTGAGATTTTTTTTTTGTTTCTGATTTCTTCCTTGTCTAGTCTATTCCAGTACTACCAGATGGTGTTGATCACTATTACTTAATAATATAGACTGAGGTTTGGAAGTGCTGTTCTTCCTTCACCTCTACCTACTTATATTTTTTCTTTTCACATTTTATTTTTCAAGTGAATTATATTATTTATCAAGTTTTGTTAAGTATCAAGTTCTGATAAATAATTGTTATTTATAAAATTCTTTGATTATTTGATTGGTATAGCATTAAAACTGTCATGTTTATTATATTGGCACAACCCATGGATGAGCACTGAATACTCTCCAGCTATTTAAGTTGTTTTTTATTTCTTTAAGGAGCACTTTATTAGTTTATTACATAGATTATTACTTTATTAGTTATTTTGTGTGCATTAGTATGTTGCTTCTCGGATTTTGTAGTTATTTGGAATGGAACTTCCTATTCTATTGCTCCCTTTTGAATTTTGTTATTATTAGTATATAGAAATGCTGTCAATTTTTGAGGTTTTATTTTGTAGCTTGCGACTTTACTGAAGCTATTGCCTAAATTAGTATCTTTGCCAATTCACTAGGATTTTCTAAGTAAAATATCATATCATTGGCAGAAAAGAGGTAATTTTGTCTTTTTACCTATCTATATGTTTTTAATTTCCTTCTCTTATCTTACTGTTTTTGCTAGGATTTCCAGAACTATATCAAGTAATCGTGGGTAGAGTTGGCATTCTTACTTTACTCTTGTATTTGCTGTAAAATATTCTAATGTATTTTCCTATATGATACTTATTTTTGTTTTTGTATAGGTAATTTTTGTATTTAAAAAAAGTCCCTCTATTCTTATACTTTTTTCTCCCATAAATGAGAGTGGTACTCAATCAGTAAGCAAACATTAAGCTTATTGTGTGCCAGGCACTGTGCTGAGTGCTGGGGATACAAAAGAGGCAAAAGTCAGTCTCTGTCCTCAAGGAGCTCGTAATCTAAGGAGGGAGTCAACTGGCAAACAAATGTATACCAACAAGCCATATGCAGGATAAATGAGAAATAATTAAGTGAGAAGGCACTGAAAATAAGAGGCATTGAGGAAGTCTTCCTGTAAAAGATGGGACTTTGTCAAGTTTTTTCTGTATCTGTTGATATAATCATGTGGTTTGGGATGTTCTTGTTTTTAATATTATTATGTTGGTTGTTTTCCTAATGTTGAACCATCCTAGCATCTCTGGTATAAATACAGCTTAGTCATATGAATGGTTTCTTAGGTGAATCACTGTAATCTGTTTTGTGGGATTTTATTTAAAAATTTTGAATCAGTATTAGTCATCTCAGCCCATAGTTCTCCTGTGTTTTGTCCTTTTGTGGTTTAGGTATTAGGACTATGTTTTTGTTTTTGAGGAAAGAGGCATGAGAGGGAAGGCAGTTGGGGCTACGTGACTTGCCCAGGGTCACATAGCTAGTAAATATCTAAGGTCAGATTTGAACTCAGGTCTTCCTGTCTCCAGGCCATGCACTCTCCTCACTGTGGTACCACTTAGCTGCCCCTACATTTTTCTTATAAAAAGCAACTGGTAGTATGCTTTCTTTCTCAGTTTTTGAGACTAATTTGTGTAGTATGGGTGCTTATTGTCCTTTGATAGGATGCTCCTGTGAATCCATCAGAACTGGGCGGTCTCTTAAGATCAGTGAACACCCCATGTTAATACCCAGGTTCTTTGTTGTTGTTTTTTTTTTTTGCTAGGCAGTGGGGTTAAGTGAATTGCCCAGGGTCGCACAGCTAGTAAGTGTCAAGTGTCTGAGGCTGGATTTGAACTCAGATCCTCTTGACTCAAGGGCCGGTGCTGTGTCCACTGCACTACCTATCTGCCCCTACCCAAGGTTTTGTACTCTGAGCGATTTTGTGCTATAGTAAGAGTGATCACAATCAGACTATAAAAAGTTACCAATCTCTTTGACAGGACTGACAATGCGGTGAAGAACCACTGGAACTCTACCATCAAACGGAAGGTGGACACTGGGGGCTTCCTGAGTGAGACAAAGGACCCTAAATCTGTGTACTTGCTGGTAGAAGTGGAGGATAGGGAGGGTCAGAGTGTCCATTCAGCAGAGAGCCAGGTAAGTCCGCTAGGCCCACTTTCTTTGGAAGAACCAAAGCCAGTTTATTAGAGTGGAATCCCCCTGAGGGTGGGTACTGTTTTGACTTTGTATCCACAGTGCTTAGCACGGTGCCTGAGACATAACAGACATTCAATAAATGTTTATTGGTTATTTCAGGTCAGTTCTTCTTTCTCTAATCCTCAGTTTCTCCATGGTAAGATGGATTGGTTGGATAGAGGATGCCTGAAGTCTCTTCCATTCCTAAATCCTCTGATTGATTAGTCATTCAGCAAATGTTTATTAAGCCCCTTTTACCTGCTGGGTCCTTTTCCTAGATGCTAAGGTAATATTAAAAGTGAATAAGATGGGTCCTGCAGCCTAATGGAGGAATTAAGATAGTTCCCAATAAATAACTCTGATGTAAAGTAGTCGTGAGATACACAAGAGGAGGATGAAGTGCTATGAGACGAGGTAAGGAGAGATCAGTTTCAGCTGGGTAGAATCAGGAAATGCTTTGTGGCACTGGTGGCATTTGAACTAGACCTTGAAAACCTAGTTAGGAGGTCAGCAGTGGGAGGAGTTGGCAGTGAAGAGGATTTTAAACAATGGGGAATGCAGAGGCTCAAGGATGCGAAAGTGTGGGATAGGCTTGAGTGATAGTAGTCCAGGCTGGGGGCCTTCAGTACCAGGCCAGTGAGTTTGATATTTAGACATAGCACTGGGGTTTTGGACAATGGAGTGATAGCATTGTACCTGTGCGTAAAGAAGACCAGTCTGGACTACTGTTCTCACAAGGAAACTATGTGGTTCAGTAGGCCTTTCTTTTTAATTTTAGCCCTTTTTTTTAAATTGCAGACTTACTACTCACAGAAGCATTTAGATAAATAACATAAGTGGTCATATAGATATGCATGAACTCCTAATTGCTTGCAATTTTTTAAAAATGCCTGTGTGGCTGGGTGTGATGGTGCATGCCTGTGATCTCTTTTACTGGGTAGGCTAAAGCCGGTGGCTCTCTTAAGCTTGGTGGTTCTGAGCTGCAGTAGGACTAAAGCCAGTTGGATGTTCTCACTGTGTATAGCACCAATATGGTAAGGCCCCAGGAGCCCCAGGGGACCCAGGGCTTCCTAAGGATGGGCAAACCAGTCTATCAGAAATGGAGCAGGTCAAAGCTTCTCTGCCAGTCAGGAGTGGGATCAGAGCCATGGGGGCCCCCTCTGCACTCCCAGCCTGGTTGAGATAGGATCTCATAAAATAAAACTGAAGTAAAGAAAGGAAAGGCAAAGAAAAGGAAAAAAAAGCCGTTATTAATTTGAATAAGGTAGTAACAAGTGTCCTGTTTGCTGTCCTGTCCCTCTGTGTGGTTTTTTTTCCCCTGGATTTTGTTGCTGCTGTTTTTATTTATTTTGCCATGAACAATTTTTTTCCTCGGCAGTGTAGATCTTTGTGTAACCTTGATTCTTCTTTCCTCCCTAATCACTGTGTTAAACAGAAGAACCTTACTACTGATTGGTCCACTGGGGTCATGGAAGTGGAGGAGGAAGTCAGTGAGGAGGAGGTAGCGGCCACATCAGGTGTCAAGGCTGTAACCACCTCTGTGGAGCAGCAGGAGAGGTCTCGTGAGGAGCCAGCCAAAGACTTGATCCCCGATCCCATGGAGGAGACTCCCAAGGACCTGAAGTCTGAGGATTCCCCCATTGAAGTTGGCTCCCCGTACAAGTGGGTGGTGGAGGCGGCTAACTTCTTGTGTCCAGCTACAATGCCAAACCTGACAGATGCCCTGGATCTGATAGAATCGGTAATGATCATTCCTTACATTAGTAACAGGAGTTTGTGACTTCATATTCCCTTGTTTTTCAGAATTTTTATTTGTGTCTTTGAATTTGGTTTTGTATGTGGTTAGTAAGCTTAGAATTTAAGAAAAAAAGATTCCTTGCATTTATATTGGGCACAGTACACAAAGTTTACACAGCGCTGTTGTTGGCTCTGACCTCATTTGTTCCTCATCAGCCTTTGAGGGAGGCAGGGTTTTTAGCATCATTTATAGATGAAAAAACTTGAGGTCCAGAAAGAGATGAACTAACCTGTCCAAGGTCCTGTAAACACTTGATAGAGAAGAGAGCCCTAGGGTGTCTTTTGACTTCTAGTGTTTCTTGATTAAAGAAATAGTTGAGAAAGAAGAAAGTATTAGGTTATGAGGAGGAGGTGTGCGGGGTCACACAGAACAGTTGTCATAGGGAAAATTCAGGGGGAAAAGTGGCTTGGTTCTGTAACCAGAAAAAGGAGCCCTGGTGGTTCTGTTACTTTGGATGACTGGTTTCCTCATGTTGTTCAAAGTGGCACCTAGCACATCATCTCCCATCACAGATAACTTTCAAATCATTGAATCCTTTACTCTTGGCATTATTTTAATACTAACAGCAGAGAGAGACTGTAAGACTAGTTGACATTTCTGTAGCACTTTGGACAGCTAGGTGGTAAAGTAGATAGAACATAGGCTTGGAATCAAATCTGCAAGACTCATCTTCTTGAGTTCGAGTCTGGCCTTAGACACTCAGTAGCGGTATGACCCTAGGCAAGTCACTTGATGCCGTTTGCCTTAATTTTCTCACCTGAAAAGTGAGCTGGAGAAGGAAATGGCAAGCCATTGCAGTATCCTTGCCAAGGAAACCCCAAATGGGGCCATGAAGAATTGGACATGCCTGTGTAGACAACAACACTGAGAGATAACCTTGGTGGTCCCTTCCAGTTTTGTGATGTCTGATTGATTCTATGAAAGGATGACTTGGAGGTGCCAACCTCGATTGAAGAGGAGAATGAGGATTTCATTGATATAAGACAATGGGTAGAATGTAACAAAGGGAAATCCAGTAGGGATAACTGTAAAGCCCTGTGTACTTCAGTTTTTAAAAAATCAGCTGCCTAACTTCAGGGTGGTGAAGTTTGTAGGAAAAAGACCCAGGAGCTCTTTCCTCAAAAAGGTTGAAGATCCTTGTGTGTGGAACATTGTATTTATTTTCAGACTTTTTTGATGTGTAGATCAGTTTTGCTGACTTTTCCCTCCCCTCTTCCTTTTTTTTTTCTTTAAAAGAATGTATTATTTGGGGTGGCTCTTTGGGAGAGGAAAAGGGATACTGGGAGAAAATTTGGTGATATTAAAACAAAAATTATCAATAAAAATTTATTTAAAAAAAAAGACCTTGAGGATTTCAGTTGACTACATGTAAGAACAATATGAATCAACATTGTGGCAAGGCTGGCAAAGTTAATTTGATTCTAAGCTGCATCAATAGAAATATATTGTCCAATTAAAGGAGAATCCCACTGTGCTCTGTTAAGTATCTATTCTAAGAAAGCCAGTCATTGTTTGATCTTTTTGAACAGAAGCCATCCAAGTTTACTGTTCCCCTTGCCTTTTCTGATGCTGGTCTAGGTAGTTGACTTTCCATTTTGTGTTAAAGAAAGTGATTTATTGTTGATTTGAAAGCCCTGGGAGAGTCAGTTCCTGGGGCCAAGCCCTGAGAGATTGACTTTAAGAGATATCTAATATGTGACTCTCCCAGCCAATCTAAAATAGTCTTTACCAGGTTGGTTTTGGAGTGACTATTGAGGTTTTTATTTTTTCAGAGGGTGGATGGTGGAGAAAGGGATTAACGTAGGTTTAGTGGTACTAAGTTCCTTAGAGCTCCTTAGAAATGTCTAGGAATTGTTTTAGACTTCTGAGATTTCCTGAGGTTTCGATTTGACAAGGGCTTGAGCAAATATGTCTCTACAAGCTACTGCTATTTTTTTATTTGTTCATTCATTTGTTGACTCATTCATTCATTCATTTTGAGGCTAGTTTTCTCGTCTTATCTAGACTGAAGTGTAGCAGCCTTTCATCTTGGCTTTGATTCTGCTGCTGATGGGCGCAAAAGCTTTAACCTGCTCTATTTTTCCAACCTGGACTGGGTTGCCGCTTCTTGCATATACCTGTGATGTTTCTATCCCCCTGCTCTTGCTTTAGTTGGGACGTCCAATTTACTTTATCATGGTACTCCAGTGAGCCACCATCCTTGATTTCCCTAGCAACAGGGACTATCTGCATGCAGTACCACGTGTGGCTAGTTTTTCAGAGAATTTGAGTTGGAAGAGACCTCAAAGGCCTTCCAGTTCAACTCTTTCCTAAAAAAACTTGTCTCCTACAGCATTTCTGATAAATGGTCATCCATCCTTTGCTTGAGGACCTCTATACCACTTTTGTATAGCTTTAATTGATTTTTGTGTTTTAAAAAAATGTTTTATTAATGCTTTTTTGTCTTTATATCCTAGCTATTTCACAAATACCCCTCTGTCCTCTATTGATTCTTTCCTTGTGACAGAACCAATTAAATAAAAACTTCCAGAACAGTCACCACATCTGACAATGTATACAGCAATTTTCTATACTAAATAATTTTTTTTTGCTAGGGATGACGTTGGTTTCACGATCTATTGCTTAGAAGCATTTTTCCCCTCCGTTTACTCATAGTTGGATTTCCTTTTAATGATATTTTCATTTAAATTATTGTTGTTATGTATGTTGTTCTCTTGGTTCTGTTTGTTTCACTCTGCATCTGTTCATATAAACCTTCCTTCCTGCAGTTCTCTGAATTTGTCCTTTTGGTCCTTTCTTACCATATAGTAATAGTCTGTAAATTCATTTACCGTCATTTTTGCAGCCATTTCCCAATGGGTGGCTACCTACTTTGTTTCCAGTTCTTTGCTGCTTCAGAGAATGCTATTGTGAATATTTTGTTCATATGTATATTGGACCTTTGTTGCTGTCTGCTTTCCTTGGGGTATAGCCCTGGTAGTAGAATGGCTGGGTGAAGGATATGGTTTCTTTTCCTGGATTGTCCTTAATTTTTTGTTGTTGTTTTTGCTTTTTTTCTTGGGGCAGTCGGGATTAAGGGACTTGCCCAGGGCCACATAGCTAGGAAGCGTCAAGTATCTGAGGTCGTATTTGAACTCAGGTCCTCCTGACTCCAAGGCTGGAGGCCTTGGCTCCAAGGTGCCACCTCGCTGCCGCCATTGTCCCTAATTGTTACCTAGAACAGTTGGTTCACTTCACAGTTCACCAACAATGCATCAGTGTTCTTTCAACACTTAACCATTTATGTCATCTTTGCTAATTTGTCAAGTGTGAGTAAGAACCTCAGACTTGCCTAAATTTGCATTTCTCTTGCTATTAGTGATTTGAGTATGTTTTCATGTGGTCATTTATAGTTTCAGATTCTTTGGAAAATCCACTCCCCCCCTTGGCTAATGGCCCTTGGCATTTATGTATGTGTCTAATCCCTGTATGTTTTGGATATCAGTCACAAGCAATGCAAACATATATCTCACTCTAATTTTTCAATTCTAATTCTATCTTCATTGATTTTATTCATTCAGAGGCTTTTTAATTTTATGTAGTCAAAATTGTCTATTTTATCTTTTATGATCTTACTCATTCCTTGTTCAATTAAGAATTTTCCCTATGGCCATAGTTGTGAAAAGTACCTGAACTCTTTAAATTTTTTTTTTAATGGCACGGCCTTTTATATTCAGTTTGCATATTTATTTTGAGAAGTCAGTGCACACCTGTCCATTGGTTGCTACTTTTGTCTATGGTCCTCCCCAATGCTCACCATTCCATCCAACGTGCTGAAGGCCCTCCTTGCTTTCTCTTGATATCTCAAGGGTGTATACTTGGGCCATCCACCTGTTATCCCTCACTCTTGCATGCCTAGCCCATTTTCTTCTGTCACACAATTCCATCATGATATCTATCATACTCATTTTTGCTTTTTAAGTTCTCATGGTTTGTATGATGCATTGTCTTCACTCACCTTTCCATTGCCCTCTGTGTGATGCTTATCTTTAGTTCTTAAGAGACCATAAAATAACACCAGTAAAATGTTAGTATTTAAAGGACAGGCTTTTGTGTTGTGGGAAGCTTGGGGTCAGTAAAAATGCTTTGCTGTTTCCTGCAAGCTTTCTAATCCACTCTCTTCTTTTTCAACTCTTGGCCCAGTTCATTGTCCATCTGTATTGTCTGTCCCAGATATAAAAACTCTAGGCCAAGCTCTATGGGGTGTACATTTAGATGCATGTTGGAATCAGGGCAATAGATATGCTTTATCTTTTTGGTCTTTCCTGTGTTAATGGACCAGCTAAACTCCTTTGAGTAATAATAGAACACATCCAGGAGGCTCTGCAATGTCTTGAAGCTCAATACAGTCAACATAGTGTCATGCACAAGAGTATCTTGAGGGCCTCATCATCCATAAGGAATGCTTCCTGGCCTGGATTCTGTCCTGAATCTCCTGTCAAAATGGCAAATGCTTTTGGCAAGCGTGTGCCTCCTTGTTTTATCCCTTGCTTGATATTTATTATTAATTATTAACTGTTATTATTAAACAACCCAGTTATAAAAGATCTGGCAAATCCTACTGAGTTGGCTGTTTGTTTTTTTTTAATTGACAAACATTAAGCAAAATGCAGTCTTATATTCTCTACATATTTCACTCATTGGCAAGATGATAAAGACTTGGGCCATTGTTGAATACTGATTGAGAAAGCCTAATTGTTACTTTATCAAGGATGTCCTCAGTTTGTATAGAGATGTCTTTTTTTCTTAAATTCATTCATTTATTCATTTATTTATAATACTCATTTTTTAAACTATGAGTTTTTTTAGTTACATGTAAAAACAATTCTTAACATTCATTTTTAAAAATTTTGTGCTCTAAATTTTCTCCCTCCCTTCATTCCCTCCTTTCCCTGAGACAATAAGCAATTTTGATAAAGGTTATACATGTTCAATCATGTGCAACACATTTACATATTAGTCATGTTGTGAAGGAAAGTACAGACCAAAAAAAAAAAAACCAAACCCAAGAATAATGAAGAAAGTAAAAGAAGTTTCGATCTGCATTCAGACTCCATCAGTTATTCCGATGGTGGATAGCATTTTTCATCATGAGTCCTTTGGAATTGTCTTGGATCATTGTGTTGCTGAAAATAGGTGTCGTTGACAGTTGATTATCATACAGTATTGTTTTTACTATGTACAATGTATAACATTAGTTTTTTAAAATTTTGAGTTCTAAGTTCTTTACTTCCCTCTAGCCCCTGCACCACCTATTGAGAAGGCAAGTAACATGATATCAATTATATGAGAGATTTCTTAATAAAGATTTTGTATAGATGGAGCATAGGTATAAAGGTTGGTAGTTTTGATACTCTTTTGGTCACTTTTTTTTTTTAATTTGCTACCACTAAGGTCCCAAATTTTCTGTCTTTGGTATCTTTCCCTCCTTTATGGCCTTCTAGCACATATGTTTGCTCTTTTTAGTCCTGTTTTTACTTCCTCTAACGCTCTTCAGAGACTGATGTTAGGGACCAGGTGTGGTGGTTCCACTTGATGGAGAAAACAAGTTTGTTCTAATAATCGTTGCAAATCTTGTCCATTTTTCTGAAGTTTGTACCCACCCTAAATGGCCTTAGGATGATTTTGTTCCATTTTTCTGAAGTTTGTACCCACCCTAAATGGCCTTAGGATGATTTTGTTTAGTTGGCTGTCTTGTCATTTTTTGGATTGGTTTTACCTTTCGCTGCTTGTCTCTTCTCTATGGAACTATACTATCCATAATCGTCATCCTTAAGATTTATTTCTATTCTAGTTTATACTCTTACCCAGGGTTGTTTCTGGCAGCCATCTGTCTTAGATGAATCAGTACAGTGCTTGCTGACTAAGCCAGAGGGACAGGGGTGGAGCTGGAACCAGATTAAAATGTAATTAGGAAATTTTTAACAAGATAAATTAAAATACAATACAAATAATGTTAATTTGTGGTTTTCTACGTGACCCCAGGGATCGCTTTCTATTTCAGTTTGACATCATTGGACTAAGACACTTTGGGGGCTCTTTTGGTTGTCTTTTGAGTAGCAATTAATTTATTGGTTTAACTTTTGTATATAATTACTTTGGACAAATGTTGATGCCATTTCTGTTTATTTCCTATTTTTAAAATGTTTCAATAACCTGTTTAAGTAATTCAGGGTCAAATCTTCTTAATTGTGTGCCATATTTTTTTCTTGTCTATTATCAATTCTGATCTTTGCTCTAACAAGTTGGATTGTATAGGCAGATGACTTAAGGAAAATGCCAATTTCCATGATAAGTCTTTTCCTCTCTGTTAAAATATAGTCCCTTTTATTCTTTTATATTATTCGGTGCTTTCCTGTTCCTTTTGAAGGAAGTAGTTGTTATGTTGTGGATTGTGGTATAAAATGCTGGTCTAAACTTAATTTCTGCCAAACGGCTTTCCAGTTTCTGCAGAAATTCTTGTCCGGGAAGGAAGCCTTTACTATAGTAATTTGTGTTCTGAGGTCTGGTGATGTTTGGATAGTTTATTTGTTAAGAAATTTTTTTTTAAATTAGATCTTACTCTGCCTTTCTGCAGCTTATCCACGTGTTGCTCATAGTTCTGTCACGTGAGGCCTGGTGGAACAAGCCTAATCCCTCTTTCCTCCTGACAGCCCACCAGCTGCTGAAAGATGACTATCAGATCTCCATGAAGTCTTCATCCCTTCAGGCTAAGCAATCCTAGTTCCCCAAAGTAATCCCCCTATCTGTTGGTCTTGTTTCTGTAGTCGTTCTTTTCAGTGTATCTGTTGCATTTGACAGCACTGACCCTCCCTTCCTCCTGGATGCTCTTGTCTTTTCTGAGTTTTGAAATATTCTCTTTCTCTGTTGTCCTACTTGTCTAACCACTTCTCAGGCTCCTTTGCTGGCTCATCATCTGTATCGTTGCCCAAAACTGTGGATGTTTCCCTGGGATCTGTGCTGAGTCTTTTCTCTATACTCTCTCATCAGCTCCCAGGGATTTAATTATTATGTCTATGCAGAAAGCTCCCAGATCTGTACATCTAGTTCTCATTTCTCCCCTAAATTTTACCCATCGGACATCAAACTATATGTCCCAAAGAGATCTCAAACTCAACATGTCCCTAACCCTAACCCTAAACCCTTTCCCTCAACTATTTCTCTTCCAAGTTTTCTGTTTCTCAAAAGTACTGCTCTTCTATTAGTCTCTCAAGCTTATAACCTCAGCATCATCCTGGATTCTTCTTTCTCTCACCCCGTGTATCTCGTGCATTGGCCCTTTTCTCTTCAATCACATAGCTAAGGACTTTGCTTAGGCCCTTATTATCTCTGGCCCAAGTTATTGTACCAGTCCCCTAATAGGGTCTCGTTGCTTCCCGTCTCCAGTACACTGCTGCCATATTTGTTTTCTTTAGTGCATATCTGACTCTTTAACTTGGTCAATTTTAGTGGTTTTAGGATAAAATAGATATTTAGCTTTTAAAACCCTTCCCATCCCAGTCCCAACCTGCCTGTCTAGCCTTATACATTTCTTTCTGGCAATCTGTAATCCAATTAAATTGGCCTTCTCTCTGTTCTTCACATGTGACCTTCCATCTCATTTCTATATATTTAGGGATAAGGATTCCACCTGTGGTTTTTTTTTGTATATAGTATTTTATTTTTTCCAATTACATGTAAAGATAGTTTTCAGCATTCATTTTTATAAGATTTCGAGTTTCAAATTTTTCTTTTTCCCTTCCTCCCCTCCCCCCAAGACAGTTTGCAATCTGATATAAGCTATGCATGTACAGTCATGTTAAACATTTTCACATTAGTCATGTTGTGAAAGAAGAATCCAAACAAAAGGGAAAAAGTATGAGAAAGAAAAAACAAAAAAGTGAAAATAGTATACTTCAGTCTGCAGTCAGACTCCATAGTTGTGGATAGCATTTTCCATCATGAGTCTTTTGGATTGTCTCAGATCATTGTATTGCTGAGAAGAGCTAAGTATGTCATAGTTGACTCTTGTACAGTGTGGCTGTTACTGTGTACAATGTTCTCCTGGTTCTGCTCATTTCACTCAGCATCAGTTCATTCCACCTGTTTGTAGGGGGGCTGCCAGTGAGACATTTGCTCTACCAGTTCAGATTGGCATCTTCCTGCAACTTTTATTGTCTTGGGGAGTTTTCTTAGAGAACTAAGAATTTAAATGGCTTGTGAAACCAAGGCTACTCAACTCTGAGGACAGCTTTCTATCTATTACGTATACCATACTACCTCTCACTTTGTATTTATTTAATTCTCTTTATATTATATATATATATATATATATATATATATATATATATATATATATATATATATATATATATATACATATTTATATTTATTTACGTTTATACTTTTTGTCTCCTCTGTTAGAAGGTAAGCTTCCTGAGGGTAGGAATTTCCTCTTTCTTTATAGTCCTCTCTAGCACCTAGAGCATGCCTAGGACATAGAAAGTACTAAATGAATTCTTAATTGATTGATCTGAACTTCAAGGTTCTTCCCCATCCTGGTCATCCTCCTTTGGACATGCTCCATTTGGCCAGTGTCATTCCTAAAATGGAGTTAATAGAACTTAGCTCGGCCCTCTAGTATGGTCTGATGAGGGCAGAGTGCTGCAGGATCATCACCTTCTTGGTTTTATATACTGTGCCTGTCTTAATACAACCTTAAATAGCATTAGCTTTTTTGATGGTTATCACACTATTGACTTATTGGGTTCATAGTCCCCTAAGACCTCCAGGTTCTTTTTAGACCCATACCTCTCCAGTCTCATACTTGTAAAGTGTGTTATTTGAACCCAGTCATACTTTTATACTTATTCTTATATTTAGGTGCATTTTCCTGTGTTTGTTGGACCATTCTAGCCTGTCACCATCTTCTGGATCCTCAGTTATCAAAGTTGAGAAGCGTGACTCGAGTAGAACTCCCTTGCCCTTATGCCAGACCTGTTTTTGCACTAGGGAAGTTAATCTGAGTTGAGTTGCTCGTGGTTTATTGGTGTCACTTATTCTGCACAGGATCCTGATGGGTGGTGTGACCTAAGTAACTTTGACCTGCCTGAGGAATTATCCAACGGTGGTGGTAACAGCAGCAGCAGTAGCAGCAACAGCCCCGTTAAGCAGACATTCAGCAAACCTACAGTCTCTGCCCACAGCATGACGGAGTACCGTTTAGATGGACACACCATCTCCGACCTGAGCAAGGGCAGCCGCGGGGAGCTGATCCCCATCTCGCCGAACACTGAAGTCAGCTTTAGCACCCCTCCCTCCATCCTCAAGCGGCAGAAGAAAAGAAGGGTCACTCTTTCTCCTGTCACAGAGAACAGCCCCAATGCCAGCTACTCCTTTATGGATTCCTGTAATAGCCTCACCCCCAAAAGTACACCGGTGAAGACACTTCCTTTCTCCCCATCCCAGGTGAGTTGCCTGCCAGACCTTAGCACTCTTGAGGTACCCCAGGGTCCCTGGATGTTATACTGGATGTGCTGAGGAAAAGATTGACTAAGAGACCAGGCACATTCTGTGATACCACTGAGCCTAGGAAGCAGCTCTGGTCACTGTCCTGTGAGCCATTCCTGCAAATGGCTGGAACCCATTTTTAACCTGATTCATTCTTTATACCTGTCCATTCTTTAAACTGGTTTGAAATGCATCTTCTTGGGGTTTGGGCGTGGCTGATCCTAGCAGGGTGTCCAGGCATTGCTCTTCTCCGTGATGTTCCATGACCCCCATTCCGTGAAGGTGTCACAGAAAGATTCACTGCTCATATATCCACTAGAGACAGGTCAGTTTTTTTCTTTTTCTTTTCTTTTTTTTTTTTTCTGCAAGGCAGTCAGGGTTAAGTGATGTGCCCAGGGTCACACAGCTAGTGATCCTGATCACGTATCTGAGACCATATTTGAACTCAGGTCCTCCTGACTCCAGGACTGGTGCTCTCTCCACTTGTATTTTTGTTTTTTGAAAGGACCTTAGAGGTTATCTAGCTCAGGGCTTCTTAACCTTTGGATCCCTTTTCAGAATAGTGTTTTTAGATACATAACATTAAATAGAGGGTTATAGAGGAAACCAATTATATTGAAGTACAATTATCAAAATGACAAAATTTTAAATTATTTCAATAATTTCTATTATTCCAATTACCAGTGATAAAAAAGCATGTTCATGGACGCTGTTAAAAACAGTGGTCAAGCTAATACACATTTTTTAGATGAAGAAACTGAGGCCATTAGTGGGATGATGACTTGTCCAAGTTGATTTCCCACAGTGGTAGACTTGGGACTGGGACCAAGGCCTTCCCATTCCTCATCCAGTATGTTTCCCGTTATACTCAGCTATCTTCTGCTGAGGGAGGAGCTTTATAGGCTCATAGATTTAGAACTGGAAGAGGGGCTTAGAAGTCATCTGGTCCAAATCCCTCATTTCTTAGATTAGGGAACTTGCCCAAGGTCAGACAGGCAATGATGGAAAAGCTGGGATTTGAACCCAGGACCTGAATCCTAGTCCTGTGCCCTTTCCACTGTACTGTCCTGCCTTTCTAGCTCTAATCTTTTGTTTTCTAGGGGAGCCCAGGACCCTGATGTGGTGATTTTATTCTTTGTCAAGAGTTATACCATGGCAGTAATGGCCCTTGGAATCAGGAGAGGCCTTAAGTTTGCACACAGATCTGTGAGAAAAGTAGAAGGAAACTTAGGGAACCACAGTTGTCATTGATTAGGGGTGAGCCACGTAGGGGCAGTTGCCATCACCCATCTCTCATTTTCTTCTTAATCCTAACCCAGGAGTTGTTCCTGGTCCAAGGATGGTATTTTGGGGTTGAGGCCAGGAGTCTTAGTTTGAGTTTCTGCTTTGCCCATTGTGGGCAACTGGGTCACATAGTAGACACCCTTGGCAACAGGACGATCTGAGTTCAAATACTGCCTTAGACATTTATTAGCTGTGTGACTCTGAGCAAGTCAATTGACCTCTGACTGCCTTCATTTCCTATTCTGTAAAATGGGGTAATAATGGTATCTACTTCTCAGGGTTGTATCTTATCTGAGTACCAGATAAGATAATTGGCAAACCATAAAGTGCTATATAAATATGATGATGGCAGTGGTGGTAATAGTGGTGGTAGTCATGGTTATATTCCATGGATTCCCCAGGTTTTACTAGCCTCTGTTCCCTACTGGTGAAATAGAAACAAAAGATTTTTCTTTTGGCAGGTGATAATTGGCCTTTTACTTGTTCCTATCCAGATAAAGTAGAGGTTAAGGGAAATTTTAGATGATGATGATGGCTTTGATTTAAAAAAAAAAATCTAGTATCATAGTCATCTTTCTGGTGCTGTCTTGTATAAAAGCAGCAATTGAAGTTTCAGCATGCCTAAAAACAAGCTGAGTTCAGGAACCATCACCTTATACCTATAATCTGGAGCCAGGGGGCAGCTTGTCTAGGTTTATTGGATGACTTCTCCTCCTTCCCCTCCAGACCATCACTTCTTACCATTCTCAAGGGGTAGGAATAGCAATCACAGCAGCTTATGCCTCTCTTAGACATTTAGGAGGCTGTTTTCTCTGACAACAACCCTATGTAGTATAGGTCAGGCAAGTAGTATCCTCATTTTACAGCTCAGGAAACTGAGGCAAAGAGGTGAAGTGTCTTGCCCAGGGTCACCCAGCTGGTTATAGTTAGTACCAGAGGCTGCATGTAAAATACCAGGCTTCTGATTCCTAAGTTGAAGATATTTCTACTGCCTCAGTGCTGATTTTTTTTTTTAACAAAAAAGTCCAGTGGGAAAAGAAATGGAATCTAATGACTAAAAGGGAATTTTGTTGCATGGGTCTTGGAGATTTCAGTTCTCCATTGCCTGGGGTAATTGAAAGTTGACCATAAGTGCTGAGCACCCCAAATTGAGAGTTGAACATAAATGCTGGTGAGCACCCTCAAATTTTGGGAACGCCTTTGCCCTTCACTGGGCTTGCATTTTCAACTAAATGCCCTCTAAGGTCTTTCTTTTCCATGCCGGAGTTTTATAAGACTGTGATTAGAGAAATCCTCTATGGGGGCTTCCCAAAGAGCCCAGGGCCTTATTTTATTGTTATCTTCTCATTTTTTCTTTTTCTTTTGCAGTTTTTAAACTTCTGGACCAAACAGGACACTTTGGAGCTAGAGAGCCCTTCATTGACATCTACACCTGTGTGTAGCCAGAAGGTCATTGTCACCACCCCACTGCACCGGGACAAGACCCCGCTGCACCAGAAGAGCAATGCGTAAGTCTCCCTGCACCCAGACTTAGACACTTCCGGGATTTGTACCTCTAGATAGTTACCATGTGACCTGACAGGGTCTCCATCGCTTCACCAAAACCTCTTCTTTTCTCCCTGTGCTTTAGTTTCCTAGGTAACCCCAAACAGCAAATGTGAAAGAGGCTAATAACAAACCAGCACCTAACTGAGACATTCTCTCAGATCAATTAACAAGCATTTATTAAGTGCTTTCTGTATGCCAGGCACTGTACTAAAAGCTCCGCGGTTACAAATATGAAAGTTTTTTGCCCTTAGGGAGCTTACAGGATATAATCAAGAAATTAGAATCATAAACTTCAAGCTGGAGAAACCTTGGCGACTGTTGAGTCCTACCCTGTTACTTTACAAATGAAGGAACTGAGGCACGGAGAGGTGAGGCTGCATCAGACTGCCTGGCAGGTGTGAGTCCCAGCTCTGACACCTAAAAGCTGTGTGACTAGAAAGCTTGCTGTACCTCTCTGACCCTCCATTTCCTCATTTGTAATATGGGAATAATAATAATAATGTTTGTACTGTTTACCCTTAGGGATGTTGTAAATACATTGCTTTGTAATTCTTTAGATAGGGCTTGGACGTCTAATTGTATTGGCATAACATTTTCCCAAATGAGGGAAATTCCTTCTACCAGTGCAAGTTGGCATCTTCTCTACAGCTCACTTAAATGAAAAATTCTTATGTAACAAGCAAATGTGAGAGGCCAGGGCAGAGCTAGCACCTAGAGCCCCTAACTGCTAGGTGATGTCCTAGGTAGAGCACTGGACCTGGACTGAGTTCAGATCCCACCGCAGACACTTCTTAGCTGTGGGTCACGGGGCAAGTCACTCAACTCTTGTCTACCTTAATTTTCTCATCCGTAAAATGAGGGTGATAATAAAAGTACCTCTCTCCCAGGGATGATGTGAGGATAAATGGATATAATATTTGCAAAGTACTTTATAAAGGATAGTGCCATATAAATGCTAGCTAGCTGTTCCTCTCCCCCTCACCCCCCAGTATCTTGCTGTCTTCCTCTAAAACACCACTGAAAAAAAGAGGTCTTTGGAGAGGAAGTAAGTCTCCATTTAAAGCAAGGCTTTTTAAACCTTTTTTGTGTCCTGGACCTCATTGACAGTCTAGGGAAGCTTATGGACCCCTTCTCAGAGTGATGGTTTTAAGTACATAAAATAATCTGTAAGATTACAAAAATAATAAATTACATTGAAATTTGGTTGATTCTTTTTTTATATTCCTAGTGTTTAGCACAGTGCTTGGTACACAGTGGGTACTTAGTAAATATTTATTGACTGGTTATCAAAATAATTTCAAAATTATTTCCCCCCAGCTTAAGAATTCTTGGCTTAAAGTATTTTATGCTGGGGACAAATACTCATAGATTTGTTGACTTGGGAATATTGAGAACTTATACTCTATCAGGGATGGGGAACCTTTGGCCTCTAGGCCACATGAGGCCTTGTAGGTCCTTGGGTGTGGCCCTTTAATAACAGAATTTGTTCTGTAAAACTTGACTCAGTCAAAAGGCCGCACCCAAGGACTAGAAAGCCTCATGTGGCCTGGAGGCCCCAGGTTTCCCACCCTTGCTCTAGGTACTAAATTACAAGAGTTACAAGACACACTGTCTTTTCTCCGAGAGGATGGAATAGTGGTTAAATGCCGAATTTGGAGTTTGGGAAACATGATTCCAATCCACCTTATCCATTCATTTGCTTTGTGACTCTAAGCAAGTCACTCAGTCTCTCTCAGCTTCAGTTTTCTTATCTGTAAAATGGGGATAATCATGCCTGTAGCACTTACCTCCCAGAGCTGTTGTGTGACTCAGATGTGATCGTGGATGGAAAACACTTGGCACATGTTAAAGGGCTACAGAAATGCTGGCTATCACTATTATTATGAATAAAAGGTAGAGAATGTGTTTATGAGTCAGTTGGGAGTCTCAAGCAACCACAGGCATCGGAGGAGGGAGGGGAGGACGTCTGTATTTGCTGGCTCTGAAGTGCTCCTCCATTTACTGGCAGTTTCGTTACCCCGGATCAGAAATACTCGATGGACAACACTCCCCACACACCCACCCCTTTCAAGAACGCCCTGGAGAAATATGGACCACTAAAACCTCTGGTACGTGCCCAGTGTTACAAGGATTTCCGTCCTGCCTAGGGCCTGGGATGCTCTCAATGGCCTGTGCTTCTTCAGACTATTTTTACTCTCGGTGCAATTGAAAATTAATAGTAATCTGAAACTAATAGGTTCAGATTTTTCTTAGACTTCCCTTGCATTGATATGTGCTGGTATTTCACTATGGAAACTCAACAGGTCTAAGGCGTGCTTGAGCATGTTGTCCTGAAAGTGGGTAGTTCCTTCATCAGAGTGACCTCTTGGCCTTTGGAATCTAAGCTCAAACCCAGCATTTCTAGAAGAACACTTGGAAATTTTTTTCCTCCTTCAGTTGAAAATAAGGGAAAGATGAGGTTTTTGCCAGTGCTTGTGTTTATTCTAAGCTGTACCCCAGTGAAGAAGTTATGGACCCGAGGACAAGTACAGGCTCGGTTGTTCCCCCCGAGCTATATTAGCACAACAGGGTTTCTTAAATTTTCAATACTTTTAGAAAAATCTTACTGGTAATATCTAGTAAGACTATCTAGAGAGAAAAAACCACAGCAATTTAATTTAAGCATAAATTTACCCTCAAGCACTTGGCATAAATGTCTTTTTATTTTTTGTTTTTTTAAATGAACTTCTTGTGAGCTCATGAAATTTTAGAGCTGGAGGGGACCTTTATAAAGACTATTGAGACATAGAACTGAGGAGAACTACAGTGGCCTTAGAGATCATCTCTTCTAACCTCCTAATTCTACACGTGGAGAAACTGAGGCCTGGAGAAAGGCAGTGACATCTTTGCAGTCATACAGTGGGTTAGTGCAAGAGCTGGAACCTGTGTCTTCTGACTTTTGGTCCAGAACTTTTTCAGTTTACCATACTGTTGCCTATCTTTTTTGGGGGGTGGAGGTGGGGGAGAAGAAAAGATGCCAAAAGACCAGGGAGATTGCTCTGTCGGAGGGTAGCTGGAGAACCAGGATAGTGTAGCATTATAAAAGCAGAGCTGCTATCTTCCAGGGGTTATCTTCCTATCCTCAGGGTCCATAGCTGGCCTTCTCCAAGTGGGTTAGGTTACTCTACGGGTACGTGTTGTGTGGCTTTTCTTGTAAATCTTCTATAACCGTGACACTCCTCAGCCCCAGACCCCGCACCTGGAAGAAGACTTGAAGGAGGTTCTTCGGACTGAGGCTGGCATTGAGCTGATCATAGAAGATGACGTGAAGCTGGAGAAGCAAAAGAGGAAACAAGGAGTGAGTTGGTCTGGTCTTGCTGTTATCAGGGTTGAGGGGTTTTAGTTTTTATTTTTAATAGTATTTTGTTTTTTTCAATTACACGTAAAGACGAATTTTAGCACTCATTTTGAAAAAATTGTGAGTTCCAGATTTTCTCCCTCCCTCCTTTCTGAGATGGTAAGCAGTTTGATACAGGTTATACATGTGCAGTCATGTAAAACCCATTTCCATATTAGGTTGTAAAAGAAGAAACAGACCAAAAGAAAAAAACTGTGAAAAAAATAAAGACAGTGAAAATAGTGTGCTTTGATCGGCATTCAGACTCCATCAGTTCTTTGGATGTGGAGAACATTTTTCGTTGTGAGCTCTTTGGAATTTTCTTAGATTATTGTTTTGCTGAGAAGAGCTAAGCCATTCATAGTCATTGTACAATGTTACTGTTACTGTGTGCAGTATTCTCCTGGTTCTGCTTATTTCACTTTACATCAATTTATGTAAGTCTGTCCAGGTTTTTCTGAAATCTTCCTGCTCTGCATTTCTTATAGCACAGTAATATTCCATTATAATCATATACCACAACTTATTCTACCATTCCCCAATTGATGGGCATCCTGATTTGAGGGGCTTTTTAGAAGGAAGTGAAACACTTTATCTGCAGCTCCCTGGCTTCCCAGTGTGAGTAGTTCTGGTATCAGGAGTATATATGTGAGAGTGGCCAGGCCAGGTGCTTGGTTTGAGGTTGGGGAGCAGCAGCACTGTGGTTCCTTATGGCCTTCCTCACAACATCTCCTGCAGAGATGGCACCTTCTGGTGAGAGGGAGCTGGAATTAAAGAGCTTGGGATGGAAAGGGTAGGTGTATAGGCAGAGGGGATTGCCAACCACTATTTCTGTCTCTTTCCTCTTTATCAAGGTCTGTTTGGTTGTTATTTTTGTATTCCCAAATCCCTTGCCATGTTGTGGGCAATTAATAAATGCTTGTTGATTGATAGTGACATTGGGGTGTCCCCCAAAATGTGATTTTGGGTCCCCTATGACCTACAGGGTTCTTCATTTAAAAAAAAAAAGAATTTGATTTTCAGTTCCAAATTCTCTCCCTGTCCCCTCCTACTCTCCCTACTCCCACACACATTGAGAAGGTAAGAAAAACAAAGCTCATTGCTAATACATGTTAGCTATTGCTAAGGCAAAAAGAGAAAGAAAAGAAAATAGGATTCAGTCTGCACTCTGAGCCCGGCAGCTCGCTATCTGTATTATCTCCTAAGATAATATGTTTCATCCCAGGTCCCCTGGAATTGGTAGTTGATCAGAGTTCCTAAGTCTTTCATAGTTCATTGTCTTTACGGTGTTGTTGTTACTGTTAAGTGACTACCGAGTTACTTCTCAGGAGCCTCACCAGAGCTGAACTCAATCCAGTTGAAACAATACAGCGAGAAGGGACTTTAATAATCATCCAATTCAACTTCCTCACGTTACACACGAGGAAACTGAAGTCCAGGAAAGGGGAAAGGGACTTGACCAAGGTCATACCACCAGTCAGTATTAGAACCCAAATTAGAACTTGAGTTCTCTAATTTCCAGTACAGTGCTCTTTCCACTTGGCCAGTAATTTGTCATTTAATAACAGTAAGGGCACTTTTTCAGGTCTCATTCCCAATCCCATTTCTTCAGTCTCTATTTTCATTGTCCTGGCTGTACTACTTGAGACAGGAGGGCAAATTGGGACATCCAGCAACTGGTTTCTGGAAAATTAAGATATGCTTGTCACTTTAGTATTTAAGTACAAAGGAGAAAGAAGCCATCCCAAAAAACTTTGGGGAAAAAAAGATTTTTAATGCATTTTATTGATGCCTTTTCTTTCTAGCACCTTCATTTTCTACTCATCCTTCCCTCAAAATTGAACCCTCCACATGGCAAAAAAAACAAGACAAAATACCAGAACTAAAATAGAGATCATTATTTGCAATGTCTATGCTACCTGTCTTCTGCTTTGAGGGAGGAACCATTTTAAATTATCTATTGTTTAGGACCTTCGTTGGTTTTTCAGCTACTCATATTTTGACTTGGCTTTTTTGTCTTTCAAAACACATCTTTTTTTTTTTTTAGATCTTTTGTTTTAAAATCACATTTATTTCTGAATAGATTTCCCTCCTTTCTTACCTACCCAGAGAGTCATCCCCTTCTAACAAAGACTTAAAAGAAAGAGGAAAAATGCAATTCAGCAAAACCAATCAACATGTCAGTCCAGTCTGACAGTATTTGTAGTGTTACACCCTCATGCTTCCTTTGCCTCTAGGTAAAAAAGGAGAAAAGGGAGAGGATGCTCCAGTTTCTTAACTTTTCTATGGGCCTTGGTCATTCTAATTATGCAGCATTCAATTTCTTTTTAAAAATTCTCTCCCATTTACGTGGTGGTAGTTATTGTATATTGACTTTCTTTTAGCTGCTCTATCATTCACTTTGTTGTAGTCATAGTGTATAGTATATTGTTTTTGCTTGTTTCAGTCTGTCACTTTCTACAAATCTCATGCCAAGATGCTTCTCACAGTTCCATCTAATGATTGGAAGTTGGGAAGCTGTCCCTTTGTTTAACTGGAGGACGCTAGGGGGAGCAGCTTGTCCGTGTATCAGGAAAGAAACAGAAGCAAAGTTCAGAAGTGGGTGTTCTGTTCTAAGGATTTCCGAAGTCCTTTTTGGCAACTCTCTATAGGAGATTTAGTGATGTGTTAGGGTAAGTACCTCAAGGACTAGTAATTTCACCGGTATGAAGTACATTCTTCCCCGATGCAGCTAGCTGCTCTGTGCCTAGGTTGACCTTTGATGTAAAGGACACAACTTGGAGAGGAAGGACCCCAGTTCAATTCTTGACTTTATTGCTTGTTACTTGTGTGATTTTGGGCATGTTATTTCCTCTCTATGGGACTTGGTTTTCTCATCTTTAAAAAGAAGGGATTACGCTTAGTTCCCTCTACCAAGGGTACTCTGCAGCTCTAAATGTATGATTCTGTGATGTCTGCACCAGAATGAGGCATGGTGGAGGACCTTCGTGGAATAATCTCAGATAACTGGAACAGAACAGAGAAATAAGAGCTGTGGTCATGTAGAAAGGATGATGGTCTGGTTAGTCAGGACTCCTGGCTTTAATTTTAGGCTGTTTCATTCTCTACCTATGTGGCCTGGAGCAAGTCTCTGAGGATTAGCTCCCTCATCTTTGTCTGATACTAAAGAACTAGCTGGATTAAATTGGAAGAAGCCTGTTGCCTGCGGGCAGACCTTCTGGGGACAAGCAGCAACTCATGTAGCCTGCTGCCTCTGTCCATGGAGGGAGGGCCCCCATTGATGGAATCACAGTGTTTGATAGGCAGTACAAAGTGCACTGATTGTAGTCCGAGGTCTTGAGTTCAGATGCCGCCCCAGTAGGACTCTCCTCTTCCTTCAAGACGCTCTTGCATCACTTTGTACTTGAAGCCTCTCTTGGTTGCCTCAGTTTTGAGGGCCCTTCCTCTCAAAGTGCTCAAGCTCATTTATAGATTGCTTTAAGATTTACAAAGCTCTTTACATATAGACACCTCCTTTGATTCTGCAGTAATCCTGTGAAATAGGTGCTCTTAGTAGTCCCATTTTTACAGATAAGGACACTGAGGTTCAGAAGGGTTAAGCAGCCTGCCTGGGGTCCCACAACTATTGTCTCAACCAGAATTTGAACTCGGATCTCTCCATCTAGTATGCTATCTACTGTGCCACCTAGCTGCCTTATTTATGGTTATACTGTACATACCTGCTCATGTCTCTGTTCTCATGAGGAGAGGGAGGGATTGTTCTTTTCATTCTCTTTTGTAATCCCAGTGCCTGGCATGTAGTAGGAGTGCGGGGCCGAGAGTCAGCAAGTCGTTGTTGAGTTAGGTCACGTCCGGCTCTCTGTGACCCCATTTTGGGGTTTTCTCGGTGAAGAGACTGGAATGGTTTGAAGACGAGTTAATCTGGCCTCAGACTCTCATGAGCTGTGTGACCCTGGGCAAGTCACTTAACCCTGTTTGCCTTAGTTTCCTCATCTGTAAAATGACCTGAAGAAGGAAATTCCAGTCACTCTGCCAAGAAGGAAGAGTCAGACGCGCCTGAAACAACTGAACAACAGCAAATACTTGTGTATCGATTGAATTTGGGCAAGTTACTTGACTTTCCTGGGCTTCAGTTTCTTTATCTGTGAAATGAGGCGGTTGGTCTCCGGGGGCTTTTGAGATTCCTTCCAGCTCCAAACCTATGATCCTGTAACCTTTGGAAGCATTGCAGTATGTGTGAGTAGTAGAAATACATACATACGTTTAATGCCCATAGCAAGTTCTCTTCCACTTCAGTCCTCCCATCCCTCCTCCACTGCTGCTAGAGTGTATATTCAGCTGTGTGAATTTGTCATACAACTGTTATCTGTATGATACACCAACATACATGTGCATGCACATCCTAAATGCCCTTCTTTCTGCCAAACCGGGTTCCTTCAAACGTAGCTCCTTTAAGGCTGTGATTCCTGGACCACCAGTGCAGACTAGCTCTGTCTTGCTGTAATAACTCTGTAAACAACTCTGTCCTATAATAACTTTAAACAACCTAATTGTCTTCCCTCTGCTTTTTCTTGTGAATGAAAAAGAATCACCTCTATATTTATCTATGACCTCTGTGAAATGGTTTGTGGGGGGTGTGTGTGTGTGTGTGTGAGAGAGAGAGAGAGAGAGAGAGAGAGAGAGAGAGAGAGAGAGAGAGAGAGAGAAAGCACACATGGATAGGCTGTCTTCTTTAAGTTGCGGGGTCCTCTAAGGCAAGGGCCATCATTCCATTAGACTTTTAAAAACAAGCTTTATTCAAAAGTGAGCTTTCTAATTATGATGACCTGACCAGAGTTGGCCGTGGGAAAGGGTTCAGAGAGTGCTCCTTTTTCTCTTTGAAGAAATGGGGTGCTCTGGGCATTGAATACTACAAATGCTCCCAGATGGGTATGATGTGTAGATGAGTTTTTCTGAACTCCTTCTCTTTCTTCTCCCCACTCTCCTCTTCCTCTTTTCTACGCTATCAGTAAATATTTGTTACACATGGAACCTTTTTCCTCTCCTACTGCCGGCTTCCATGACCACCAGTTGTTTATAACAAGGTTCCAGAACCCTGGGGCAGCAGAGTCCAAAGGCCCACTTCAGCCCAGCCCAGCCCAGCCTCTATATGCTTTGCCTGGGGCTCAGACTTTGGAGAGAGCTTATCAGGGCTTTGGGTAGAAGCTTCTTCTCGCTTTGTTCATTATCATCTTGTCTGTTGACAGACCTTTCTGTTTGAAGACTTTCCTAACTGCTCCCCGCAGGGGAAAATGGTTTCTTTTTAATTTTTTTCCTCCTTAACTCTTGGGCCTTCTCTTTTCTTTGCTCCTATCTTACTCTGCCTCAGATAGTCCGTATTTGTACACATACTGTGTCCTCCCTTCATGTAGATCCAGTAGCTTCTTGAGGAAATGAAATTGTATTTTTGTGTCTCTGTCCTCAGTGCTGAGCATGATGCCTTAAACAGAACAAGCACATGACAGACATTCGCTAAATTGAGTCATACGTACTCATCCCTAATCTCGTTCCTTGACTGCCTTTTTCTTTGTTTGCCTTTTAGCTACATCGGAGTCCAATTAAGAAAGTCCGAAAATCTCTTGCCCTTGACATAGTGGATGAAGATCTGAAGCTTGTGGTGTCTTCCCTGCCAAAGACTGTGTGTATTAAAAGAAACCAGGTAAGGGAATGCACTTGCCACACACTGGGAACTCTTCCCTTACCCCGCAGGTTTTCAGGGGAGGGTGGGTCAGCTCATATCACTACAAGGAGAATTAATCATAGGCATCCTAGCCCTAACCCAGAGTTGCAAAGAGTTTAGCCTAAATAGTGTGGAGATTGTTCAGCCTTTTGTAAAAGATGCTTCAAGGCCTTTTGTCTGTGGCTAAGCTTTGTAATAAATGACATTTATAACATGAGGGTTGGACGTGACTTTAGAAATGAGGTAATGCAGCCCCTTCATTTTACAAGTGTGGAAACAGTCCCATTCTCCGACCCCTCCTCAGGAAAAGGTTTCTCAGGGTCACACAGAATTAAAAGAGCTTTGACTAGAATCTAGTCTCTTAACTCATGGTTTTCTCTGTCACAGTTTATTGCTGAAAAAGGTAGGGCTCACTGGATCAGGATCATCCATGTCATAGGGAAATAAGAGTCACATATATATTGGTGGCATGGTAATTAGTCCATAGTTTTGAACAGTTAGGCTGAAGGAGGGAACCGCTTGGGCTCCCAGCAGAAGGTGTGCGGGAGGGTGTGAGACAAAGGGTATTTTTGTTGAATCTTGGACTTACTTGTGAGAACAACTGCAGGTATCCCAGGAGATTGAAGCAGAAATGAAAGTGTCCTTTTGATCCTTTTAAAGAAATTTTGCTCTGTCCAGTGGAACAGAGATTGAAACAAGGCTCTCTGTTTACTAACTAAACCTGTTTGGCAGTGAAGCCTCTTGGGCAGCAGGGGCTTACAGGCAATAACACCAGTTATTCCCCTTGTCTGTGTTATTCCTGTACTTGTAGCTCTCTGGTAGGGCAGATGTTTTGATGTATCATTGTGGATTAATAGGTATCTAGCCTTGGTTGTTCATTACAAATTCTCCCAAATCTAGAGCTGGAACGGGCCTCGTGTAGGCCAGTCTTTTCATTTTACAAAGGAGGAAACTGAGGTCCAGGGAGATTGACTTGTCTCAGGTCACTTAAGTAGTAAGTGACATTGTCTGGATTTGAACCCAGGATCCAGAGTGCTTTTTCTACTGTACCAAGCTGGCTGCTATTGATTGCATGTTTACATACTTCGAGGAATTAAGATTTCCATTGAGGGGTGTGTGTGTGTTTTCTTTGCTAGTGCTATAGGCTGTGGTAAATATGTTCTCCATGACCTGTTGTGTCTGAAAATAATAATTAAAGATGTTGGGGGGGGGGGGTTTGGCAGCGTGGCGTAGTGGGAAGCGCCCTAGACTGAGCCAGGAGACCTGGGTTCTAGTCTTGGCCCAGTCACTGACTCCACCTGCCTTTCTGATCTTTACTTTCCTCCTGTGGAATAATAGTACTGATGATAATAGCTTTCATTTATATAGTGCTCTAAGGTTTGCAAAACTCTTTGGATTGTCTCATTTCATCTTCAGCAACCATGTGAGATAGGTGCTACTATTGCCCTCATTTACAAATGAGGAAACTAAGGCTAACAGAGGTTAAATAACTTACCCTCCCTAGTTATACAGGCAGTAAGTCATGCGACTAGTCACATATAGCTAACTAGCTGTCATATAGCTAGTATAGGCAGCTAATAAGCATTTGAGGCAGGATTTGAACTCAGCTCTTCCTGATGTCGAGTCTAGCACTCTTGATTACAATATTTAGCTACTTTTTATAAAATAAAAGTTTAGTCATCATCAGTCAGCTAATCAGCAAACATTTATTAAGCACCTACTATGGCACAGGCTCAGGAGTTAAGTGCAGGGGGTACAGGGACAAAAGCAGTAATGAAGGAGACAACACTATGTAAGAGGTACTGGAAGATCCCCGTGTGGTGGACAGATGGCAGCCTTAAAGGGGCAAACCCTAAGCAGCTGGGGGCCTGAGCAAAGGCCTCCTGCAGAAGGTGGCATTTAAGCTCAGTCCTGAAGGAAGCCGGGGATCCTTCAGAGGCAGCGGAGGGAGAACTTTCCAAGCATGAGGGAGAGCCAGTGCAAGGATGTAGAGGTGGGAGATGGAGGAAAATGAACAGGCCCGAATGGCTAGAGTTTGTAGAGGGTGTATAAAATAAGAAGGGTGGGAAAGATTGGAAAGGACCGAGTCATGAAGAACTCTCAAACAATTTTTGTGAAAAGCTTTAAATTCCAAACAGAAATTTCTACTTGATCCTAGGGATAATAGGGAGCCAGCTGCTGGAGTTACTGAGTTTGGGAGTGGTGGTGGCATGGTCACACCAATCAGTCAGTTAATAAGCAATTATAAATGCTTGTTGAGTCAGGCACCTTACTAAGCTCTGGGAATCCAAAAAGGTAAAAGACAGTCTCTGCCCTCGAGGAGGGGCAGCTAGGTGGTACAGTGGCTAGAGTGTTGGGCCTGGAGTCAGGAAGACCTAAATTCAAATGCAGCTTCAGACACTTAGCTGTGTGACCCTGGACAAGTCACTTCACCCCGTTTGCCTCAGGTTCCTCATCTGTAAAATGAGCTGGAGAAGGAAATAGTAAACCATTCCAGTATCTCTCCCAAGAAAATCTCAAAATGGGCTCACGAAGACACAATGGGAAAAATGATTGAACAACACCCTGAAAGAGCTTATATACTAATGGGGTAAGCTATATACAGGGTGTAAATAGGGAATATTTAAAAGAGAGGAAGCACTGAACTTAAGAGGAATTAGGGAAGACTTCCTGTGAACGGTGGGGTTTTGGTTGGGACTTAAAGCCGCGGAGGTCAGTTGTCAGAGGAGAGAAGGGAGAAGTTCCGGGCACCAGGGGGACAGCCTGAGAAAATGCTCAGAGCTGAGAGACAGAGTGTCCCGTTTGTGGAAGAAGAACAATTAGGAGGCAATAGTCGGGGTGAGAGGAGGTGAAGGCCTGAACTAGACCATGGCCCTTGGAGTGGAGAGAGGGGGTTGTGTTGGAGAGATGTGAAGCTAGAAACCGCTTCTAAAGTCCTACCAGTCTCTAAATTCATGAATCTCCTTTCCGTTGCCTGCTGAGCTAGACATTCTAGAACACGGGGATATTTTGGTCCTCTCCTTAGATTTCCTGTTTCTCTTGGTACATCAAAGATTACAGTCTAGCCAACCTAGAGATCTCCTGCTATTCCACTGGGCCTGGGGTTGAGGGTCTGAATAGAACACAGGAAATTGGAAAAGGACCCTTTTAGGCCTTGAATCGTGTCCATTCAAACAGTCTATACAGTTGAGGGTTGAGAAGGAGCGGAAGGACCTTTTCAGAGGAGCATGATGTCATCTTGATGTGTTTAGGAGCACTGGGCTAACTTGCTGCCTGGTGTCTGCCTCTGCCGCCTGAAATCTTGGCCTGCTGTGCTGAGGCAGCCGTAGAGCAATTCTGTCTGTGCTTGTCCCAGGCTACATGATGAAGTCTCTGCTTGATTTTCTTTCCAGCCGACAAGCTTCTTGTCCAGCTCCCTCAACCTGACCTCCTCAAGCAGCAAGGAGGACAATAGTTTGCTGAACCGAGGGTTTTTACAGGCAAAGCAGGAGAAGGCTTCTTTCCCGAAGACACTGAGCCATTTCCAGGGCCCTGCCCCGGTGAGTCATGATGTGGCTGTTACTGAGATGTAGTGAGCGGTCTTGAGACCAGAGCCAGCCGGAGGCCCTCAGGGGACTGGTTGTTGTTTCTGCTTCTTAGGGTTTAGTGCATGGAGGGCTCAGGCAGCCAGAAATAATGAACCACCTTCAGACTTTCTCCTCCAGGAGGAGTCGGTGCTCTGGCTCTGGAAGGTGCTCCTGCCTGTGGGGGTTCATGATGGGATCGGAAGATGAACCAGAAGGAGCATGCTGTGACTTGGCTAATTCTTGCCTTGCCAGGGCTTTGTTCACCTGTTAGGAAAGCAAGGAGGGGGGCAGCTAGGTGGCACAGTGGGTAGAGCACCGGCCCTGGATTCAGGAGGACCTGAGTTCAAATCCGGCCTCGGACACATAACACTTATTAGCTGTGTGACTCTGGGCAAGTCACTTAACCCCATTGCCTAGCCAAATATAAAAAAAAAAAAGGAAAGCAAGGAGGGAGAGAACCTTGAACCTTAAAAGCCTGTTTATTTCACTTGTCATGTTGCTTGTCTGTAGTTGGACAAAAGCCACCCTTCTGGAAGGTTTTGCTGAGGTTCAGTGTGTGAGCCTCCTAGTGAGTCTGTCTGAGAATGTAATTAGTCCTTCTGCATGGCGGTGTCTGAGGGTCGTACCACGTCTTCCTTCCTCTCCCCTCACCTGGGTGGGGGAAGAGTGTCTGCCCTCAGGCATTGGCCTGAACTGTCATAGTTCTGATTATTGAGTCCAGATTTGGGTTCTAAAGATGAGGGTGGGGAGGGGAATCTATGATGAATCCAAAGGGCATAGGGATTTGATATTGAGGGGCCTGGGTTCAAATGCTGATGTTGCTACTCACTAGCTTTGTGACCATGGGCAAGTCACTTACCTCCATAGGCCTCGGTTTCCTCATGGAGGGGGTTGAACTTGATGGCCTTTGAGCTCTTTTCCAGCTTCCATTCTCTGATCCTATGAAATTGAAGTGCGAATTCCTCTAAGGTCACAGAACTAGTGATTGGTTGAGCCAGGATTAGGATCCTGGTATCCTATACATTTAGTCTGTTATGCTCTGAAGAGTTCAACTTCACTGCTTCCTTTCAGTGGGCAGGGAGGAGAGCCTTCTCTATGTCTACTGGTAGGAGAAGTAGTATTGATCACAACTCTCATTTGTTTCTATCAGATTTTAAGGTTTTCAACTCTTTTTTTTTCTGGCAACCATCCTTTGAGGGTGGGTAGTACAAATTGCCCATTTGACACTTGAAGATACTGAGTCTGAGAAAGGAGAAGTCAGTTATTCACCTGCTGTTAGAGCTGTGGCTCACAGCCAGGTCTTTCTCTCCATTATGTCTTGCTGCTCCCAATTCACCTTCTTTGGGAGCAAAGGTCGGCTCATGAGTAGGACAAGCCGGTATAATAAAGTTGATGCTGTTACCTTAAGTTAATCTATTTAATGCCATGCTAATCAAACTACCAAAGGATCACTTTATAGAACTAGAAAAATGATGAAAGGTTCAAATGAGGAAACTGAAGCCTAGGGAACCTGAGCATCTTGCCTGTAGGCATCAGCATAGCAAAGGGCAAAGCCAGAGTTTTGCATTTGCATCATTTCGCTCCAGGTCCAAGACTCCTGCTGCGTCCCAGCAGGGCAACAAGCAGAAGGATTTCCTGCATCCCAAGGGATGTTTCTAGGACTAATTTATTCAAGCATCTAGGACCAATGCTTATTGTTTGCATCTGAGTCCTTTGCAGCAGACCTGAGGCTCTCGTTTTCTGCAGTGGCCCCCTGAGTTGGGGACTTTGGGGTTGGAGTCAGCAAACATTTATTCATTTAGTGCCAACGGTATGTCAGGCACTGCACTAGGCTCTGGGGATACAAATATGGGGAGTAAACCGTCCCTCCTTCAAGAAGCTTATATTCTAATGGGGCTGGGGCTAGGGGCACAGCATAATAGAAATCAGAATGTAGAAGATGAACACAGAATAGAGGGAAAGTAACCTTAGAGGGGATGGCATCAGAAGTTGGGGCCAACAGGGGACCACAAATGCCTTCTGGAAAAGATTAATTTGATTCTAGATAGTAACAAACCCTTTTTCCTCCTTCCCAGATGTCCAGTGCTTGGAAAGTCGTGGCTTGTGGTGGAACCAGAGACCAACTTTTTATGCAGGAAAAGGCCCGGCAGATCTTGGGTACCCTAAAGCAGAGCCACACTTCTCGGACTCTGATTTTGTCATGAAAAATATGGAATTTTGACGTCATTTTTTATTCCTTTTCTGACTTTTCTTAGGGGCATAAAAATGTGTTCCCTGCCTCAGATGACTCCTAAGCAGGGTATGAGTTTGAAATTTTATTTTTTCAAAATAACTTATTCAAAAATTTCAAGGGGCTTAATTGGAATTTGTGGTGCAAGAGAGAAGTCTGCCTTTACACACTCCTTCTGTGGATTCACACAGTGCCTGCATAGAGAGAAGTGTGATTTTGGATCTGTCCTTTGGGGAGGATGAGTGCTGGACTCTCTCCTTGCTTCTGCAGAATCTCTGCCCTGGGTCTGGGTTTTCCCTCCCCTTAACCAGGGTGGAAAATTACCAGGTGCTTTCAAGAATCCTTCAGACTCAGTGTCCTCCTGCCTTGTTAATACCAGGAAAGTTGGGTTTTTCCCTAGTTGGCATGTTTTCAGCATGATCTTGCCTTCCTGTTGAGGACCCTGAAAAGGAGGATCTTCCAGGAGTTCCTGTTTAACTAGAACGCCTGTTCAGCCGAGACAAGGTGGTGTCCAAGGGGCCGTAGAGAGTGGTATTCATTGTCTCTCAGCTCGTCCTTTTCCCCTCTTTCCATTTTGTTGCATTTAATATTATTATTAATTATTAATTTTTTTAAAATAAAAGCTCCCTGAAGCTTCAGTCTTCCTTGTTTTCTACAGGCTTCTTTCCTCTGTCTCCCCATCTTCCTTTGTCTGTCTGTCTCTCCCCCTCTCTCCTCTCCTCCTTCTCTCTTTCTCCCCCCCCCCCGGCTTCATTGTTTCTATCAGTGATAGTCATTCTCTACCAGGCTTGATAACTGTGGTGGTGTAACTTTCTCGACCTCTGTTTGTTTCCTCTGTGCTTTTTTGTGTCCTTCCTGCCCTGCCTTCTGACACTGTGGTTCAGTCGCTCATCACTCTTCATGACAAGTGTGGGTGCTTCCTAATGGGTCTCCCTGCCTGCCTTTGGTTTCTGCCCCTCCTTTGCATCCTGCCCATGAGGCCAAGGGAAGCTTCCCAAGTCTAGCTGTGAGCACGTCACCCTCACCTTGGTGGTTTCCTGTGGCCTGTAGGTTCAAGTCCATGACCATTAGGTCAGCATTCAAGTCCTCTACAATTTTACCCCAGTTTACCTCCTGCTGCATTCTGACGTTTCTTCCAAAAAAAATTTTTTTTTTTAGCAATGGCTTTTGTTTTTGTATCACTACATTACCTTCTGTATCCTTCCCTGACCTCCCTCCTGCAGAGCCATCCCATAGAAAGATTATTTAAAAAAAAAATCAACAAATCAGTCAATACTTGGAAAAAAAAATCTGAAAATATACGCAATGCTCCATACCTACAGACCTCACCTGGCCTCTGGAAAGGAATTGGGGGAGCTGTCGTCTCCTGTCTTTCGTTGGGGGCCAAGTTTTTCCTTGTCATCTCATGCCATTCTGGTTTGTGGTGGTGGTGCTTTCCATTGTCCTGTTTTCTCAGCCCTACCTAGTTTACTTTTTGTCTGTTTATCTAAGTCCCTCCCACATTGTTATATTTCATTTGTTTCACTCATACTTTTTGTCTGTTGTCTGCAAAATGCTGTGTTAGGATATGGTAGAGATGCAAAGGAGAGTGACTTAGGCCCTGCTCTCAGAGGGCGTTCATTATAAACTAATGAAAGATGAAACATGTATACAAATAACTAGGGGATGCAGGGTAATATGGTGGAAGGAGTACTGACTTTGGAGTCCTAGGACCTGAACTCAAATCCCGGCCTTGCTGCTTATGTGACCGTGGGCAGGTCATATCACTTCTCTGGGCCTCAGTTTCCTCATCTGTAAAATGAGGGAGTTGGACTCCATGGGTCTAAGGCCCCTTCCAACTCTTCATTCTGGGGTCCTGTGAGTTGTCAGTAGGATTAGAACTTTGTGTTGTGAGATCGAGGCTGGTGGAGAATCCATGTTTCCTAATGGTACTTGGCTAACTGTTTTCCACGTAGAAAGGAAACTTGGTGGAGAGGAGAGAATTCTGGGTTTAGACTCAGAAGGCCCAGGTTTGGGGCTTTTCTCAGCTGCCTCCGATGCTTGGTGTGCCCCTTCCCCCGCAAATTACTTGGTATTTATTTTGTATGTATTTTGCTTATCTGTGCACGTTATTTCCTACTAGTAGATTGTAAGCGCCTTGAAGGCAGACTTGTCTTTTTTTTTTTTCCCCTTTGTTACTCTAGCAGGGTTCCTGGTGCCTGGTGGGTATAAGTCCTGGCTCTTAACATTTACTGGTCTTGTGACCCTGGGCATGCCATGGCAATTTTGGACCTCATCAATGAAATGGAGAGAATACTGGCATTACCTCTTTCTCAGGGTTGTTGTGAAGGAATCCCTTTGTAAATTTTGAAGTGTCTTAGGAATGAGATTGTTTTTATTATCTACCAGTTTACCCAGTTGTCAGTAGTAATAGTTATCATTTACATAGCGCCTCAAGGTTTTGCAAAGTGCTTTCTGTGTGTTATCTCTTTCGACTCTCACAATCACCCTGTGAGGTAGGTGCTGTTTTTGTTTTTATTTTTTTTGGTAGGTGCTATTATTAAACTGAAGTAGGGTTAAGTGACTTGCCTAGGGTCACAGAGCTAGTAAATGTCTTAGATAGGATTTGAACTCAGTATCTTCCCCACTAAAACTCCCATATTGTCACTACACCACCTGGCTTTTTGTCAAGGCCCAACTCAAGTCCCTTATCCTTTATGAAACCTCTCATCTCCCAGCTGGCTCAGGGGAATCTTTTTTTTTTTTTCCCTTGGAACTCCTATGGCTCTTGCTGTCTGCATTTTTTCTCCTTATGTGCAGCATTGTGGTAGAGTGTATCAGAGCTCTGGATCTGGCATTCAGGAAACATGGGGTTTGAATACTGCCTTAGATGGTTCCTTGCTGTGTTATTGTGGACAAACCACATAACCTCTCAGACACTGTTGACTCATCTGTGACATGAGAATCACACCACTCGAGCTACCTACCTCACAGGGTTATGAGAAAAACACTTTGCAAACCTCAGAAGTGCCATTATGAATAGCAGTATTATGACTTGTTATGTACATGCCCTTTCTCCTCAACTGGAAGGGGTTTTCTGAGGGCTGTTTGGTGCGTCTTCTCTCTTCTGGCCTTGGCCCTTGCCCTCCATCTCTCCCCCCACCCCCTCATCAGGTGAGTGGTATCACTCACCCTTCAGTGATATCCCGGAGAAGAGAAGGCCAGTGCTTGGCTGGGGATCTAAGGAGGTTTCATGAAGGAAGAGAGCGTGGCCCTGGAGATTGAGTCCACTCTGGATCCTCTGGTGGCAGTCAAAACCTACAGAATAGCTAGCCTACACTGCCTTTGGTTCCCCTTGTCTTACAGATTCTGCTCCCTGTACCCTCCCTCCAATTTTTTTAAAAGAACACTGCCTTGGAATCCACATTTTACCTTCAAATTTGAAAAGACCATCTTTGTTTCAGTGGTTTTCCCTGTGTTCTTAAAGGCATAAATAGTTTATCTTGGATCTTTAATATCATATTGAGGGCTTTTAATAAAGACCGTTTTCGTCAGGGCCGCTCTTGGGTTTTATTAACCCGTTATACCTTGTTACCCCATAAAGCAGGCACCTCTTAGGCCCGGCTCCTTTATTGAGCTGGCTGGGTAGCATACACTACGGCGGTCTTGTGGGTGTTTCTTTCTCATCATTGCGCCTCAAAGAATTTATTGTGAGTTCAGAAAGATGCAGAAGAGAGGATTCCAGCTGGGAACAAGAAGACAGGAGAAGGCCCTAGCCTCTGTCCCCAGGCTCAGAGCTAAGGCTGTGTTGTTGGCACGGTGGCTGTGCTGATGCTGTGGTGTCTTGCCTGCCTCACTGGGTTGTTGTGAGGATAAGATGTGAACCTGTTTGGAAAGTGAAAGCACCTTGTTGATGTTGGATGTCGTCTTTGTAGTTATTTTATTCCCTTAGGGTTGGGTAGAATTGGAAGAATGGAGAAGGTAGGTAGGTCTTCCAGGGGAAGTGGGCCTTTGGGTACGTGGTTTTGCCCAACAGGAGAATGCATTGGCAAGTGCATTGGGCAGAATGCTCTTTTTTTAAGGGCCCTGGACCGGATTGGGGACCAGAACTGGACTTGAATTCTGGTTTTGGTGTTGCTCTTTATGACATTGGGTGTGTTATTTCTCCATTCTGGACCTCGATTTCCCATCTGTAAAATGAGGTCGGACTTAATTAAGGTTCTTAACTTGGATTGCGTGACCTTGTTTTTAATTTTTTTTGATAACTGTTTCAGCATAATTGGCTTCCCTTATAATCTTATGTATTTTGTGTCATGCCTTTAAAGATTCTTAGAAAGGGCCCATGGGCAGCACCGGACTGCCAGAGGGATCTGTGGCACAGGACATGCTAAGAACTCCCGGAGTCCTTAGTCTTGAAGGTCCTCTCTCTCTGACATCTCGTCATTCTGTTAGTGTTGGCCTTGGGCCACACTGCTCCTCAAGGCCAGTCTCTACCAGACGTCAGTGACTCAGAACAGACCTAGCTGTTCCCCCTATCCAGCCCACGTTAACCTGCTGCTGCTTTTCACTTCCCCACAAAGGTCTAATAATAAATTCAGCAAAAAATAATTACTTCACTAGCTAGTTGAGTTATTAGCATATGAATGCCGGCTGAACATGTGAAAGGCCTTTGGATGCTGAGCAAGACAAAGGCTGTAACAGAATAACCATGGGCAGGTTACATGGGAGGAAGGCTGTGCCAGGAGAGCCCCATGGATGTGGGGGGAGGGGGAGAGAGAGGAGACTCCCTGGAGAGCTGGCCTCTGTTAGGAAGAAATGACACGGTTTCTACTTAATGTCTACAAATAACAATTACTCATGTTTACATATCACCTTGGGGGCAATGGGCAGTTGGATGGCAAAGTGGATGGAGCCCTGGGCCTGGAGTCAGAAAGGCATGAGTTCAAGCCCGGCTTCAGATAGTAGCCATGGGACCCTGTGTAAATCAGTTAACCCTGTTTGCCTCAGTTTCTTCATCTGTAAAGTGGTCTGGAGAAGGAAAGGCAAACCACTTAAGTATCTTTGCTAAGAAAATCCCACATGGGCTCATGAAGAGTTGGATGTGATAACAACACTTGAAGCAAAGCATTTTATGTGTTATCTAATCTCCACAACAGCCCTTTGAGGAAGATGCTGTTATCCCCAATTCACAGATGAGGAAACAGACTGAGAGGTTGTGACTTGTTCAGAGTACCTGAGTCAAGCGTCTGTGGTAGGATTTGAATCCAGGCCTTCCAGAGTACAAGTAGGTGGCACTGTGCTGTGATAAGAGTACTGGATCAGTCAGGAAGGTGACCCTGTGTTCATATCCAGCCTCAGACACTTACTAGCAGTGTGACCCTAGGCAAGTCATTTTACCTCCTATTTCCTTTTCTCATCTCTAAAATGGGAATAATAAGACACTTACCTCCTGGGGTTGTCCTGAGGATCAGATGAGATAATTGTAAAATGCCTGGCACATAGCACTGTATAAATGTTAGCTGTTATTATTAATGCAGCTTCATTGCTCTGTGCACTAAAGTAAGCCTGAAAAGGTGGGCTAGGGCCAGATCATGACAACCTTAAAGGCTTGCATGATAGTATGGTCATTCCCATTCTATGGATGGGTTTGTCAATGTGCTTCTTTTATGCCAGGCACTGTGATAGAAAGTGAGACAGGCCCTGCCCAAGAAGAGCCCACGGTCGAGCTGAGGAGACACAGCAGGGGTTACGAAGTCCGATGAGACAAGGCTGCCTGAGTGCAGTGCCTGTGCTAAGAGCTTCAGCTGAGTCTGAAGGAGAGATGGCACAGACCCCAGCATCCTCCATACCCTTCACCCTTGCACTCTGCTCTCCATCTTTTTGGAGTTCCTTAAGTTTACTGTTTAATGCATGACCTTTCCTCTTGTTTTGACAAGTAGTTGGTGGTGTGGGGATTGCCTCAGGATACAAACTGAGTGAGTGCAATTTGCCAACTGTGATGTAGGAAACATGAGCGCAAGAGAAACTCAGAAGTGGACAGGCTAAAATGCTGTCTTTCCTTGTCACCGGGTTAGAAAACACTGTTTATGGAAGTACACATGGGCTCTGAGATGTTGTTCCAGACTGGGAATTATGGGGCCCACAGTGAAAGTGGAGATCACTGGAACAGAATATTTTGTGGCTGTGAAAGTGCTTTCAAGGAGAAATGGGATCTCACCGGTCACAGAATATTTACAAGTTGTTCACTGAGCAATTAGAGCATTTTTTTAAGAGCAGGCAGTGTGGTATTATGGAGAGAAAGCTGGCCTTGAAGCCAGAAAGACCTGGGTTCAAGTCTTGCCTCAGACACATATTGGCTGTGTGACCCTGGGCAAAGTGCTTAAGCTCTCAGCATTCCTGGCACTCTTAAGATCTCCAAGATTCTGATTTTCAGAAAAGGTGCCAACCTATGTGAGTAGAAGGCGATTCCTCACTTAGCAAGGCAAGGCAGTTGATCAAGCACTTATTTTGTGCTAGGGCTCAGGGGTGGGGAACCTGGGGCCCTGATACACATGGTGGCCCTGTAGGTCCTCAAGTGTGGCCCTTTGACTGAATCTAAACTTTACAGAACAAATCCCCTTAATAAAACTTGCACTCAGTCAAAAGTCCAAACCCAAGGACCTAGAAGGCCACAGGTTCCCAATCCTGTTGGGCACTCTGCAAAAACTGGGGATACAAATAAAAACAAGAAAGTCTCTTACATTCTAATAGAATTAACACCTGAAAGGGAGCTGAAAAGTGGGGAAGGGGAGGAGTAGAATGAAAGTTAGCTGTCCTGGACTCCTCTCCGAAATGGAGGCTCCAGGAGAAACAGATCTCTGGGAAAAGAGAACCAGCCTGGCAGATGGACGCTTCAGAGTGAGGGGGCTCCAGGTTCCAAGAGAGTCCAAGATGTGACAGCAGGTGTGACATCGTAGTGGCAAAGTCCAGGAACTTGGGAGTTCCCTATGTTGATGAAATCGCAGATTTGTTCTCTTTCCCTGTAAGGATCTCTAAGGTCCTTCTACTCTAACTGTCCCATTTCACAGAGGGGTGAGTGAACCCTAGAATTTGAGGTGAGAGGCTGTGATTCCAACTCAGCTTCCCGGACTCCTAGACCAGGATTCTTTTGTTCTAGGTACCAGACCTCCCTTCCAGGGTCACTCCTTCCTGGGCAAGCCTGAGATAATCTGTTCTGAGAGAAAGGAAATCTTGAAGGATTTTGCTTTCCCTCCCAAGCCTGAGGGGAAATGAAAACACCCCTTAAGTTAATAGGGTTAGAACAAGTAGCCCCACATGGTTTACTCTAGCATGGGATTCCTTCAGTTTAAGATTTATTGAGATAAGGGTCCTGAGCATTTCAAACATTCAGAATGGGCATCATAGACCCTCCAATTTACAAATGAGGCAATTGAAAGGGTCTGAGAGAGGAAGTGCCCAAGTGCCAATGGCAGAACTGTTGTTTGGAAGGGTGTTGATTCTACTGTGTACTTAGCAGTGGTAGGTGCTTAATAAATGTTTATTGATTGACACAACATTTTTCAGTTTTTTTCCTTTCTCTCCACTCACCTCTACCTTACTTCAAGTCCTTACCTCTTAATCCCGACTATTGAAATACCCTCCAATTGGTTTCCCTGCCTTTGCCTTTACAGTATTTTTGATTTCCAATCTATTTTTCATGAAGCTGAAAAATTGATACTTCTGAAAAACCAGATTTGATTGTGTCTACCCCAACCCACCTATTTGCAAAAATTTTTTGTGCCCTCTAGAATAAAATACAAAATTCTTGGCCTGGTATATAAAGCACTCCACAATCTCATTCTGATTTAACTTCCAGTCTTATTCTATATAACTCCCTCATTTATATTCCCTCTTCCAGTCAAACTGGACTTACTAGCTGATCTCTATACATGATGTGGGTAGCTACGTGGCACAGTAGGTAGAGTGCTGGATCTCAGGTTAGAAGTTCAAATCTAGCCTCAGATACTTAGTAGCTACGTGACCCTGGGCAAGTCACTTAACACTTTGCCTCAGTTTCCTCATCTATAAAATGAGCTGGAGAAGAAAATGGCAAACCACTCCAGCATCTTTGCCAAGAAAACCCCAAATGGGGTCATGAAGAATTGGACATGACTGAAAATGACTGAATAACAAATACATGATTTTATATCTCCTACCTGCCAAGTCTTTGCACCATTGAGTCCCAGTGTTTGGAATTCTTGCCATTCTTACCATCACTTCTAGTCTCTTGCTTCCTTTTATCCTCAAACTTTCTTTGAAGCTCAGCTGAGGTGCTGCTTTTTATCTTACATAAGGTCTTTCCTGATCTCCCCCCCCACCCCCATCATAGGAACCGTCTCCCTCTTGCAATGGTTATGTACTAATTTTAAACTTACATACTTGTGAGTATGTTGTGTGTCCCCCCACCCCCGACCCCCAGAGTGCAATCTCCTTATGGGTAGGGACTCATTCTTTGCCTTTCTATCCCTAGCACTTAGAAGAGTACTTTGCACATGGTAGGTGTTTAACATGGTTA